TGTTTATTCAGTCTTCCACGTATGTTGAGTACAAATAAACCATTTTCTCAGATTACTTGGGTAAACCTGTTTGAGTGGTAGGCCATGCTATCTTCACGCTGACCGTGCTGCAGCTTAAAGTCACACTCTCCCAGTCACTATAATTATCTAACGTCTTATGCAAAGCAGGCTGCCTCTGACTGCAAAGTCACGGTTTCACTCTATGGGGACTTTCTCTTTTTCGTCTCTCACTGTCAGACAAGACGCTACTGCTGCAAATCGTGTGGCACAGCATTTAGCCTATTGCGCACACACACACACACACTGTCAAATGTGGTTGTGCTGCGGTCCTGTAAGTAGAGAAAAGTGAACATGTCGGCCACTGCTGTTACTAAATTGCCTCAGCCAGTCAGTCAGACCAATAATTAACCCTTAGAGGAAGTGTGTGTTGCAGTGTGTTGCGTAGTGCAATTCTCAGGTCATTGATACCCACTAATCATCAGACAACTCTCAGCTCTACAAGTCTTCCCAACTGCTGTTGCTATGTTCTCTAGCCTATTACCCCTCAGCTCCCCTCCTGTTACGTCTGAGTGGCGTCACCGAGGACTCCCATTGGACGCCTGTGTTCGTAACCCAAACCTCAGCTTGTTTGAAATGCTTACAGTGCCTTGCAAAAGTATTCATCCCCCTTGACGTTTTTCCTATTTTGTTGCATTACAACCTGTAATTTAACCTGTTGGATTTCATGTAATGGACATACACAAAATAGTCAAAATCGGTGAAGTGAAATGAAAAAAATAACTTGTTTCAAAAAATTCTAAAAAATAAATAACGGAAAAGTGGTGCATGCATATGTATTCACCCCCTTTGCTATGAAGCCCCTAAATATGATCTGGTGCAACCAATTACCTTCAGAAGTCACATAATTAGTTAAAGAAAGTCCACCTGTGTGCAATCTAAGTGTTACATAATCTGTCACATGATCTCAGTATATATACATCTGTTCTGAAAGGCCCCAGAGACTGCAACACAACTTAGCAAGGGGCACCACCAAGTAAGCGGCACCATAAAGACCAAGGAGCTCTCCAAACAGGTCAGGGACGAAGTTGTGGAGAAGTACAGATCAGGGTTGGGTTATAAAAAAATATCCGAAACTTTGAACATCCCACTGAGCACCATTTAAACCCATTACTAAAAAATTGAAAGAATATGGCACCACAACAAACCTGCCAAGAGAGGGCTGCCCACCAAAACCCACAGACCAGGCAAGTAGGGCATTAATCAGAGAGGTAACAAAGAGACCAAAGATAACCCTGAAGGAGCTGCAAAGCTCCACAGCGGAGATTGGAGTATCTGTCCATAGGACCACTTTAAGCCATACACTCCACCGAGCTGGGCTTTACGGAAGAGTGGCCAGAAAAAAGCCATTGCTTAAAGAAAAAAATAAGCAAACACGTTTGGTGTTCGCCAAAAGGCATGTGGGAGACTCCCCAAACATATGGAAGAAGGTACTCTGGTCAGATGAGACTAAAATTGAGCTTTTTGGCCATCAAGGAAAACACTATGTCTAGCGCAAACCCAACATCTCTCATCACCCCGAGAACACCATCCCCACAGTGAAGCATGGTGGTGGCAGCATCATGCTGTGGGGATGTTTTTCATCGGCAGGGACTGGGAAATTGGTCAGAATTGAAGTAATGATGGATGGCGCTAAATACAGGGAAATTCTTGAGGGAAACCTGTTTCAGTCTTCCAGAGATTTGAGACTGGGACGGAGGTTCACCTTCCAGCAGGACAATGACCCTAAGCATACTGCTAAAGCAACATTCAAGTGGTTTAAGGGGGGAAACATTTAAATGTCTTGGAATGGCCTAGTCAAAGCCCAGACCATAATCCAATTGAGAATCTGTGGTATGACTTAAAGATTGCTGTACACCAGCGGAACCCATCCAACTTGAAGGAGCTGGAGCAGTTTTGCCTTGAAGAATGGGTATAAATCCCAGTGGCTAGATGTGTCAAGCTTATAGAGACATACCCCAAGAGACATGCAGCTGTAATTGCTGCAAAAGATGGCTCTACAAAGTATTGACTTGAATAGTTATGCACACTCAAGTTTTCAGTTTTTTTGTCTTATTTCTTGTTTGTTTCACACATTTTTTATTTTTTTTATATCTTCAAAGTGATAGGCATGTTGTGTAAATCAAATGATACAAACCCCCCAAAAATCAATTTTAATTCCAGGTTGTAAGGCAACAAAATAGGAAAAATGCCAAGGGGGGTGAATACTTTTGCAAGCCACTGTACGTCACCTCTGTCCATCTCTCTCATACACTAATGCACAGTGCGCTCCACCTCCTCCTCTCGCTCCCTTTCTCACTCTCTCAGCTTTCCTTCTCTCGCTCTCTCACCCCCTCCTTTTCTGTCTGTGTTAGTGGTTTATTTTATGTGACCTCCCACTTGAAGTATGTATACAGTAGATTCCAGCAGCTCTGGGTTGCTTTGTGTTGTCTGCCTGATGTCAGTTACAGACATTAGACAGGGAGAGAGAGGGAGAAAGAGAGAGTGTGTTCCAGGTCCTGTTTTGGTCTGTAAACCTGGTCTAGATTACCCCCAGGCACCTCTATTCTGCTCCTGGAATGTATTTGAGAGAAGGCGAGGTAGAGCAATGCTACGCTGTCTGTTGAGGCAGGGGGAAGCAAACGAAGCCATTTGAAAGAGAGGGAGAGTGAGAGAGTGAGGGCAGGAGAGGAGGGGAGAGAACCTCCTCGTTGTCATGGCAGCAGGGAGATGCACCCCGGGATGGGGAACGCGTGTTTCCAAGGGGAAGGAGGATGCCTGTCCTCTATTGGTCAGCTTCAAACAGACTTGTTTATGTGTTGTTGATCCAGGATCTAATTGGTCGCATTTTCAAAGAGCTCAGAAACTCCTTTTTAAGATGCGTCAACTCCTAGCCCATGTTCGTAATATTCTTAGAAATTGCTTGATATGTTGATAGATTTTGCTTGATAATTCTGCTTGATCTCAACATATCCTTTTGAACATAGTGTTTAATAAATTGACTAAACGACACATGAAGGCGTTGACATTCAGTTTATTCTAGCTTCTGTTATATTTATAGCAGGTTGATGTAACAGCTTGCCTGACTGGCAATGAATGAATGCAATGCAGTGTGTTATGCATTGGAGAATATGCCTGTGTGACGTGTGTTTGCATTGGTGTTATTTTCTGCATAGCGTGTGTTAGAGCTGGGCGATATGGACAAAAATCCATATCGCGATAAATTGACCCAGCGATAAATTACCATAAATTATTTTGGCGGGAGTTGCTAGAGCTGGGCGATATGGGAGAAAAAAAATCATATCGTGATAAATGTTACTATTTTTCTCAATAACAATAAATAGGTCTACACCGATGTATACTTTTTTAATGGACAATTACTTTACATTAGTCATATGAATAAAAAAAATTGTGCCAATACAACTGAGATGATAGCCTATTATAAAAAAAAAAGTAGATATTTCATCTAACATATTTTTTTGGTGCAACCTGTGAAAATACGATCCAGAATTATCAGATTTATTTTTGGCTCTTCAGAGAATTTGCCGACATCTTTATGCATATTGGCCTATAGGCTACATTACTCACCACCTGAGGAAGTGGGAACTCAAAACACTTAGCTAGATTGATAACTCTAAATATGATATTGTTGCTAGATAGATTAATAAATTAGCCTACATGGCCATCAGTAAATGTAGGCTAAAGTCCTACAAAAATGTTCCATTGCTAGGCCTAGGCTAGTTGATGTAGGCCCATCACTGCAAATGGCGTGCTCTGCTCCGCTCTGCTCAGAACCATACTACAGCCTACTCCGGATGTAAAGTGGTGCCGTGAAGTCAATATTAAGAGGTGAGAAATACATTATATACTCACAGAAAGCTGTGACTCACCTCTTTGTAACGAAAACAACAGTAGTTGCTTTGAAAACAACTTTATATTTCCTCCAATTGCATTTTGAGCAACTGTCATATGCTTGTGCTTCTCAGAATGCATCTCTCCGTCCTCCACGTGCACAGTGGGGTAAGGGAGTGAGAGTGGCTCGCTCACACAGCAGCCAACAGCGAAACAGGGACATGCAGATACTTTCATAGCATGAATTAACATAATGCATAGGCTATTACTGTTGACCAAATAATGGTTTTAGAACAATCTACAGGAACATTGTGTAGCAAGATTAAAGAAAATGACCGACATACGCACAATTCTTCAGTAAGAGGAAGGCAATATCAGTGTTGGTAATTTTCGGTTTATCATCCCAGCTCTAGCACGTGTGTTATGCCTGGGTGGTACAGTTCTCCTTGCTCGCTCTCCCCCTCCTCTCTTCCTCCCCCACTCGCTCTTACACTCTCCTCTTCCCCCCTCTCTTTCTCTCGCTCTTACTCTCTCCTCCTCCTCTCTCCCTCTCAGATGGAGGGAGGGAGGTGAGGGACACTCCTTCTGTCCTGTGCTGTGGAGGGTGGAAGCAGAGAGCAGTGCTGCGTTAAGTAGGACAGTGCAGGATAAAGACTGGGGCTAAAGCACTACATTTATACCCCAACATGCAATTGCAGATACAGACACACAAATACACACAGCCTCACAGGCAGATAAACACACGTTTACATAGATAACACAAGGCCAAACACACATGTTCACAGCACATTAGGATTAAGATTAAGATCACTTTATTGGCAATTGCACATAAGGTCCAACCGAAATTTGACTTCCGCTTTTAACCCAACCCCTTGAAAGACACACATACATACACATACATCATCAACCCATCCCGTGCGTGCACCCAAGTAGTCTCTCTAGCTACAGGAATTCCTGTGAGACCAGCAGTGTTGGGCCATGTAACCAGGCGACAGGCAGGGAGGCAGATCTGTGGATGTATCATGTTGCCTCCCATCAGAACAGAGAGAGGGAGAGAAACGGAGAGAAACGGAGAGAGGGAGGGAGTGAGAGATCCTGCAGAGCAAATACAAATGGCTCTGAAGCGCTACACAGGAAAGTGAGTTTACCAACGCCAGCGAGTCCCCACCTCCTCTCTATAATACCAACCAGCAACTTTACTGTCTCTAATACTAATACCATCTGGCCTCACAGAGAACACACACAGCAACGCACGGCAACTCATGGCAACGCATGGTAACTCACAGCAACAGTCACTCACAACCATCTGATCATCTCACTCTACTCAGATATAGCAGATGTCATAATGCTACTCAAAGCCTTTTAGTAGCACATTAAAATGCATATTAATGCATAAAACAGGTGTTAGGAATATGAAAATTGAATGGCTGCTATTAGGGTGAACTTGCGTACTGGGCTAAGAAGGGGCTAAACCATTCATGTTTCCTCTACCTCCTATTCTCTCCATCTCCTTCCCTCCTCCGCCCGCTCCTAGCCCCTCCCATTCCATCCCTCTTTTCTCTTCTCTTCTCACTCTGAGGAAGTCGTCATAGTTCATCTGTCAGGCCCCCCACCCTCCCTTCCCTCTGTGTGTGTGTGTGTGTGTGTGTGTGTGTGTGTGTGTGTGTGTGTGTGTGTGTGTGTGTGTGTGTGTGTGTGTGTGTGTGTGTGTGTGTGTGTGTGCGCACATGTTTCCTCTGAACTAGCTTTAGTCCAGGCAGGGGTCAGTACATTTATGTTGCTTCTTCAAAGCAAATCCTTACTTATTTACCCCCCCCCCCCCCCCCGACTATGGAACACCAGGGACTGGTGACAAAAATTAACTGAGGATTTGTCCTGGAAGCTGTGTTGTACAGTTGCTTTTCCTTTGTCCCAGGAGTTGTGTGTGTGTGTGTTTGTTTTGGGGTGTGTGTGTTTTGGGGTGTGTGTGAGCCAAAAACGAAGTGTCTGAGAAGTGGCAGACGTGGTCTGGCCATTCATTAAACAGCGCTGCCTGTCTGGGGCCAACTCTAGTATGGACCTTCCGCTATAAGACAACAACAACCCTCCTCTCCTCCATAGGGATACATACACACTACCTCATCTAGGCAGCGACCGTAGTAAGACACAAGGTTGTGGGTTCGATTCCCACAGGGAACCAGTATGAAAATGTATGCACTCACTAACTGTAAGTCGCTCTGGATAAGAGCGTCTGCTAAATGATGAAAATGTAAATGTAAATACATGATTTTAGTCCGGTAGTATCATCTTTTTCCATGTCTGCTCCCACACAAAGCAGTAGACCTGTCCCAGTCTTGTAATACTAGGACAAATACAGCCGCTGTCTCCCTCATACTTCTAGTACCATTTTTCAGTGCAGTTTAGGGGAAGTAAAATCTCCTGTAGTAGGATTAGGGAGATGTCAGTACACTGTCTAGGCAGAGGAAGTGCTCTGGGTGTAGCACTGTTTCTCTCTCTCCCTGAAAAATATGGGGTGAATTGGATTTCTCTGGTTTCTAATTCTCCTGTAGTCTCTCTCCAGCTCTCTCTCTCCAGCTCTCTCTCACTCCAGCTCTCTCCCTCTCTCTCTCTCCAGCTCTCTGTCTCTCCAGCTTGCTCTCTGTACAGGTATCTCTCGCTCTCTCTCCAGATTGCTCTCTGTCCAGCTCTCTCTCTCTCTCCAGCTTTCTCTCTCTCTCTCTCTCTCTCTCTCTCTCTCTCTCTCTCTCTCTCTCTCTCTCTCTCTCTCTCTCTCTCTCTCCAGCTCTCTTTCCCTCCCTCTTTATTTAGCGATCTCTCTTTGACAGCTCTAATCTGACATCTTTATTTGTGGCAGAGAGAAATTCTAAGTAATATGGCTCGGCTGTGTGTGTGAATGTGTGGGTCTGTAGAGATGGTTTAGTGTGCTGCTTATGGTCATGTTTATGACTGAGGTGCATGTGTGTATTCTGTAGATGCCAATTGCTATGTCTGTGTGTATTGTGCATGTGCGTTGATTGTGCCAGTCATGCGCACATGTCCGTTTTGTGTGCCTGTGTATGTGTGCCAGTATGTTCCCCGGCAGGCAGACTGTGCTGCTGTGTGCAGTGGTCAGGTGGTCTGACAGTAGTTGGAGATGACATCACTCTGGAAGCATCTCCTTAGCTCTGCTCTCTTACCCCCCTACACACACACTCTCGCTGTCTCTCTCTCTCTCTCTCTTCTCCCGTGTTTGCTCTTGACTGAGCTGGGGGGTCCTGCTCTCCCCTTCTCCCCATATCTCTCTCCATCCTCCTCCCCCCCCCCCCCCCCCCCCCCCACACACACACACACACACATTTTGTTGTGTTACAGCCTGAATTTAAAATGGATTAAATTGAGATTTTTGTCACTGGCGTACACACAATAACCCATAATGTCAAAGTGGAATTATGTTTTTCAAAATGTTTACAAATTAATTAAAAATTAAAAGCTGAAATGTCTTGAGTAAATAAGTATTCACACCCTTTTTTTTGGCAAACCTAAATAAGTTCAGGAGTAAAAATGTGCTTAACAAGTCACATAATAAGTTGCATGGAATCACTCTGTGTGCAATAATACTGTTTAACATGATGAATGATTTGAATGACTACCTCATCTCTGTACCCCACACATACAATTATATGTAAGATCCCTTAGTCGAGCAGTGAATTTCAAACACAGATTCAACAACAAAGACCAGGGAGGTTTTCCAATGCCTCACAAAGAAGGGCACCTATTGGTAGATGGGTAATTCTTTTTGAAAGCAGACTATGAATATACGTTTTACCATGGTAAAGTTATTAATTACACTTTGGATGGTGTATCAATACACCCAGTCACTACAAAGATCAAAGCGTCCTTCCTAACTCAATTGCTGGAGAGGAAGGAAACCGCTCAGGGATTTCACCATTAAGGCAATGGTGATATTAAAACAGCTATAGAGTTTAATGGCTGTGATAGGAGAGAACTGAGGATAGATCAACAATATTGTAGTTACTCCACAATACTAACCTAATTGACAGAGTGAAAAGAAGGAAGCTTGTATATAATACAAATATTCCAAAACATTAATCCTGTTTTCAACAAGGCACTAAAGTAATACTGCCAAAGACCTGTGGTATGATGATGATATGATGCATATTCTGCCACAAAGTGGAAGCAGTGATAACTGTCAGCCTTATAATGTCAAAACCACCAGGTCTTTCCCTCATCTCCTTCTTCTCCCCTGGCTCTGCCTCCAGGCTGCCCTTTGCCACCCAATTTCCATGGCCCGCCTGTGCCAACCAACACAACGCAAATTCACCACCTGGTCTTTAAAGTGCATCATGTCTGGGGTCCAAAACCACAAAGGATTATCTTATTGTCTCCTGTTTTCCTGAGTTAAAGGCCAGTCAGGATTTGCATCAAAGAGAGAGGAAGAGTAGCAGGAAGAGCAATACTCTGTTTGGGTGTGTTTACTGAAAGGGGGCTTATGTAAATGTTTTAATGAGATGACATTAGACTGCATGGTCTCTCAGTACAGGGCAGTGTTCCAACAGTAGCCTAGTAGAGTATCCTCTCCATGTTTCCTTGCCTTTATGATAAGTGTTCAGATCAGTGAAAGGAGACAAGGAAGTAAAGCCGTCCAAGAATATTGGAACAAATATTACTTCAATGGCCGTCCACTCTACACCCCACATACCTTCACACAGTCCAACCCCACCCTGCCTGTCGCAGTTCAGACACACCTGCTCTGTTTATCAGTCAGTGTGTATAATGCTATGGGGCTATGGTGTGTGTTTGCGTGCATGGGGGAGGCGGGTATGTTTGCAGAAGAATTGAGAGATTACGGAGTTTGTTTGGAGCTGACAGTGTGTGTGCGCTGGCCGTGACAGTGACAATGGGCCCATGGTGGCACGCCACAAGGCCGAGGCAACAGCAGTCACATCAGCCGAGCCTGGCCCAATGTGATTGTGCTGCACTTTTCAGCCAACTCGTGTCACTGGGGCTCGCGACAAATCCCCTGCCCCTTTGTGTGTGTGTACGTCACGTCACATCGGTTAGTCATGTGTCTCTGTTGTATTTGTTGTTTTTATAATTCTGGGCAAGGGGGCTACTAAGGGTTAAAAACAAACACCTGTTTTTTACCTATTGACATTTAGTCGTCGCACAACAGAGAAAAACATCAGCCGATAAGAAATGCCTCAATGAGCACTTGAGAATTTGATCAATACTCACTGTTTAATGTACTCTCTCCGTGTGATGATATTTAAGATAGGAAACTTCTCATTGTTGTTTTTTCATAAACATCTATATTACCCTCTTTAAATGGTAGCTCACTGAATTGACCAGTGCGTTTTTCTGATAGAGGGTGAAAAGGATCATTGCCCACACAGTCTGTGTTGATGTGATTTGGCTGCTGTTCTGCCTACTGGGCCACAGCTGGCAGCCCTCTATCCCTTTAGCTCCCTCAGCCGGGCAACACATAACACACACACACACACACACACACACACACACACACACACACACACACACACACACACACACACACACACACACACACACCTATATATATATATATATATATATATATATATATATATATATATATATATATACACACACACACACACACACACACCACTAAAATGTTTTAAAATGGAAATAAGCGTTCCTTATTGGATTTCACTCTGTGTCAAAATGTTCTCTCCTACCAGCTTTATAGATCACACTCTTTCAGCACAGTCTCAAATCAAATCGAATCAAATGTTATTTGTCACATACACGTGTTTAGCAGATGTTATTGCGGGTGTAGCGAAATGCTTGTGCTTCTAGCTCCGACAGTGCAGTAATATCTAACAAGTAGTATCTAACAATTTCACAACATATACCCAATATACACAAATCTAGTAAGGAATGGAATTTAAGAATATGTACATATATGGACAAGCAATGACAGAGCGGCATGGACTAAGATACAGTAGAATATTATAGAATAGAATACAGTATATACATATGAGATGAGTAGTGCAAGATATGTAAACATTATTAAAGTGACTAGTGTTCCATTTCTTAAAGTGGCCATTGATTTCAATAGGCAGCAGCAGTGCTAGTGATGGCTATTTAACAGTCTGATGGACTTGAGATAGAAGCTGTTTTTCATTCTCTCGGTCCCAGCTTTGATGCACCTGTACTGACCTCGCCTTCTGGATGATAGCGGGGTGAACAGGCAGTGGCTCGGGTGGTTGATGTCCTTGATGATCTTTTTGGCCTTCCTGTGACATCGGGTGCTGTAGGTGTCTTGGAGGGCGGGTAGTTTGCCCTCTGTAATGTGTTCGGCAGACCGCACCACCCTCTGGAGAGCCCTGCGTATGCGGGCGGTGCAGTTGCCGTACCAGGCGGTGATACGTCACAACAGGATGCTCTCAATTGTGCATCGGTAAAAGTTTGTGAGAGTTTTAGGTGCCAAGCCAAATATCTTCAGCCTCCTGAGGTTGAAGAGGCTCTGTTGCGCCTTCTTCACCACACTGCCTGCGTGGGTGGACCATTTCAGTTTGTCAGTGATGTGTAGGCCAAGGAACTTGAAGCTTTCCACCTTCTCCACTGCGGTCCCGTCGATGTGGATAGGGGGGGTGCACCCTCTGCTGTTTCCTGAAGTCCACGATCTCCTTTGTTTTGTTGACGTTGAGTGAGAGGTTATTTTCCTGGCACCACACTCCCAGAGCCCTCACCTCCTCCCTGTAGGCGGTCTCGTCATTGTTGGTAATCAAGCCTACTACTGTTGTGTCGTCTGCAAACTTGATGATTGAGTTGGAGGCGTGCTTGGCCATGCAGTCATGGGTGAACAGGGAGTACAGGAGGGGGCTGAGCACGCACCCTTGTGGGGCCCCAGTGTTGAGGATCAGCGAAGTGGAAATGTTGTTTCCTACCTTCACCACCTGGGGGTGGCCCGTCAGGAAGTCCAGGACTCAGTTGCACAGGGCGGGGTTCAGACCCAGGGCCTCTAGCTTAATGATGAGTTTGGAGGGTACTATGGTGTTGAATGCTGAGCTATAGTCAATGAACAGCATTCTTACATAGGTATTCCTCTTGTCCAGATGGGATTGTGCAGTGTGATGGCGATTGCATCGTCTGTGGATCTATTGGGGCGGTAAGCAAATTGAAGTGGGTCTAGAGTGACAGGTAAGGTAGAGGTGATATGATCCTTGACTAGTCTCTCAAAGCACTTCATGATGACAGAGGTGAGTGCTACGGGGCGATAGTCATTTAGTTCAGTTACCTTTGCTTTCCTGGGTACAGGAACAATGGTGGCCATCTTGAAGCATGTAGGTACAGCAGACTGGGAAAGGGAGAGATTGAATATGTCCGTAAACACACCAGCCAGCTGGTCTGCGCATGCTATGAGGACGCGGCTAGGGATGCCATCTGGGCCGGCAGCCTTGCGGGGGTTAACATGCTTAAAAGTCTTACTCACGTCGGCCACGGAGAAGGAGAGGCCACAGTCCTTGGTAGTGGGCCTCGTCGGTGGCACTGTGTTCTCCTCAAAGTGGGCGAAGAAGGTGTTTAGCTTGTCTGGAAGCGAGACGTCAGTGTCGGCGACTTGGCTGGTTTTCCTTTTGTAGTCCGTGATTGGCTGTAGACCCTGCCACATACGTCTTGTGTCTGAGCCATTGAATTGCGACTCCACTTTGTCTCTATACTGATGTTTTGCCAGTTTAATTGCCTTGCGGAGCGAGTAGCTACACTGTTTTGTATTCTGCCATATTCCCAGTCACCTTGCCATGGTTAAATGTGGTGGTTCGCACTTTCAGTTATGTGCGAATGCTGCATCTATCCACGGTTTCTGGTTAGGGTAGGTTTTAATAGTCACAGTTGGCACAACATCACCTATACACTTCCTGATAAACTCAGTCACCGTTTCAGTGTATTCGTCTAAATTATTTTCGCAAGATACCCGGAAGATATCCCAGTCCGCGTGATCAAAGCAATCTTGGAAGTGTGGATTCCGATTGGTCAGACCAGTGTTGAATAGTCCTTAGCACGGGTACTTCCTGTTGGAGTTTCTGCCTATAGGAAGGGAGGAGCAAAATTGAGTCGTGGTCAAATTTTCCGAAAGTTCGAATAGCAATGGTCAAGGATTTTAGCAGCGCGAGTACAACAGTCGATATGTTGATAGAACTTCGGCAGCTTAATCCTCAGATTTGCTTTGTTAAAATCCCCGGCTACAATAAATGCAGCCTCAGGATATGTGGTTTCCAGTTTTCATAAAGTCCAGTGAAGTTCTTTGAGGGCCGTTGTGGTATCGGCTTGAGGGGGGATATACACGGCCGTGACTATAACCCAAAAAATGTTTTGGGGGAGATAATACGGTCGGCATTTGATTGTGAGGTATTCTAGGTCGGGTGACCAGAAGGACTTGAGTTCCTGTATGTTACTACAATTACACCATGAGTCGTTAATCATGAAACACACACCTCCACCCTTCTGCTTCCTGGAGAGATATTTATTCCTGTCTGCGCGATGAACTGAGAACCCATCTGGCTGAACTCTTGAGTCCTGGCTCTGAGTGTGTATGTGTGTGTGTAGAAGTCCACTGGTGTGGGTTTTGAGAAGCAGAGTGTGTGTTTTTGTGTCCTTGAAAGGGGTTGTGAGTAAATGATGAGGATTTTGTGGTCTCCCTGTTTACTCCTGCGATGTTGCTCTCTACAGACAGCTTGTGTGTTTAGTCTGCACAGCTCACACAGACTGACAGTAGTACTGATATTGTTTTGCATACTGAGAGGGATGACACCGACCCAAAGCACAGCAGCTATGCTGGGCGGTCTCTCTCTCTCTCGCTTTCTGTCTCTCTGTCTCTCTGTCCCTCCTCTTAGACACCTCACCTGGTAGTCTAGACCTTCTCTCTCCCTTTTGTGGTTGCAGTGCCATGGTAACGGAGGGGGCGGAGCACATGCCTGACTTAGTCTCCAGCCCCTCCCCGCTACTCTCTCTGTCACACCCTCACAGGTGGTTGGCTGAGCTGTCACAGCCCTGAAGGCTTGCCCTGTATGTGTATATGGGTGCAGTGGTGCCTGGAGAAGTGGGTATACTCTAATTATGCCCAACATTTCCCAAACGCTCCGCCCCGTGAAGGAAAGGCTACCGGTGTGAAAAATTCTATGAGAAACATAACATACACTCTGAATGACCTAAAATGATAAAACCCATATTGGTTTTTCAGTCAGGCCAACCCAAGCTGTACTGTGCAGGTTTCCACTCGAAGTCACACCTTTATCATAGAACATCCAATTTTGTTGTTTTTCTAAGTTCACAATAATGCTTAAACCACATCAGGAGACCACTTTTGAGGTCTGGGGAAAATATATTTTTTGTGTAGTTACCCTTTAATTCAAGTTCCCTAGCATTGTTGTTCGGTTAGCAGTGTTTCTGTAGCACATGAGATGGAGTTTGCAAAACAAATGGCCACTGGATTGATGCAAATAATCATGATATCATTCTGACAGGTAAGCATAGGCTACTTTGTAGCTAGTTAACATTTAATTGAAAAGGATTTTGGGAAAGTCTTTCCATGTACCAGAAGACGTTTAGGCATATCATTAGCATGACTATATTTTCCCTGTTTGTTAATTGTTTGAAACCTGGACGTTTTACTTCATATTACGAGGCATGTCTTACCTTGCTTCATAGTAGCCTATAGCCAAAATCTAACCATAGAAATGTGGAGGATTCAACAACTGAGACATAAACTGAACAAGTTCCACAGACATGTGACTAACATAAATGGAATAATGTGTCCCTGAACAAATGGGGGGTCAAAACCAAAAGTAACAGTCAGTATCTGGTGTGGCCACCAGCTGCATTAAGTACTGCAGTGCATCTCCTCCTCATGGACTGCACCAGATTTGCTAGTTCTTGCTGTGAGATGTTACCCCACTCTTCCACCAAGGCACCTGCAAGTTCGCAGACATTTCTGGGGGGAATGGCCTTAGCCCTCACCCTCCGATCCAACAGATCCCAGACGTGCTCAATGGGATTGAGATCCGGGCTCTTCGCTGGCCATAGCAGAACACTGACATTCCTGTCTTGCAGGAAATCACGCATAGAACGAGCAGTATGGCTGGTGGTATTGTCATGCTGGAGGGTCATGTCAGGATGAGCCTGCAGGAAGGGTACCACATGAGGAAGGAGGATGTCTTCCCTGTAACGCACAGCGTTGAGATTGCCTGCAATGACAACAAGCTCAGTGCAATGATGCTGTGACACACCGCCCCAGACCATGATGGATCCTCCACCTCCAAATCGATCCCGCTTCAGAGTACAGGCCTCGGTGTAACGCTCATTCCTTCGACGATAAATGCGAATCCGACCATCACGCCTGGTGAGACAAAACCGCTACTTGTCAGTGAAGAGCACTTTTTGCCAGTCCTGTGTGGTCCAGCGACGGTGGATTTGTGACCATAGGCGACGTTGTTGCCGGTGATGTCTGGTGAGGATCTGCCTTACAACAGGCCTACAAGCCCTCAGTCCAGCCTCTTTCAGCCTATTGCGGACAGTCTGAGCAATGATGGAGGGATTGTGCGTTCCTGGTGTAACTCGGGCAGTTCTTGTACCTGTCCCGCAGGTGTGATGTTCGGATGTACCGATCCTGTGTAGGTGTTGTTACACGTGGTCTGCCACTGCGAGGACGATCAGCTGTACGTCCTGTCTACCTGTAGCGCTGTCTTAGGCGTCTCACAGTACGGACATTGCAATTTATTGCCCTGGCCACATCTGCAGTCCTCATGCCTCCTTGCAGCATGCCTAAGGCACGTTCACGCAGATGAGCAGGGACCCTGGGCATCTCTCATTTGGTGTTTTTCAGAGTCCGTAGAAAGGCCTCTTTAGTGTCCTAAGTTTTCATCACTGTGACCTTAATTGCCTACCGTCTTTAAGCTGTTAGTGTCTTAACGACCGTTCCACAGGTGCATGTTCATTAATTGTTTATGGTTAATTGAACAAGCATGGGAAACAGTGTTTAAACCCTTTACAATGAAGATCTGTGAAGTTATTTGGATTTTTACGAATTATCTTTGAAAGACAGGGTCCTGAAAAAGGGACGTTTCTTTTTTTGCTGAGTTTATTAGCAACCCATGATAGTTGTTGCATCTTTAGATCGCCCCTTTTTCTAAATTTCTAATGGATAGTTCCATCTCTGTCTGTGGTGATGTGATTTGAAGGAGTCAGGCGCAGGAGGGTAAATCACAGAATAACAGGTTTATTCTGTGATTTACTGGGGACCCCTGTACTGGGGACACCTGTCAGACACTATGGCCTCTGGCACCCCGTACTGACGGAAGACGTGAGTAAACAGGGCCTCCGCCATCTGCAGGGCCGTGGGGAGACCGGGCAGAGGAAGGAGGCGGCAGGCTTTTGAAAAGCGGGCCACAACGACCAGGATGGTGGTGTTACTCTGAGAGACGGGAAGATCAGTGAGGAAGTCAATACACAGGTGGGACCATGGTCGTTGTGGAACTGGTAAGGGCTGTAACTTACCCGCTGGGAGGTGCCTAGGTGCCGTACTCTGGGCGCACACCGAGCAGGAGGAGACATACACCCTCACGTCCTTATCCAAGGTAGGCCACCAGTACTTTCCGGTCAGGCAGCGCACTGTACGACCGATACCTGGGTGACCAGAGGAGGGAGACGTTTGGGCTAGATCAGACGGTCACGGACAAGAGATGGCACGTACTGCAGCCCAGCTGGACACTGAGGTGGAGATGGCTCTGTGCGTACCGCCCGCTCTATGTCCGCGTCCATCGTCCATACTACCGGCGCCACAATGCAGGAGGCCGGGAGTATGGGGGTGTTGTGTATGGGCCTCTCCTCTGTGTCGTACAGTTGTGATAGCGTGTCTGCCTTCACGTTCTTCGTACCCGGGATGTATGACAGAGTAAACTCAAACCGGGTGAAGAATAGGGCCCACCTGGCCTGGCAAGGGTTCAGCCTCCTTGTTGCCTGGATGTGCTCCAGGTTACGGTGGTCCGTCCAGGCGAGGAAAGGGTGTTTCGCCTCCTCGAGCTTGTGCCTCCACACTGTCAGGACTCTGACTACAGCCAAAAGCTCCCGATCACCAACGTCGTAGTTCTGCTCCGCCAGGCTGAGCTTCTTGGAGAAGAAGGCACAGGGGCGGAGCTTTTGTGGCGTGCCCGAGCGTTGAGACAGGACAGCGCCTGTCCCTACCTCGGACGCATCCACCTCCACTACAAATGGTAGTGATGGATCGGAATGGGCCAGTACTGGGGCTGAGGTGAACAGAACCCTAAGGTTACTGAAGGCCCTGTCAGCCTCAGCAGACCAGCGGAGCCGGGACGGCCCACCCTTCAACAGAGATGTGATGGGAGCTGCGACCTGGCCAAAGCCCCGGATAAACCTCAGATAGTAGTTGGCAAAGCCAATAAAGCGCTGCACCTCCTTTAACGTGGTTGGAGTCGGCTAATTACGCACGGCTGAAATGCAATCTCCCTCCATCTCCACACCTGACGTGGTAATGCAGTATCCGAGGAAGGAGACGGACTGCTGGAAAAACAGACACTTCTCTGCCTTGGCATAAAGTTGGCCCAGCACTTTGCGAACCAGGGACACATGCTCGGCACGCGTAGCGGAATACACCAGAATGTCATCGATGTAGACCACTATACCGTGACCAAGCATATCCCGAAACACCTAGTTCACAAAGGACTGGAAAACGGATGGAGCATTCATCAAACCATACGGCATCACCAGGTATTCGTAATGCCCCGTGGTTGTGCTGAATGCTGTCTTCCATTCGTCCCCCTCTCGGACACACACCAGGTTGTAGTCCCGTGTAGCTCAGTTGGTAGAGCATGGTGCTTGCAATGCCAGGGTTGTGGGTTCGATTCCCACAGGGGGGCTAGTATGGGGGAAAAAAATTTATGCACTCACTAACTGTTAGTCGCTCTGGATAAGAGCACTCCGGAGATCTAATTTTGTGAAAAAGCGCTCCCCATTCATTGACTCGATCACAGATTGGATGAGGGGCAGAGGATAACGTATTGTCCCCTTGTTCAATGCTCGGTAATCAATGCACGGGTGCAGACCTCCGTCTTTCTTCTTCACAAAAAAGAAACTATAGGAGGCGGGCGAAGTGGAGGGATGTATGAACCCCTGGCGCAGGGACTCAGAGACGTATGTCCCCATCGCCTCCGTTTCAGCCTGCGACAGGGGATATACATGACTCATGGGAGGCACAGCATCTACTCTTAGGTTTATCGCGCAATCACCCCCTCCCCGATGAGGTGGTAATTTGGTCGCCTGCGTTTTGGAAAACGCATGCGCCAAATTGAGGTATTCGGGGGGGATGCGGACGGTGGAGGAAGTGTCTGGACTTTCCACCGTGGCTGCACCAACGGAAACAGCTAGGCACCTACCCTGACACTCTCGCGACCACCCCGTGAGAACCCTCTGCGGCCATGAAAAGGTGGGATTGTGTAGTGCTAACCAGGGAAGACCCAACACAACAGGTAAATCGGGGGTGTCAGGGTAGGTAAAATAATAATAAATGTGACGTGCTCTCTATGGGTCCTTTGGGGAACCATCGTGACTTGTGCTGTAACTTCCCTAATGAACCCTGACCCTAATGGTCGACTGTCAAGTGCTTTGATTGGCAGTGGAGTGGATAGGGGAACCAATGGAATACCTAGACTTAGAGCTAACGATCTGTCCATAAAGTTCCCAGCTGCACCTGAATTGACCAGCGCCTTACGCTGGGAAACTACGGGGTAGTCAGGGAAGGTGACGTGTATGGTGCAGTGTGCAGCAGAGGGCTCTGACCGATTGTGGGTTTGCGCTACCTGGGGTGATGCGAGAGTGCCCTGACTGCCGCCTCCAGACCCGGAAGAACCCTGACAACAGCATGCAGTATAATGTCCTCTTCTGCCACAAGAGTGACACTGAAGCTGTCCTCCTCCGTTCTCCCAGATCGCTGCCCCACCCAGCTCCATCGGAACGGACTCCTGTCCACCCTTCGGACGTCCTGTCGCAGGCTGCACCGGAATCCGTAGATCAGGGCCCACTCGTTCCACCCGGACCCAGCCGCTAGGGTCCGAAACTCCAGGGCGAAGTCCAGCGCGGTCCTCGTCCCCTGCCTCAGTTGGACCAGACGCTCACCCGCATCTCGTCCTTCAGGCGGGTGGTCGAAGACTGCCCGGAACAGGCAAGCGAACTCCCCGTAGTTGTCCAACGCGGTTCCTCCTTCTCTCCAGACCGCGTTGGCCCACTCCAGGGCTTTCCCCGAGAGGCAGGAGACGAGGGCAGACACCTTCTCCTGCTCCGATGGAGCCGGGCTGATGTTCACGAAGTAGAGGTCCAGCTGCGGGAGGAATCCCTGGCAGCAGGCAGCCGTCCCGTCAAACTCCCTCGGTCGGGATAGATGAATACCTCGGGGTGCTGGAGTGTGGGTGGCCGGATCCGGTCGCTCAGCTGGTCCCGACGGGTTGGGTCTTCTCCTCTCCAGGCATTGGACGACCTGGAGAACCCGATCCATCGCTTCTCCCAAGCTGGCTAGCATCCTGGAATGCTTGTGGACCCGTGCCACGACTCCAGGCATGGGCTCTTCTCGTGCTCACTCCATGGTTAGGTGTGTGATTCTGTGGTGATGTGATTTGAAGGAGTCAGGCGCAGGAGGGTAAATCACATAATAACAGGTTTATTCCGTTGACTCAGCGGTCGCAGCAATGCGTCAAACACTCCAGTGCGGAAATATACAGCGCTCTGGAAACAACAAGGCACACGGGTGAATATCCCGGCGATACAAAATACCGAGCTAAATTAACCTCCACAATAAACAATCACACACAAAGACAAGGGGGCAGAGGGAACACTTATGCAGGTACTGATGAGGGGAATTGAAACCAGGTGTGTGTAATAAACAAGACAAAACAAATGGAATGATGAGATGAGGAGCGGCAGTGGCTAGAAGACCGGTGACGACGAACGCCGGAGCCTGCCCGAGCAAGGAGAGGAGGCAGCTTCGGAGGAAGTCGTGACAATGTCCATGAAACCGCTCGCATGTGCGGTGTGGATTTTAGAACAATGTTTTCTTGCTTTTCACTGTGAAAGAGGCTGTATCTATGTTGGTTGGTGATATGAATTCGGACACGTCCTTGCAGCGATGATGTCGAGGTGAGTGAAATAAGTAAACAGCAGATATACACTACCAGTCAAAAGTTTGGACACACCTACTTATTGAAGGAGTTTTCTTTGTTTTTACTATTTTCTACATTGTAGAATAATAGTGAAGGCATCAAAACTATGAAATAACATATGTGGAATCATGTAGTAACCAAAAAAGTGTTAAACAAATCAAAATATATTTTAGATTTTAGATTCTTCAAAGTAGCCACCCTTTGCCTTGATGACAACTTTGCACCCTCTTGGCATTCTCTCAACCAGCTTCACCTGGAATGCTTTTCCAACAGTCTTGAAGGAGTTCCCACATATGCTGAGCACTTGTTGGCTGCTTTTCCTTCACTCTGCGGTCCAACTCATCCCAGACCATCTCAATTTGGTTGAGGTCGTGGAGGCCAGGTCATCTGATGCAGCACTCCATCACTCTCCTTCTTGGTCAAATAGCCTTTACACAGCCTGGAGGTGTGTTGGGTCATTGTCCTGTTGAAAAACAAATGATAGTCCCACTAAGCGCAAACCAGATGGGATGGCGTATCGCTGCAGAATGCTGTGGTAGCCATGCTGGTTAAGTGTGCATTGAATTCTAAATAAATCACTGACAGTGTCACCAGCAAAGCACCCCCACACCATCACACCACTTCCTCCATGCTTCACGTTGGGAACCACACGTGGAGATCATCCGTTCACCTACTTCTGCGTCTCACAAAGACACGGCGGTTGGAACCAAAAATCTCAAATTTGGACTCATCAGACCAAAGGACAGATTTCCACGGTCTAATGTCCATTGCTCGTGTTTCTTGGCCCAAGCAAGTCTCTTCTTATTATTGGTGTCCTTTAGTAGTGGTTTCTTTGCAGCAATTCGACCATGAAGGCCTGATTCACGCAGCCTCCTCTGAACAGTTGATGTTGAGATGTGTCTGTTACTTGAACTCTTTGAAGCATTTATTTGGGCGGCAATTTCTGAGGCTGGTAACTCTAATGAACTTATCCTCTGTAGCAGAGGTATCTCTGGGTCTTCCTTTCCTGTGGTGGTCCTCATGAGGGCCAGTTTCATCATAGCTCTTGATGGTTTTTGCGACTGCACTTGAAGAAACTTTCAAAGTTCTTGAAATGTTCCGCATTGACTTACCTTCATGTCTTAAAGTAATGATGGACTGTTGTTTCTCTTTGCTTATTTGAGCTGTTCTTGCCATAATATGGACTTGGTCTTTTACCAAATAGGGCTGTCTTCTGTATACCACCCCTACCTTGTCACAACACAACTGATTGGCTCAAACGCATTAAGAAGGAAAGAAATTCCATTAAGAAGGCACACCTGTTAATTGAAATGCATTCCAGGTGACTACCTCATGAAGCTGTTTGAGAGAATGCCAAGCGTGTGCAAAGCTGTCATCAAGGCAAAGGATGGCTACTTTGAAGAATCTCAAATATAAAATATATTTTACAGTGTAGAAAATAGTAAAAATCAAGAAAAACCCTTGAGTAGGTGTGTCCAAACCTTTGACTGGTACTGTGTGTTTGGTGTTGTCGATGTTTGATGCTGTGAAACTTGGGGAATAGCTCTCAGATTACCAAGTCATGTCATGATAACTTCGTTGGTACAGGCGAGCACATCAGCGGTGGAGCTCGAATGATTGCTCTCTGTCTCATGGAAATATTTGCAGTGTTCTACTGTATATAGTCAGCTAAGTAGTTGGTTGTTTTGTCTTGTTTCTACCGATTTAATTCATATGGAAACGGCCCAAGCTGCTTGCTATAGCTAGCTAGTTAACTAGTTAGTCTGTCAGGCAAGAAATGTTGTGTGTAGCGGTACATTAAGGCTGTGCTCACGAAGCGTCAACTTCAACTGTCACTTTCACTAGCTATCCATACAGACAACCAGCTAACTAGCTACTGAAATTAAGGCTAGAGTAATTTGTTTTTATCTCTTGGGTTTAGGTCATGGTTTGCTAGGTGCAGATAGTCATAGGCTATACATTGCCTTGTTTTCCTATTATTTGACTTATTAGCTGTCGTGTTTGGGTAGTAGTTGCCCGCGCAAAGGAACTCATATGATGAGTTGGATATTTGTTTACATAACCAGCTAACACGTTGCTTATTTTGTCCTGTTTCTACCGATGCAATTCATTTGGAAACTGTCCCAGCTTCGTAACTAATCAGCTAACATTTGCGAACTCTGTAGTTAGGGGAGGGGGAGAGGGAGAGAGAGAGACCCCTTATCAGGAAGAGAATATGTGTATGGTTGAGAAAAAGAAAGAGGAAGGAAGAGAGAGACAGTGTGAGAGGGAGATCATGTTCCTGACCACAATTGTATCCTATTTGTTGCTCATCTCCCTCTCTTACTCTGTTCCTCTAGGTCAGTGAAAGTGAGGGAAGTGATGTGGAGATTCAGAGCTCAGCAGCAAAAAGCAAGGAGGAATAGGAGTTAGAGATGATTGGAGAGATAGATAGATAGATAGATAGAGATGTGGAGCAAGGAGGGAGGAGTGGAGCGAGAGGAGAGTGGAGGGATAGAGGAAGAGGAGAGTGAAGAGGAGGAAGAGTAGAGTAGGAGGAGGAGGGAGAGTACGAAGCAGATGGAGAGGAGGAGGAAGAGGGAGAGCACACCCGAGTGTGTCTGCCCCAATCCCACCGTTCACCCTTGTACCACACAGCCTGGGCCTAAAGTGACAGTGGCAGGGGTTTTGGAGTTGTTTTTAAAAGTGGTTGGATCTTATATCTGTTCCAGAGCTTGTAATGGATTACAACAAGAAAATGGACGGGGTTGACCATCTTGACCAACTGAGGAGCTATTACAATGTTGGACGCACAGGCAGAAAACGGTGGAAGTATGGGTTTTGGGGGATGCTCAACATTTCCATCATAAATGCGTACAGTGTCTGGGGGACTCTGCAAAGGCCCCTTCTCAGAAGCCGCAGGCGCTGGTCCCAGAAGGCATTCAAAATTCAGCTTCTGCATTCACTTTGTGATATGTCTACAGTGGCAGGAAGAGGGTATCCAAGAGTGTGGCACCAGGGCGCGTGTACTGAGTTGTAACTCATTTGAAAGCAGGTGGAGTTTGAAGGGCGCAAGAGAGGGGGTGTGGTGTGCATCTGGACGCTGGGCAAAGAGTGGGAGATGTGTAGAAACCTTTGGGTGCTCTACGTGTTCTGTGCCACTTTGCAGGATGGGGCAGTGCTTCCAGAAGTTCCACGACATGTTGTAGGCTAAATGCAAACACTAAAGTGAGTGTGAAACACAGTATGAATTTGTCCTACAAATCTTTTATTGTCTCTGAACAGTTGTTGTTTTGTATCTTCTCTCTATCTAATACTTGTTGCATTCACTGAATTGTTGTCAAAGTAGGCTACTATTTCTAGGCCTGGTCTGTCCTAAATCTTATTGAGAGAGGTTACCTACATTCTGAATAGTTGTTTGCCTTTTTACATTGTTACAGAAGTAAGAATTGTTGTCAATCAAATAGCCTACTTTGTTTGCGCTCTGAAATACTTTGAGTATTGTCCTCTGGTCACATTTTGGATAATTGTATTTATTTATATGTAAAGAATATTTATATGTATATAATTTTTTTATTTAGTAATTTAGTCAAATGTACTACAATTTACATACTCAAGTTTTTTGTTGTTGTGTTGTGTTAATCGTATTTTGATAGTGAGTGTCTTTACACAATGGAAGACAATATGAGTGTTATTCCTATTGACATGAATGTGGTGTCATATTAAAGAAGAGGTTGTGCTCTTTAAAAGTAAGTTAACTTGTAATTGTCATTTGTTCTTTGTTTTTGAGCTATGTCTGTTTGTTTGAAATGTGTGAGAAAATGAGCTTTATCTTGACAATTCTCAGTAATCTACAGCAGCATTCTAGAATTTTATTGGGGTGTAAAGGGTTCATTTATACTGCGTATACCTCCACTACACTACTTTGATACGCATAGTGGGGATTTAGAAGTGAGTATACACAATGCCCACTGAAAAAAAGGGGGGGGAATACGGTAGTGCTAAGCGATTAGTGCTTTTTGAGGTCGGTTCAATTTCGGTTTAGATTCACAGAAAATTAGCAAATCTGATGTTGAAGATAGATCTCACTAGACATATTTTACTCATGTAAATCCACCCCTAGTCAGTCTGTCCTGGGGGCATGGAGAGACCCTCCCACCGTGACCTTCTAGTCAGTCTGCCCTGGGGGCAGGGAGAGACCCTCCCACGGTGACCTTCTAGTCTGTCTGCCCTGGGGGCAGGGAGAGACCTTCCCTCCGTGACCTTCTAGTCAGTCTGGCCCCAGGGCAGGAAGAGACAGGCTGCTCTGTGGGAACCTAACAGCAGCCAGAATGTCTGAGCAGAGACAAAGAGAGGAGGGAGTCTGCTTAATAGACAGACAGTAGTGAGGAAATGTGTGTGTCTGTGCTGATGCTTTTACTAGTGTGTCTGTAGTGATGGGTTAACTACTTGTACTACCTCTGAGCCTGGAGCTGTTCCTACAGACATTAAAGAGTAGAGCAGCTCTGTTAACATGCCCTAAACACAGGGAAAGACTTCTGACTCGACAGCCATCTAGCCTGGCGACTCAAACTAAATACTTCCACTGCTCTATCGTTCGCCACATGCTTTAGTCTGAGACTGCCATCATTGATGTCGTTTGTGGTGACAAGGGGCACGAGGGGTGTTGCACAAAACAAAGTCATCAGCGATTGGATCGTCTGAGAGATTGGACCAATTAGAGTATCAAAGCCAATGATGTGTCAGAGGAAGGCCCTCAAAATTGTCAAAGACTCCAGCCACCCTAGTCATAGACTGTTCTCTCTGCTACCGCACGGCAAGCGGTACCGTAGCACCAAGTCTAGGTCCAAAAGGCTTCTCAACAGCTTCTACCCCCAAGCCATAAGACTCCTGAACAGCTAATCATGGCTACCCGGACTATTTGCACCCCCACCCCATCTTTTTACGCTGCTGCTACTCTGTCACTTTAACTCTACCCACATGTACATATTACCTCAACTACCTCAACTAGCCGGTGCCCCCGCACATTGACTCTGCACCGGTACCCCCCTGTATATAGCCTCCCTACTGTTATTTTATTTTACTTCTGCTCTTTTTTTCTCAACACTTTTTTGTTGTTGTTTTATTTGACTTTTTTATGAAAAAATAAATGCATTGTTGGTTAAGGGCTGTAAGTAAGCATTTCACAGTAATGTCTACACCTGTTGTATTCGGCGCATGTGGCAAATAAAATGTGATTTGATTTGATGATGAATTTACCCACGTGGGTTCTGGTTCTGGCTCAACCTATTGGTTTCTGGACCAATCAGATGGCCCCGAATGTGTTCGCATTCAGTGAAGGGTCGGGGAGGTACTCAGATCCAGACTCATTGTGGAGAAGAAACTAACGTCCGTGGGCGTGGGCGTGGCCTAGTCATCAGCCACCAGGAATATGTTCAGCTCCTTTTGTTGCTATCTCACTCTTTTATTGATCTTATGAAGAAAACAGTTCATACAAGGGGATAAGTTATGGTGACTATTTTCATTGGTACATTTTTCCTATAAGTATCACAGCTGATAAGATAAGGCAACACCTCTCTTGGTATTGATTGATTTAATTGATTTTACAATTTAAAAAAATACATACATTCAGTAGCTACATACATTTAAAAAACGATCAAGGATAATACAATCAAGTGCATTACTTATTTCCGTTGTATAGGCTATCCTTGTTAGTGCATGGTACACGAATACGCTCTGTAGTGTAAATGATTATACAGTGCATTCGGAAAGTATTCAGATCCCTTGACTTTTTCAAAATTTTACGTTACAGCCTTATTCTAAAATTGATTAAATTAAATTGTTTCCCCCCCCTCATCAATCTACACAATCATCAATCAAGAGGTCAATCCCCCATAATGAGAAAGCAAAAACTGGTTTTTAGACAGTTTTGTAAATGTATTAAAAAAATAAAACAGAAATCACAGTTAGATAAGTATTCAGACCCTTTACTCAGTACTTTGTTGAAGCACCTTTGGCAGCGATTACAGCCTCGGGTCTTCTTAGGTATGACGTTACAAGCTTGGCACACCTGTATTTGGGGAGTTTCTCCCATTCTTCTCTGCAGATCCTCTCAAGCTCTGTCAGGTTGGATGGGGAGCGTCGTTGCACAGCTATTTTCAGGTCTTTCCAGAGATGTTCGATTGGGTTCAAGTCCGGCCTCTGGCTGGGCCACTCAAGGACATTCAGAGACTTTTCCCGAAGCCACTCCTGCGTTGTCTTGGCTGTGTGCTTAGGGTCGTTGTCCTGTTTTAACGTGAACCTTCGCCCCAGTCTGATGTCCTGAGCGCTCTGGAGCAGGTTTTCATGAAGGATCTCGCTGTACTTTGCTCCGTTCATCTTTCCCTCGACCCTGACTAGTCTCGCAGTCCGTGCTGCTGAAAAACATCCCCACAGCATGATGCTGCCACCACCATGCTTCACCGTAGGAATGGTGCCAGGTTTCCATCAGACGTGACGCTTGGCATTCAGGCCAAATAGTTCAATCTTGGTTTCATCAGACCAGAGAATCTTGTTTCTCATGGTCTGAGAGTCTTTAGGGGCCTTTTGGCAAACTCCAAGCGGGCTGTCGTGTGCCTTTTACTGAGGAGTGGCTTCCGTCTGGCCACTCTACCATAAAGGCCTGATTGGTGGAGTGCTGCAGAGATGGTTGTCCTTCTGGAAGGTTCTCCCATCTCCACAGAGGAACTCTGGAGCTCTGTCAGAGTGACCATTGGGTTCTTGGTCACCTCCCTGACCAAGGCCCTTCTCCCCCGATTTCTCAGTTTGGCCGGGCGGAAAGCTCTCGTAAGAGTGTTGGTTGTTCCAAACTTCTTCCATTTAAGAATGATGGAGGCCACTGTGTTCTTGGAGACCTTTAATGCTGCATAAATGTTTTGGTCCCCTTCCCCAGAACTGTGCCTAGACACAATCCTGTCTCGGAGCTCTACGGACAATTCCTTCGACCTCATGGCTTGGTTTTTGCTCTGACATGCACTGTCAACTGTGGGACCTTATATAGACAGGTGTGTGCCTTTCCAAATCATGTCCAATCAATTGAATTTACCATAGGTGGACTCCAATCAAGTTGTAGAAACATCTCAAGTATGATCAGTGGAAACAGGATGCACCTGAGCTCAATTTCGAGTCTCATAGCAAAGGGTCTGAATACTTACGTAAATAAGCTATGTCTGATTTTTAAATGTGCTAAAATGTCTAAAAACCTGTTTTCGCTTTGTCATTATGGGGTATTGTGTGTAGATTGATTAGGATATATATATTTTTGAATCCATTTTAGAATAAAGCTCTAACGTAACAACATGTGGAAAAAGTCAAGGGATCTGAATACTTTCCGAATGCCCCGTCTACAGCCAAGGTATTATCCTCTCGCAGGAGACATGCTCTCTCCTCCAGCTTCGTGCCACTTAGTTCCTCAGACCCTCTCATGATCATAACATATTATTAGTCTGATTCCCTCACTTCTTTTGCTATTTTTTTCATTCTCCTTCTTTTCTGTAATCCTCTGCAGCAGCAACTCTGCCAGGGAGAGAGAGCGGTAGAGAGAGGGAGAGATATTTGCTTAACCAAATCCTCTAAGGAGGCACCCCTTCTTTGATCCTCTCCCAAATTTACTGTATCTGCTTTCATTTGGTCATCTGTCAGGTGGCTGTGCCGCGTAGGATGAGAGGAAGCAGACACAGAGAGACAGAGACAATAGTCCATGCCTAACTCCTCTCTCTCTCTCTCTCGCTTTCTTTCCCTGTCACTCCTTCCATCTCTCTTGCTCCCTCTCACTTTCTTTCTCTACTCCCTCTATCTCTCTCGCTTCCTCTCATCCCAATTGAAGTTATGCTGGTGTCTTTTTCAACGTCAGAACTTTGGATGGCATGTCTGTAACTCTGTATGTGTCGGATAGCGTTCTCAAGAGCTCACCACTTTGATGGCATGCCAAAGTGAGCCAAGGTTTGCCCTCTTTGTTGGTCACTTGGAGTGCAAACAACAAATCCAAAATCAACACACAAGCATACACACACAATACCGTTAAGTGATTAAGTTCTATGTTCCACTGGTGAGTGAGATGATCGACCCTGTTGAATCGACTTGATTTGTTTTGTGATGATTTCATGTTATGTCTCCGTTAAATCAGTGACATCATTTCCCTAACCTCGCCTCCTCTTGTATTCCAGCCAGGAGCTTTCCATGGCTCAAAGATGTCATTGTAATCTCCCACAAAAGAGAGAGCTCCTTTTTAATCTTCCTCCTCTTCATTCTCTCGCTCCGCTCCTCCATCCCTCCATTAGCAGGGAAATTGAGTGTTTTGCCCTTTCTCTTCTCATCCTCCCTCTCCTTCTGATCTGTTGTGTCATCCATTCAACAGTTCACACACATCCGCTCCCAGAATGATCCATCCAAGTTAAAATGACTCACTCTGTTCTCTCGCTCTCTTTCTCTCTCTCCACAGTGAACACCTGTCGTGCTCGTTCCCCTTCTTCCTCCATGGGGAGAGTAACGTGTGCACCAGCGTGGAGATCAACCAGCACCAGCCTGTCTACCACCTGAGTGACGAGCACCTCACCCTGGCCCAGCAGGCCTCCAGCCCCTTCCAAGGTGGGTGGAGTGGAGTGTATAGAGTATTGTGATACTAAACCTGGTATCGGCATCAAAGTCAAAATTCTGGTATCGTGACAACACTAAACCCTAATTCTTACTCTAACCCTAATTGTAACCCTAAACCTAAAATAGCCTTTTTGCTTGTTCTGGCAAGATGTCCCCACTTATCAGAATTTTCCTTGTTTTACTATCCTGGTCCCCACAAGGATACAAGGATAATAAAACCAAAAACACACACACACTCTGTTCTCTCTGCTCCGTGTTGTGTCTCTAATAGAAGACAAGAGTAATCCTCAGGTATTAAGAACAGGCACCGCCCCTCCTCTCTCCTCCGCTCCTCTCCTCCACTCCTCCTCGCTTCATCAGACAGCCTGACAGTAATGATGTGCCACCAGCAGCCCTCACACACCTCCCTCTGTCCCTCCCCCTCTTTCCCCTTCTTCTGGCTTTTCCCTGTCCTTTTCCTACTCCTCCTCTCACGTACCCTTCCCCAATTCCTCCACCTCTCCCCTGCCACCACCACCTCCTATTCTACTTCTCTTCTCATTCCCTGCCTCCCTCCCTCTAGCCCTCACAGTGCTGTCCCCACTAGCTGATCTCTGCTGCTATAGACATCTGTACAATTAGCGGGGCCCAACGGCAGCAGCAGAGACGGTGCCAGGCAGGGTGTACAACACAGACACACAGAGAAGCGGGAGCCTACACCGCAACAAAAGAGATCCCAACAAAAGAAAGAGAGAGAGAGAGGCTCCCTCACTACAGAGGAGGAGGGGGAGGGAAGCATGAAGGAGCGATCATTACACCAGGCACAAGGGCTTTGCCTTAGGTTAGAGAACAAAATGCCACCTCCGCTCTTCTCTTCCTCTCAACTCCTCTCTCAGTTAGACTGAGTTATTCCTCAGCCCCCCTCCATCCCCTCTCCACCCACCTAATAATGGTGATCACTTTGTCCATTCTCTGATCTGACTGGAGCGCAGCGGCAGTGCGGCACAGGGAATCTGATTCACAGGGAAAACTAGCTGTGCAGAGCCTGTGGTTTAGCGGTAGGCCTAACGCTCCCAGCCAGTCACATATACTCAGCTCCCCACCAGAGACCAGGGTTTAATCCCCGTATCCACCCTTCCTACTGTTTTCCCACTTGCCTGTCTCCCCTTCTGTTTCTAGCTGTCTGAATAAAGTGTAAAAATGAAACAAAAATATTTTACTACTATTCTAATTAGAGCCTTGTTCTGTTTAAAACCCCTTCTATTAAAGCATGTTGGTCTATTTATTCAATAGCAGGTTATTGAATGTAATTCCAGTAACGGTAGAGAGGGATGGGTTTTTTGCACGGCAGGTCGATAGATAGATAGATAGATAGATAGATAGATAGATAGATAGATAGATAGATAGATAGATAGATAGATAGATAGATAGATAGATAGATAGATAGATAGATAGATAGATAGATAGATCTACACTGCACAGCACAGCAAAGCGCTACTGTGTGACTCTCTCACTCTCTCTTTAGTCACTAGTGTGTGTCAGTATTTGTATTTATTTATTAAGGATCCCCATTAGCTGCTGCCAAGGCAGCAGCTACTCTTCCTGGGGTCCAGCAACATTAAAGCAGTTACACACAATTTAAAATATTACATGACATTACACTTTACCCAATACATTTAGTGTGTTCCCTCAGGCCACTACTCCACTATCACATATTTACAATACAACATCCATGTGTACGTGTGTGTAGAGTGGGTGTCTTATCATGTGTATGTGTGTCTGTGCCTGTGTGTGCCTCTTCACAGTCCCCTCTGTTCCAGAAGGTGTATTTTTGTATCAGTTTAAAAAAAATCTGATTCTATTGCTTGTATCAGTTAGCTGATGTGGAATAGAGTTCCATGTAGCCATGGCTCTATGTAGTACTGTGCGCCTCCCATAGTCTGTTCTTGACTTGGGGATTGTGAAGAGACCTTTGGTGGCATGTCTTGTGGGGTATGCATGGGTGTCCGAGCTGTGTGCTAGTAGTTTAAACAGACACCTCGGTGCATTCAGCATGTCAACACTTATTACAAAAACAAGTAGTGATGAAGTCAGTCTCTCCTCCACTTTGATCCATGAGAGATTTACATGCATATTATTAATGTTAGCCCTCTGCGTACATTTAAGGACCAGCCGTGCTGCCCTGTTCTGAGCCAATTGTAATTCTCAGAGGTTTCTTTGTGGCACCTGACCACACGACTGAACAGTAGTCCAGGTGCGACAAAACTAGAGCCTGTAGGAACTGCCTTGTTGATAGTGTTGTTAAAAAGGCAGAGCAGCGGTTTATTATGGACAGACTTCCCCCCATCTTAGCTACTGTTGTTTCAACATGTTTTGACCATGACAGTTTACAATCCAGGGTTACTCCAAGCAGTTTAGTCACCCCAACATGCTCAATTTCCACATTATTTATTATAAAATTTAGTTGAGGTTTAGGGTTTAGTGAATTATTTGTCCCAAATACAATACTTTTAGTTTTTGAAATATTTAGATCTAACGTATTCCTTGCCACACATTCTGAAACTAACTGCAGCTCTTTGTTAAGTGTTGCGGTAATTTCACTCGCTGTAGTTGCTGACGTGTATAGTGTTAAGTCATCCGCATACATAGACACACTGGCTTTACTCAAAGGCAGTGGCATGTCATTAGTAAATATTGAAAAAATTAAGGGGCCTAGACAGCTGCCTTGGGGAATTCCTGATTCTACCTAGATTATGTTGGAGAGGCATCCATTAAAGAACACCCTCTGTGTTCTGTTAGACAGGTAACTCTTTATCCACAATATAGCAGGGAGTGTAAAGCTATAACACATACGTTTTTCCATCAACAGACTATGATCGATAATGTCAAAAGCCGCACTGAAGTCTAACAAAACAGCTCCCACAATCTTTTTACCATCAATTTCTCTCAGCCAATCATCAGTCATTTGTGCAAGTGCTGTGCTTGTTGAATGTCCTTTCCTATAAGCGTGCTGAAAGTCTGTTGTCAATATCTTTACAGTAAAATAGCATTGTATCTGGTCAACAACAAAAAATCTCCAAAAAGTTTACTACGGGTTGGTAACAGGCTGATTGGTCGGCTATTTGAGCCAGTAAAGGGGGCTTTACTATTCTTGGGTAGCGGAATGACTGTTGCTTCCCTCCAGGCCTGAGGGCACACACTTTCTAGTAGGCTTAGATTGAAGATATGGCAAATAGGAGTGGCAGTATCGTCCGCTATTATCCTCAATAATTTTCCATCCAAGTTGTCAGACCCCTGTGGCTTGTCATTGATAGACAACAATTGTTTTACTTCTTCCAGACTCACTTTACGGAATTCAAAATTACAATGCTTGTCTTTTAATTATTTGATAAGTTATACTTGGATGTGTAGATGAATGCTAGATCAGGATTAGGTCAAGTCTATCAGATAGTGGACAAGACCCGTAGCTACTGTACTGCCTCTGCTCTTTTACCAATATACCAACCTGTCCATAGCATGTATGGGACTTGAGCTGGCAGACTGAAAGACATGCTGCTCTATGTGTTTGGTGCCATATTGCACAGGCAAATGGATAAATGGTTTAATGTGGAGTCAATTGTCCTCTGGTCATCAAATATGTTTATCTTCAATTAAAGACAGTGTTTAATGCACTGTGGTGGGACCACTGATGTGACCAGTACTGTATGTCAGAGCACTCCCCCTCTACCAATGGGTAATGATAGTGTGTTTGAAATCAGTACAAACCAAAGGCTGAATTTCTAGGGTGTGTGCAGGTGTGTGTTCTAGCCACTAACTGGGTGTCTGTTTTAGCAGATTGAGCGTAGCGGCAGATAAGGGCTGACGTCTGCTAGTCTCCTCCCTCCCTCCCTCTCTCCCCCACCACTCACCTCTGACAGGCTTGGTTTAGTGTGCAGTAGAGCGCTCCAGCCTCTTCAGGATATGACCTCATAAAACAGCGCAGAGTGAATGTAATGAACTCTCAGCCCATTTAACTGATCTGAGCATATTTGACATGTCTTCAGGGAGATGGAGAAAGAGAGAGAGAGAAGGGGAGATGGAGACAGAGAGAGAGAGAGGAGAGATGGAGACAGAGAGAGAGAAGGGGAGATGGAGACAGAGAGAGAGAGAAGGGGAGATGGAGACAGAGAGAGAGAGAAGGAGAGATGGAGACAGAGAGAGAGAGAGAAGGGCAGATGGAGACAGAGAGAGAGAGAGAAGGGGAGATGGAGACAGAGGGAGAGAGAGAAGGAGAGATGGAGAGGAGTATGGGAGAAGCCAGAGCTCGAGAGATGGAGACGATGGGCATGAGAGAATGAGACGAGAGAGAGAGAGCAGATGGAGACAGAGAGAGAGAGTGATCAGGAAGATAGGAGAGCGACAGAGAGAGTGACTAGATGGAGACATGAGAGTGAAGGGTGAGATGAGCATTGGAGATAGGTTAGGATGGGAGATGGAGACAGAGAGAGAGTGAAGGGGAGATGGAGAAATGCACACACAAAGAGAGAGGGTATGTCGTGATCATATCAACATTAATTACATTCAAACTCTCCCTGTGACGTGTAGTGCTTGTGCTCCTGCAATGCAAATTACCTTAGGTTTACGACAGCCTGTTCTCCCTCAATAGTCAATCAATTTCTGCTGAAGCAGTTGTTGGATGTTACAATGAATGAAGTCCAGGACCGGGCTCGAGAGGGTTCAGGGTTGTGTTCTGGAATGGACCGCATAGGACATAAGAGGTGTGTATGAGTCAGTTAGTCAGTCAGTCTGTCTGTTTCCTGTTGTAGTCTCTGAGGGAACTGGATGTTCACTCAATTGTCTGGTGCGGTCACCATCCACTTACTACTTACTATGGCCTCTCCACCCAATATCAGTGTGGTGGGAATATGAATATAGATCGACTAGCCTTCTCCTTAAAAGATCCTGACCTTAAGTGGCTTGTGTTTAGCTGGCCAGCACTCTGTGTGTTCTAGATGTTCTCTCTCTCACTCTCTCTCGCTCTCTCTCTATCTGTCTGTCTGTCTGTCTGTCTGTCTGTCTGTCTGTCTGTCTGTCTGTCTGTCTGTCTGTCTGTCTGTCTGTCTGTCTGTCTGTCTGTCTGTCTGTCTGTCTGTCTGTCTGTCTGTCTGTGTCTGTCTGTCTCACTGTGTTCCCTGTGAGATTGCCTTCTCTTCCCCCCCCTTCTCCCTCCTGGAAAGCTCCATCCTGTCCAGCCAGTGAGCCACTAGACCAGATCAATACTCACAGGGACAGGGCCATACACTACAACAGTGATTCTCAAGTGGTGGGTCGTGGGAGGTTTTGAATGGGTCGTGGGTGTCTGAGTAAAGAAATAATAATTAAGTCGGAACTTAAACTACTAAACGACTACAGCCAGGTAGAAAGTAGTAAAAAGTGATTAAAAAATGTAATCTCTGAACTATTTTTCTTCGATCCCAGTGTTTTCAATATAGAGCTTTTACCAGTGCTTTTAGAACTTATTAACATTCTCCATCAAGAATATGGGAAAAATTGAATTATTTGGGATTATTTCCATAATTGCTACAGTTACTATAAATGTACCATTCTCCGTTTATGCTTCCTTATCTGTTAATGATTATCCTAACCTGTGAGGGGGTTGTCTATGCTTTGGTGTCTAGCCCGGATTTGATACAGTATTGATACAGTATGTGTATGTGTGTCTGTACTGAAGGTGTTGTAAAGGGAGTCTGCTTGGTCAGAACGCTGTCGGTGCTAGCTATCACTCCCTGCCCTATCCTGTCCAGTCTCTACCTCATTGTCTGTGTGTGCTGTGAATCAGTCCTTTATACAGTCCTGTTTATAGGCTCTGAGAGGCCTGGGCCTGCCAGTGATGGGCTGCTGTATGTCTCTGGAAGTGTTCGGCCAGCCGTGTGCTGGTGGGAGAGAGAGAATTGTGTTGGGGAAAGGTCACATTATTAACACTGGATGGGCTGGGATGGAGGGGTGATAGGTGGAAGGAAAATGGATGAAAGTATGTGGGGGGGTAATAGATCAGAGAGTGGTCGTAATGGTGGGGGATGGATGTATGCAGTAGGATGGGGGGATTTATTCTGATGTAACACAGCTTCTGTAGTGAGACTGACTATGTATCTCTCTTTCTCTCACCCCCCCTCTCTCTCTCTCCCTCCCTCCCTCTAGTCATCCTGAGTCCGTTTGGTCTGAACGGGACTCTGACGGGTCAGTCGTTCAAGCTGTCAGACCCTCCCACCCAGAAACTGATTGAGGAGTGGAACCAGTTCTATCCCATCAGCCCCAGCTCTAAAGACAAGGACAAGCACGGCTCGCCATCGGAGGACAAGATGGAGGACATGGACTGGGAGGACGACTCCCTGGCCGCTGTGGAGGTCCTTGTCGGTAAGACACTCTCTCCTACACAGAACAGTCTCCCCTAAAAGTCTGCTATATGGCAGGGAAGAAAGGATGGAGGTTAAATTCCCTCAGGAATCACATACTAAAAATGTATGCAGATTTGATGACCCATGTAGCTAACCGTGAGTGTGTGTCTGTCTCTTGGTCCAGGTGGTGTGAGGATGGTGTACCCAGCCTGCCTGGTGCTGGTGCCCCAGTCTGACATCCCAGCTGTAGCCCCCCAGGGGTCCTCCCACTGCACCACCGTCTACTCGGGTGGCCACCAAGTGCCTGCATCCCAACGAGACCCCGCCATCTCGTCGGTCACCCTCACGCCCCCCACATCACCCGAGGAGGCCCAGACAGGTACAATAAGTAAGTATTTACAAACCTATGGATGTTTATTTAAATGACAGTCTGTATAGGATATATTATGTAAATAAGATATACCATATTCATTAGATAATAATAGATTAGATAATATAAAAATGTGTCTGGAGAGTTGATGTGACATACATGTATGTCCCACTTATATAGTGTGCAGTGGACAAGAGGTGTCTTGTCAAAGCTGGTTATTGTAGGACAATAAATATTGCCACTTGTGGTTCGGTGAGACGATTCATAACCTCTCCCTCCCACCTCCTACCTCCCCCAGTGGACTCCCAGTCGGCTCAGAAGTGGGTGAAGATGTCATTGGCTGTGGACGGCTTCAGTGTGGACAGCACCAGTCACCACGGGGGGAAGATCCCTCGCAGGCTTGCCAGCCAGGTGGTGGAGAGGGTCTGGCAGGAGTGCAATATCAACAGAGCTCAGAACAAGTACATCTGTCTCATATACACACTCTCAACAAAGTCCTAGAACAAGTACAATTGCTACTGTCTCAGGATGCACACAAACACATGCTCACACACACTGTCAACGAGCACAGGCTCACACACAGCTGACAGGAAAGCTATGTCTACACCTCACACACATGCATGGTTATCCTGTCATAGACACACTCAACAGAGCCTAGAGCAGGAATAATCAACTAGATTCAGCCACAGGCGGATGATCAGGGGGTATTGGTCGGTCATATGCATGATCCAAACGTTAATGATGAATTAATGATGAATAATGAATAAGCTAAATCATGCAAATATAACTTGTCTGTGTAAGCAGTATATAAGAGAACTAACGGGACTGCCCCGGCGGAGCTCCTGACCGACGTGTACTATGGTGCATTAAGTTTGTTGGAACCGTTCCAGCTTGCTGATAATAAAGAACGATTCATTTAATATTGACTTCAGGTGTCCCTGGTAGTAATTTCCACGACATCTGGCCTAGAGAATATATACAGTATCTACATTTGCCAAATATGTCTGTCATATAACATAAACACACCACTGACATTAAATAGTTAATAAAGCCTTAATGTTGGTGCTTCTTTTACCAAATGTATATTTTACAGAAGTAGCCTGTAGTAACTAAGAAAAATTATGTGTTGTGTGTGTTTCTCCAGGCGTAAATTCTCAGCGACAGCCAACGGTACCTGTGAGGAGGAGCTGATGGAGAAAGTAGGAACCTGGGACTTTGTAGAGTCAGCACAGAGGTCACACTGCAACTGCTCCAGGTGAACAATGCAGTTTGTTTGTGTGTGTGTGTATCTCTGGTTAGGGACCTGCACCCTAAGCCTTCTGTAATGGGATATACTTGTAGTTTCTTGTGTTGACACAAGCTTGCCTTTTAAGGGAAGTTGACTCATTTTCATTGGAATCTTACTCAACAAAACAGCGTTCAACACATCAGTCTAAAATGTGAGAAGTATTTTAATGTCAATACGTATGACATTCATCTCTATTCCTCTGTTAAGTGACAACCCTGTCAGGATTGAAGTGGCTTGTTGTAGTGTATTTTCTTGGTGGGGCTAAAGCAGTTGTTCTTCACCAGAAACAGTGTGTGTCCCAAATGGCACCCTATTCCCTACATAGTGCACTACTTTGAACAGAGCCATGGTCCCTGGTCAAAAGTAGTGCACTATGTAGGGAATAGGGTGTCATTTGGGATGCCGTTGCAGAGACCCAGGGGCCAGTCTGACCTCTAGAAGGCCTGTTTAGGGAGATGTCTGCTCTAAAAATGGAGAGTGTGTCTGTAGAGCCTAATGTTGACAAATGATCTGCTGCATCTAGTTAATGTGTGGATGCGAGGTTGACTGTGGCCAGGCTGTTTCTGTTGGGGTTGGGACTCAGACAGTCAGACATTATCACAGCCCTGTGCGTGTGTGTGCGCGTGCATGTGTTCTCTCTGAAGGGAAAAGCTGCAGTCAGCATGTCCCACTGCTGTCTCCTGGCACAGACGTGCACACACACACAGCCGCAAAAACACACGTCACGCTGCAGCTCGCACAGAAATAGATGCTTGACACTCTGCACTTTTATGCTGTCTCTCTGAGCGTTTGCTTTGTGTGTTTCTGCTTTAGGAGCACTTTCACTATAGATCGGGGGAGCGCCTTGCTCCGCACTGGTGGTGTTAGGGCAGGCAGGCTGTGTACAGGAGGTGAGGACAGAGCTGGGGGAAGTCTCATTCTTCTGGCTAGAGCTGTTATTTGGTTGGAGGGAATCCAGCATATGGGAGGTAACATTGAAAAGGGAGACCCTGTGTGTGCGGCACAAATTCTAATGGCCATCGGCTTGGTGTGTGTCTGTGAGAGTGTGTGTTTACCATAGATAGTCAACTCTAGTGCCCAAAAGCCTGTTTTAGCATGGGAAGCACCATTGAGGACTTCACCATTTTGAAGTAGTCAACTGGGTGGGACTTCATATGGGTTAAAGAAGGATCACAAAATCCAGGTCATCAGGAGGGATCAGCCAATGAATTATACCCATGAGCAAACATTCCATAACTGCAGGTGGCAGGAAATCGGCAACCTTGGCTTCATACCTGTTCAAATAATACACTCCAGGTGACAGTATGCACACTTTCAGTTTGTTTACCAACTCATAGAAGTAGTAGAAGAAGAAAATGTACTACTTCAAAATGGAGATAGCCTCAATGGCGGTGCCCGTGCTCGCACAGACGCCATAATGGGATAGATACAAAGATGAGTCGTCTATCTAAGTCTATGGTGTTTACCCACTCTGCATGTTGTTTTCGCTGCGACTTGCCCATTCTCTGCCTGCCGACAGTTAAGCAGTTCCATTCTTATCCTTCCAAGTAGTGGGAAGGACAATAGAACCCTCCCTCCCACCATAAAAGAGGGAGAGCTTAGCTTAGCCGTCAACATGCTGGCTGCTCCACGAGAACGAGCTGCCTGCAGTTACCATGCTGACACACCAATGGCCAAATAACAACACCCATCCCCAGCTGACCTGACCCTGAGTAGACCCCCAGCACCCCTCCCCCAACTCCCCCACATCCACTTGTCAGTATCAGAGTCTGTCTTTGGACTTGTTGCTCCTTGGTTCCCTTACAGTAAAATGAGAGGTGAACAACACTGGTTCTTACTTAGTGGCTGGCTCTCCCCTGGCCTAGACTGGGGAAAGTGTGTGTGTGTGTTTGTCATAGGGGGCCTGAGGGGGCGTGAGGGCCGGGGACCAACACAACACGTTCCAGGCCATTTAAACCCAACAAGAAACAGGCCTCCCTCCCACCTGGGTCATGTTCCGAAGGGTTTCACTTAGTTTTCTCCCCAATGAACTCAGCGCTGGGGGAATGCTCTATTCTAGATGAAATGCATGGTTTTGGTTAGGGAATAATAGAGTGCAGAATAATAACATCAGTTTAAGATGTTTGTTAGAGTAACATCAACATGACATGAGGAGTTTATTAGATTTGAGAGGAACTCATTTGTTCACTTAATTGATTCCGTGCTTTTCAATTGCTACTCGGCTCCCACAGATTCAGCTTCATTCAATTTCTTGTTGGTTATTGATTGAGCTAGATTAGTGTTGCTGCTCAACGCTAGTTATTGAGCTAATGAATGTTCACGAATGCTAACAAATGGCATTATTGTTAGTTTATTAATGTCTTGCATGCTTCCTCTTCCTCTGTGTCCTCCCAGGCATAAGTCCTTGAAGCAGCGAGGTGGCAGCACCCCGGGCCAGCCCCAGTCAGCAGGCCAGCCCACCCACAACCAACCACCCACCAAGCACAAGGCTGGGGGCGACAAGCCCGAGAAGGGCGACAAGCAGACCAAGAGGCCGCAGACGCCCTTCCACCACCGCAGTGCTGCCTGCGATGACATTACCATGGAGACAGAGGTGGCGGCGGGCAAGCGGCTAGCCATGAGGGCCCAGCAAGCGGGGGGTCGTTTCTCCGGCCTCCGCCCCTCTGACGGCATCACCAAGCCCCCCCAGCTGCATGGCGGAGGGGTGGGTAGCGGCGGCGGTTCCTCAGAGATGACTGGTTCCCCCCAGCCCCCTCCCCTCAGCCCCCACCCCTGTGACCGAGGAGAGGAGACGGGGAACGGCTCCATGAAGAACCCTTCAACCCCCCACAGTCAACACTTCTACCAGCCGCCCCCAGAGCCCTGCCTGGTGGGGCAGAAGGGTGGCGAGGGGGAACCCCGGAGGCTAGACGGCCTGGCCCAGCACTTCCACCACCCTCACGCGTCCTACCCCTCAGAGCCCCTGGAGCCCACCATGTATGTAGGCTCTGCAGTAAACCTGGAGGAGGACGGCTCCCCTGCGCCATGGAGGTTCTTCAACCTGCCCAGGAGGAAAGAGGCCGAGATGCCAACGCTGCCTGGGGACAAGCTGAGGGACAGGGAGAGAGACGAGGCCTCGGGAGGACAGGAGGTGGTGTCTGTCACTGAGTGAGTGTATCTCCCCATTAATTCATTCATTCATTAATTCACCATTCATCCTTATCTCCCCATTGAACACCCACTATTGCCCATAGAGGGTGCTAGATGCCCCCAGACATTTACATTTTCATCCCTTCTGGTACACAGACAGACAAGTCCCTTTTTAAGGACTTCCAACATTCTAGAAAAAAAGTGTTTTGAAAGAGCACAACCAGGCCTCTCCCCCCTCACCTCCCCCTTTCCCCTCCCCTCCCTTCCCCCTCGCCGCCCGTGCCTCAGAATGTTCAGAATGTTTGGTGGCGCATACGGCACGTTACTCTCTCGCTATGTGCCCTTTTGACATCATACATCACTAATGTGCATGGCCAGCACTGCAGCACAGACTGGAGAGAGCTTATTGATCTCCCCCAACACACACACACACGCCCCCTCTATTACAACTCCCCCCTTCTTCCTTCCTCTCCACCCTGAACACGTGAAGGAGAGTGGCATCCTCGAAGCCTTGATGTCAGAAAAGAGGTGTCGCTTCACACACACACAGAGAGAGAGAGAGAGAGAGAGAGAGAGAGAGAGAGAGAGAGAGAGAGAGAGAGATAGAGACTAAGGGATAGAGAGAGAGAGAGAGAGAGAGAGAGAGAGAGAGAGAGAGAGAGAGAGAGAGAGAGAAAGAGAGAGAGAGAGAGAGAGACTAAGGGATAGAGGGAGGATGGGCCGGAGAGCAGGCAGGTAGGGCCGAGCGGTGTTGGGAAGTATCTGAGGGGTAATGCATTTCAGGGATGGCTGCTGGACAGTGCTGTGGGCAGGGCTATGGACAAAAGGACTATTCTGGTGCGGAGAAAGGGAGGGAAGGGATGGCGGGACAGAGGTAGGGAGGGAGTAATCCTGGCGGCAGGGACATTGCTCTGAATGGATGCTAATCTCTGGCTTGGGCCACTGCGCACTGTCACCTCACATCGCAGCCTGGCCGGAGAGAGGGAGGAGGGAGAGAGAGAGGACCTACATGAGCTGGCTCACTCCCCTTTGGTCACTCCCCCTCCCTTCCCCCTTAGAGAGGCCCGGCAGGGCTCACTGTCTGGTAACATCTAAACAACCACAACATCAACAACTAGAACACAGACACATGAAACACAATGATTCACAGATTACATTGAAAAAGAGACATGCATTGCTTTACCTCCCCACATGAATGTTGATGGATTACTATTGTTGATAGACTGCACTCTGTGGCCCTGTCTGTCCTAATGAATCGCCCCCTGTCCCCGTCCACACCCAGGCTGATGGCCACTTCCAAGCGGCCTCTGAAGGTGTCCGAGGAGCGCGTGCAGATGTACCTCCAGCAGAGGAACCAGTACCTGGCCGCCGCCATCACCGACGATGACGACCACGAGCCCGAGGTGGATCCCTACGCCTTCGAGGACGGGGACGTCAAGTTCTCCTTCTCCGACAAGAAGGACAAGACGGGCGGCGAGCGCCAGCCTGGGAAGAAACACAAGGTAGGGCTAAAGTTACAACTTCATCAACTGGGGCGGCTGAGGCAAATCATTTCCTCCCATCGCTGTTGCTGCTGCCGCCAACATGCCACTGTTTGTGACCGCCTTTATGGTCAGGCAGCAGGAAGGGTTCAGTTAAGGGTCACAAGATAAGCGATCCTGCACTGTAAATGTCTCGCTAGCTGGACTCTGCTTTTTCCCACCCAGATCTACTGCGCAGGAAGCCAGCTCCAACTCCCATTGTTATCCCAGCAGAGGGATGCCAAAATAGTTTTATGCCTCTAATTTCCTCCCTCTCATTTAGTTTAGTTTGTGTCTTTTCTATCTGCCCCCTCTCCCCTGCCATGTGGGCTCAGGCTGTTGTCTTAATATTGTCTCTCTCTGTTTCCAAATCTGGACCACCTGTTAGCTGTGGAAACGGCCCCAGCACTAGGGGGAGAGCAGGGGGGAGTGTGTGGGTGTGGGGATAGGAGAGAGCTGCCTGGCAGTGGCAGCCTCCCTGTCTGCCTGTCTCCCTGTCTGCCTGTCTCCCTGTCTGCTTGTCTGTGAGGCATGGAGGAGGGGGAGGGAGGCGCTGTGTTGGCTGGGGCTTAAACAGGCCAAATAAACCTGACTTACTGAACCGTGCACGTTTAAAATAGCCTTTTTGTATTTTGTTTTATTTCACGAGGGCTGCTGAGCTTTTTTCTTCTCCCTCAAGTTTGTGTGTGCGTGCGTGCGTATGTGTGGTACTGTACTGTTACTGCTGCACTGCTTCTGATACAGGAGGTCCCCCAGTGGCCACTATGTGCAGTGGAGCCCTTCCACAATCTGCTGAGCACATGGGGTGTGTGTGTTACCTCAGCTAACTCTTGCCCCCTTGGTCATGCTTCACTCTGCATTGATGACGCTGCAAAGCGACGGCCTATGTTTTGTGCACTTTTATGTGTGTGTTCATGACTGGGTGTGTGCCATAGACTCTCTTGCCATTGCCAAATTGGCCAATGTCCCCATCCCGCTGAGTTGTCTGTGTGTGTGCAGGAGGTTGGCATGCTGTCAAAGCTCAAACGTGCTCTAGTTGAACCACTAGAAACAATGTTCCCTCTAAGTTTTTTAGGCACTGAGCAAATTTCAGGTCTGCTGAACACAAACTTGAACGTTGTGAACACTGAGGCTGTACCTGCTTTAAGTTACAGTTTTAACAGTGGCCAATTCATCATAATGTAGGCCTATCAGAGAGGCCTACCATTAAAAACAATGGAGAAAATGCATCACATAACATTTTAAAATGAAAATAGTGGTTATTTCATTCAGTCTACAGTAGCAGCCAATTCCATGAGACTTTTGAAAAAAACCTGCAGGGCTTGACATTAACCTGTTTATCTACTTGTCCTTCAGACAAGGAGATGACTGAAAATGTTGTTGTTGTTTGATTCAAGAAACCACTTTACAAAATAAAATGTATTATTAATCAGACAAATTATTCTACCATCTGCCTATTGGCTACTTAGCTCATTCAAGCCTGTCTCAAAATACAACACTGCCCCTTTAAGACATAAAGAAATGCTATTTACCTGACTCGCTTTTCAAAGATTGCTAGAAATGTAACGTTTTGTGCTCTTGTAGGAAGCAATCACTCCCACATTGCTGACTACAAATTAGCTATAACTGGACTAACAACTCACTAACTAGCAAAGAATATGAACAAATGTGCACACGTGGCTACGTGCAGCTCTCGCTTTGATCTCAAAACAAGCGCATAATAATCACGACCGCTCATGCTGTAAAACAGTCCAGTTCAGAGCGAATGGTACAAATTCAAATATGGCAATGGTCTATTTGCATATAGGGTTACTGCAGCTCTGATTGGTTATGGCGCACCGATCTGTGTAGAGTACGTGCCTGAGTCGTGCCTATTCCGATGCGCTCTGCCTACAACAAAATCTCTTACGTACAGTGGGGAGAATAAGTATTTGATACACTGCCGATTTTGCAGGTTTTCCTACTTACAAAGCATGTAGAGGTCTGTAATTTGTATCATAGGTACACTTCAACTGTGAGAGACGGAATCTAAAACAAAAATCCAGAAAATCACATTGTATGATTTTTAAGTAATTCATTTGCATTTTATTGCATGACATAAGTATTTGATACATCAGAAAAGCAGAACTTAATATTTGGTACAGAAACCTTTGTTTGCAATTACAGAGATCATACGTTTCCTGTAGGTCTTGACCAGGTTTGCACACACTGCAGCAGGGATTTTGGCCCACTCCTCCATACAGACCTTCTCCAGATCCTTCAGGTTTCGGGGCTGTCGCTGGGCAATACGGACTTTCAGCTCCCTCCAAAGATTTTCTATTGGGTTCAGGTCTGGAGACTGGCTAGGCCACTCCAGGACCTTGAGATGCTTCTTACGGAGCCACTCCTTAGTTGCCCTGGCTGTGTGTTTCGGGTCGTTGTCATGCTGGAAGACTCAGCCACGACCCATCTTCAATGCTCTTACTGAGGGAAGGAGGTTGTTGGCCAAGATCTCGCGATATATGGCCCTATCTATCCTCCCCTCAATACGGTGCAGTCGTCCTGTCCCCTTTGCAGAAAAGCATCCCCAATTATGTTTCCACCTCCATGCTTCACGGTTGGGATGGTGTTCTTGGGGTTGTACTCATCCTTCTTCTTCCTCCAAACACGGCGAGTGGAGTTTAGACCAAAAAGCTCTATTTTTGTCTCATCAGACCACATGACCTTCTCCCATTCCTCCTCTGGATCATCCAGCTGGTCATTGGCAAACTTCAGACGGGCCTGGACATGCGCTGGCTTGAGCAGGGGGACCTTGCGTGCGCTGCAGGATTTTTATCCATGACGGCGTAGTGTGTTACTAATGGTTTTCTTTGAGACTGTGGTCCCAGCTCTCTTCAGGTCATTGACCAGGTCCTGCCGTGTAGTTCTGGGCTGATCCCTCACCTTCCTCATGATCATTGATGCCCCACGAGGTGAGATCTTGCATGGAGCCCCAGACCGAGGTTGATTGACCGTCATCTTGAACTTCTTCCATTTTCTAATAATTGCGCCAACAGTTGTTACCTTCTCATCAAGCTGCTTGCCTATTGTCCTGTAGCCCATCCCAGCCTTGTGCAGGTCTACCATTTTATCCCTGATGTCCTTACACAGCTCTCTGGTCTTGGCCATTGTGGAGAGGTTGGAGTCTGTTTGATTGAGTGTGTGGACAGGTGTCTTTTATACAGGTAACGAGTTCAAACAGGTGCAGTTAATACAGGTAATGAGTGGAGAACAGGAGGGCTTCTTAAAGAAAAACTAACAGGTCTGTGAGAGCCGGAATTCTTACTGGTTGGTAGGTGATCAAATACTTATGTCATGCAATAAAATGCTAATTAATTACTTAAAAATCATATAATGTGATTTTATGGATTTTTGTTTTAGATTCCGTCTCTCACAGTTGAAGTGTACCTATGATCAAGATTACAGACCTCTACATGCTTTGTAAGTAGGAAAACCTGCAAAATCGGCAGTGTATCAAATAGTTGTTCTCCCCACTGTAGTTAGTTTACATACTAAGTCTTGCATAGTTCTCTTTGTTTCGCTATGTTGCATTGAAAGTGGCTAATATTGTGTTGATTCGATCACAATTCCCACAGTAAAGGGAAACGTTGATAGGGTTAACTCTAGAACTCTAGAAAGTTGAGTGAAATTCAATCTCGTGCTTCTCTGCGGTGATATTTATTCTCTTCTGGGTGGCAGTCCCGGGGGAGCTGCGCGCCCATGCACGCGTGCAGCTTAGAGTGAACATTGACTAGAAACCCCTGCCTATGAAACAAAACAGTACACTCACTTACTAGTGGAGCCGGGCGTACAGTAGCAGCAGAGAAAACAGGAAAGGGTAGTCTCTAGTAGTGCTGTACTGTGGGGCACAATATGAACATCACACTGACTGACTGGTCTCTACTAAAGTCTAAACCAGTGGTTCTCAACTGGTTTTGCCTTGGAACCCAAATTCAAGCAGGTTTTCTCAGGGCGACCTAATATTCACATTGCGAAAAAAAGAATCACCAAAATACAATCTGGAAAACTATTTTTAATGCTATACTGATTGTAAATGTAGCAATTATATGACAAGGGAACAACATTCCCACCTTTCATTGTCACTACTTACATTTTGCCCATATTATTAATGAAGAATGTTAATAAACTCTGGTTTGAGACCACAAAATCAACGCCGCTAATAGCTCTATATTGAAAATACTGCGATTGAAAACAATTATTTAAAAATGTAAGTTCATTATAATTTCTACACACTTTTTACCTGGTTTAAGTCGTTTAAGTTCAGACTGGAGTATTTATTCATAAAAGTATATATATATAAAATGTTTTACTTGGACACCCGAGTAAAAAATAATCGCTGTTCTAAACTGTGTTGTTCAGCGGCTGCAGGCTCCTCTCCTCTGCTTTACAATGAGGTCGCCATGTCACTAGAGCATCCACATTCTTTGGATTTACAGACTGAAATGGCTGCGTTTGAGAGGCAGGATCTTTTGAATAAGTGCCTGACCCCTCAGATAAAATGGCCGGAGATGGCGAGCGAGAGGGGGAGAGAGAGTGGACTCTTTCATGCAGACAGCTTTGGAATAATAAGGGCAGTGTGACGCAAGGCTGGAACGCATCCATACAAACACAGGCACTCACGCACGCACACACGGAAGGCTCCAGCGTTCCAGCCAAGGGTCAGTTATTGATAAGGGGCCAGTTGGCGTCATTAGTGCGTTTTTATAGGTTTTCGTCTTCTGCAGTTTTTTTTTTTTTTTTTTGCTGTCGTGCAGCAGGCCTTCAAAGGAAACAGATTAAAGGCCCTTTACACAGAGAGAGAGAGCCCCTGGAGCGTAATGAAATCAATGGCCACTGGAACATGCCATTCCCATTCCTTCAGCCCCAACCCCTTGTGTGTGTGTGTGTGTGTGACTGTGTATGTGTGTCCTGGCTGCCATGTACACGGAGGCCCCATCATAATATATAATATATGCCATTTAGCTGATGCTTTTATCCAAAGTGACTTACAGTCAAGCATGCATACATTTTCTGTATTGGTGGCCCCAATGGGAATCGAACCTACGATCCTGGCGTTGCACGTGCCATGCTCTACCAACTGAGCCACAGAGAACCACAAGAGCACACAGCCCTATCCCTGAGAGATATTGACGTAGTGTCGTGGCATTAGGGCTCCCTCCCTCCCTGGGCCAGGAGGCCATGGCATTTCTCACATACACTGGTAGTCTGGAAATCTCATTAGTATAGTCAGTATAGAGACGTTTGTTCGTTCCCTTCTTTTCTCTCTTCTCTCTATTTTTTTTAAGTCTGCCAAAAATAAACCTATTCTCCACTGAGACTGAGAGAGCGGCCCAGCTCTTATGGGCTGGAGACACCTGTGTACTTTCTACAGTTAGGCAGGAGATTTCCCTCTTGTTATGTGGTTTAGACTGTGTTTATTGTAAATAAAACAACAACAGTTTCATATTGACTGTATCTGCTATTGCCTTTTATCCATTATCAATATATTTTGATTGTTTCTGATCAGCTATATCCTATCGGTTCTGTTTCTTTGCATTGTTTTGTGCACAATATTGATCTCTCTCTTGGTCTCTCTCTCGCTCTTTCTATCTCTCTCTCGCGCTCTCGCTCACTCTCCGTCTCTCTCTCTCTTTGTGCCTCTCTCTTTCTATGTCTCTTTCTATGTCTCTCTCTCTGTCTATGTCTCTTTCTCTGTCTGTCTCTCTGTCTGTCTCTCTCTTTTGCTCTCTTGTCTCTTTCACTCTCTCTGTCTCTCTCTCTCTTGGTCTCGCTCTCTCTTTCTATGTCTCTCTCTCTCCCTGTCTCTCAGGGGGAGGATGGAGCAGCAGGTCCGTCAGATGGTAAGGATCCTCTGTCTGTCTCTGCTGTACTGTGCAACTTTATGCTGTTAGATGACAGGGACATTACCTGGGTCCACAGCCTACCTGAGTGACAGCAGTAGCAGTCGAAGCCAGCCTTTGATGATGGGGTGGAACCATAATGTAGCTTACCACCTGTCTGTCATGGGCTTCTCTCAGCAACAGTAAATGCAGTCAGTCAGTCTCAGCCATCCTGCTGTGGCGTATGCATAGCTTATACCGCATATGAATTGTAATGGTAAAGTCTTATCTAGATTCCTCAGGCATGTAGACGCATTAGTAGGTTTTGTTTTATTAGGGTGTTATAGCACATATATATGTGTACTAGCTATTGAATGCAGCCTCAGGAATAGGCCCACATGTAACACTGACAGCCTCTGATGTTGTGGTATATTTGGGAGCGTGAGCTACAGATGGGTTACCAACCTAATCCCTGTGTGTTCCTTCTCTCCCACCTCCAGACGCAGCGCGGGCAGCAGCACACGCCCGCACTGCCTCCACCAGTCTGATCCATGAGACAGATCTGGCCGTGTCCATCAACGACCTGGACAACCTCTTCAACTCAGACGAGGACGAACTCACGGTCAGTACGGGGTGTGTGTGTGAAGAGGATGAACTTGCGGTCATTAGGGCCTGCCAGCACTACAGCCTGCCCGCTGCACTAAACCACAATAAATATCCCATTAGCTAGAGTACCGCCTGGCAAGTATGTGTGTGTGTGCGCATCTGAGTGTGTGTGTGTTGGTGAGCCAGAATGTTGCGTGCATGCAGTACATCAGCGGCTGTGGCTGACACGTCATCTTACAACACATTACAGTGTACTAGGCTGCGTTTACACAGGCAGCCTGATTCTGATATTTTGCCCAATTATTGGCCAAATATCTGCTCTGATTTGTGAAAAGCTTGTGTAAACGCGGCTTAGATTCAAAAAGGCTTTCCCCAGCCCCTGACCCAAAGGTGGATATGGATGTCTTCCAAAGGGCTCTGTTCTGACTTTGGCCCCCACAGAACAGAACAGTCACAGCCCGACCCCCTCTGTGGTCTCTCTGGTGACTGGGTAGCTGGGTAGAGACTGTCTGGCACCAACAACACTGCAACAACACACTGAGGGCTGCAATGCCACCGCTGGGTTACGGCCTGCCAACAGGGTTCCCAAACCCCTCACTGCAGGGGCTTTGTTGTTGTGGAACTAACTTCACATCGATTTGTTGACTGTCAATGTTCTCGGGTTTCAGAAAATTTGTAATATTGATTTATGTTGTGTTCATTAAATTAAACGTTATACAGTTTAGTCTCATTGAGATAAAATATATATAGAGACATGTCATTTCATTTCATGTGTTGTTTGTGTAAATACACTTTTGAATGTTTTGCATCTTATTTTTGCCACATCTTTGTTTATATTCAACAGCCTGGTTCCAGACGAGCGGGGAATGGAACAGGTGATAAATTTGGCAACAAGGAACCAAAGCCAGCCACTCTGGACCCAGTCTCTTGCATCAGTAAGTCTGCTTCTCCGTGCTCTCAGATCAGCTATGTCCTGTTCACCCAGCTCCTAGCTCAATGCTTATGGGATAGGATACCCCTAAGCACTGATCCAAGATCAGCTTTCCCCGCTCCTGAGCCTAAGGATGATGCATTGAAAATGTGCTCGAGGCAACTCAAACCCATGCAGAAACTCATAATATAACACTTGGAAAGCACAGGCTGTTCATGCTCATTAATTCACTAATGAAGCATGAAGCTTCTTCAGTCACTAGATTCAGCACGTTTGCATTCCAGGATCCTTATGTATCAGGCATCTCAGTAGGAGTGCCGAACAAATGTCAGGTCTCCATGTTCATAAGGCAAAAGGCAAAACTGATCCTAGATCAGCACTCCTACTCTGAGACGCTTGATTCATACAGGCTCAGAAAGATGTTGTTTACCTAAGTTGCGCCCCCTTGTGGCGATAAGAGTTAAACTGAAGTCACTGGCTGTCAGAGCGACCCTGCTCCACTCCAAACAGACAGCTCTGAGCCTTGGGGCAGGAACAAGTGTCTCATTATCTACCTCTCTATGTGACTAGTCTATAGCTGTGTGTGTGAAACAAGGTGCTTGTTGCCCCAGCAGTTAGACTGTCAAACTGTTGATCGTACCTGTTGAGCTTCAGATCTTCACTTGTTGTTGTCACTCTCTCTCTCTCTCTCTCTCTCTCTCTCTCTCTCTCTCTCTCTCTCTCTCTCTCTCTCTCTCTCTCTCTCTCTCTCTCTCTTCATTTATTCCTCTCTCTCACCTTTCCTCCCTCTTTCTCTAGGCTCGGCAGATTTGCACCAGATGTTCCCCACTCCTCCTAGCCTGGAACAGCACATCATGGGCTACTCTCCCATGAACATGGGCAGTAAGGAGTATGGCGGCCTGGAGGCCGGACAGGGCATGACCAACCTGGACGGTACCTCGTTCTTTGGGGGACACTTCAAGATCGAGGTGGAGGAGGGCTACTGCAGCCCCAAGCCGCAGGATATCAAGGTGTGTTTGGCCCCTAATTTTCAACTTGACCCCTTATCTGACCCTGCTTAGGAGTCATGGATAATTCCTCTGCATCACCTAACTGTTGCTGAACTTAGGACTGCTTGTGTGTTCTAGCCTAACCATGCCAAATGAGTTACAATAAGGATGAATGTGAAATGAAAAAGTAAATCGAAGTCATAGCACTGTAGCCTTTGGATTGCCATCAGTGTACATACAGCACATGGTCTAACCCCACCCTTCCCTGTCTCTCCCCCTCAGGACTTCTCATTTGTGTACAAGCCAGAGCTGTGCCAGGCGTTTGTGGGCTGCTCCATGTTTGCCCCCCTCAAGACCCTGCCCAGCCAGTGTCTGCCCCCCATCAAGCTGCCAGACGAGTGCATCTACAGGCCCAGCTGGACCACTGCGGGCAAACTGGAGATGCTCAACCACCCCCATGTGCCTGCCATGGCCTACCTCAACAAAGACAGGTAAACATATTTCCTTCAAGTACATAGTCCTGAAACCACCTATCTCCTCACCTGCCATTGCATTGGTGTGTGGTTGTGCATTTTAATGATCTGATATAGTAAATCAATCAATCTCTATATGAACCACTCATAACCAGGGAGCTTTTTCTGAATGCCTGACTGCTAGTGGCCCATCTGCTATGGGAGGGCTGTCTGTCTGCGTGGCTAGCTGATTGTCTCAAGACCCTCTCCTCTGCTCCTAAAGCCTGTGGAACCAATGGAGATTTTCCCAGCTGCTCCAAGGATTTTTTTTTTTACAATTTGTAATGCTCATCTGTGCTGAGGGATACTGAAGCTGCAGTGTAATTTAGACTTAAAGGATACAGACACACACACACACACACTTGGGTTTATCCCCCTATCCCCTGAGGAGCCTGTTCCATTCCTCATGCATGGCTGATTGAATCAGGAGAGAGAGGACGGGAGATGAGTGTAGAAAGCATGGTGGTGATTGAAGGTGAGGATTATTAACCCACAGTACTGAGCCTGGTATATTATCAACCATTTTACAGACCACAAAAACAAAACACCCAATGTGTAGTACTGTAGTTGCGGACCTTATTCGTAGTAGTGTAATTGCCATATGGTGGCTATTTAGGGATTTGAAGTTCTTTTTTTTATAAGTAATGTCAAAAATATATGTAAATGTTTCCAAAATATATGGCTGTATGATTATAGCTGTACCTCTCTGCATAGTTTGGGGCTGGAGATTGGGGCCCGCCTGATTAAGGGCTTAGAGGACGGCAGGTAACCTAGCGGTTAAGAGCGTTGGGCCAGTAACCGAAAGGTTGCTGGTTCGAATTCCCAAGCCGACTAGCTGGGGGGGAAATCTGCCGATGTGCCCTTGAGTAAGGCACTTAACCCTAATTGCTCCTGTAAGTCGCTCTGGATAAGAGCATCTGCTAAATGATGACAAAGTAAAAATTTAGGACCTTGCTGTTCCTCTCTGTCTGGGTAGAGGGGGTTATAGATGGGGCCTCTGTTCCCAGCAGGGCGCCTGCAGAGTGCTAAGACCGGCTGTAAAGTCCCAGGTTATAATGGAGTCATGGGAAAGCCCTATAAGCTGGTCATGCTGCTTTTACGACCCTCACTACTTAACCTGGCCTACTGCCTTATAAGGGCTGCATCCCAAATAGCACTCTATTTCCTTTATAGTGCATTATGGGCCCTGATTAAAGGTAGTTCACTGTATAGGGGTGGAGAGAGAGGGAGGAGGCAGGGGCCTACTGCTTTAGGTTCAGCCAGGATTTGTTTCTTTCCCACACATACGTAAGTAGCCTACGTATGGACAGGGACAGGCTGTGCTGTGCTGTGCTCGCCTCCCTCTTCAGCTCTCCTCACAGCTGCTCTCCTCCTCTCGCCAGGCCCAAAAATAGACTCTTCTCCCTCATTGAGGGGCTGCTTCAAATGGCAGCGCCTTCCGCAGTGGCAGTGGCATTGGCATACCCCGATAGACAGCCAGGCAGCCACTTTTCTCTGCTTTTTTGTTTACCATTCCCCCTCTTGATGGTTGTTGTGTTGTTTACCTCTGCCGTGTAATGGAGGTTCAGTTGATACTGAAATGAATTGTTGATTGTTGTGTTACTGTATCCCAAACTCTGGTTTGTTGTGTTGTTTTGAATCAAGCTCTAGCACAGGCGGCCCGTGGGCCAAATTTGGCCTGCGGGTGGTTTTATTTGGACCCCAAATCTTTGTTGTTGTTGAATTTTCATTGTTGGACATAAAAAACTGTAAAAACACCAGGAAATCAGCTCCAATTGATTAAAATTTTGGAAATATGTTCCTATGTATTTCCACGCATAATAGAGAGACGTGATCATAATTATACAAATGTAAGCAAGGTTTGAAATTATGTTTTAGTCAAATATTGTATCTGTTTGGGCTTTTTGCAGTCTACAAATGATTTGTAATTATGTTCCATCCCCCGACCATCCGCTCAAGAAACATTGTCCCGTGGCTGAATCTAGTTGATGATCCCTGCTCTAGCATATTGTCCCCACAGGCTGGGTTGTGTGACTGACTCCTCTCCTCGCTTCTCTCTGCCACAGTAACATCCCAAGTGTGGGCAGTGCCATGGACCAGGACTACAGCCAGAGCTACACACCCCAGACACATACGCCCTTCATGTCCAACAGTGCCCCCCCCAGCAACAGTGGTACGGGCATCCTGCCCTCCCCAGCCACCCCGCGCTTCTCCGCACCCACACCACGCACTCCCCGTACCCCACGCACCCCCAGAGGGCCCGCCAGTGTCCAGGGCTCGCTCAAGTACGAGAACCCGGACCTCTACTCGCCTGCCTCTACCCCTTCCACCTGTCGACCCCTCAACTCAGTGGAACCTGCCACCGTGCCCTCCATCCCCGAGGCCCACAGCCTGTACGTCACCCTCATCCTCTCTGAGTCCGTCATGAACCTCTTCAAGGACTGCAACTTCGACAGCTGCTGCATCTGCGTGTGCAACATGAACATCAAGGGGGCCGACGTTGGGGTGTACCTAAACGACCCCACAGGAGAGGCCCAGTACCCCTGCACCTGCGGCTTCAGCGCCGTCGTCAACCGCCGCTACGGTAACAGCTCGGGCCTATTCCTGGAGGACGAGCTGGACATCATCGGACGCGACTCGGATGTCAGCCGCGAGGCGGAGAAGCGCTTTGAGGCGCTGCGGCAACACTCGCTGGAGAGGACAGGGGGAGGAGCAGGAGGGAGGGGGGAGAGGGTACCAGACGAGCTGATCTTACTGCTACAGGACCAGTGCACCAACCCCTTCTCACCCATCGCTGGGATGGAGCCTGACAGCCTGGCAGCGCGGGGGGCAGGAGGATGTCCAATGCCCGCCTGTATGAGGGTGGAGGAGAGGGACTTCCACAGCGACTGCTACATGGCCCTGGAGCACGGCCGACAGTTCATGGACAACATGTCAGGAGGCAAGGTAGACGAGGCCCTGGTCAAGAGCACCTGTCTACACCACTGGTCCAAACAAAACGGTAAGAAAAGCACCTTTTTGTTGTTCTAACCATCTTTAAAATCCATGTCTGATAATATAAATTGTTCTTTCCATTTGGCCTTGTAGAGCATCAGTTGGCAAGCATTACTAACCAACAGAAACCAGTCTGTTCATTTTTCCTGCCAGTTAGCAGTATGTTGATTTCTAGTGCTATGTGTATTCTCTCTCTAACCCTCCTCCTCCTCCTCTCCCCAGCGGTGGACATCAGTGCTCTGTGCTCTCAGGACGTGTTGCGGGTGCTGCTCTCCCTCCAACCTGTACTCCAGGATGCCATCCAGAAGAAGAGGACGGTGCGCTCCTGGGGCGTTCAGGGACCCCTCACCTGGCAGCAGTTCCACAAGATGGCTGGACGGGGCTCCTACGGTAATCCACCAGGGACTAAATGCTCCAAGAGCTAGAGGCTCACATAGGCAGATACGGTGCAGATCAGTAGTCATCTCAGTCACTGCTCTAGTCCAGATGTCAGCTCAGTAGAGAAGCTGCTGCTGTGATGGGTTCACTTTGGGCTCTCAATCCTTCTCTGAGAGGTGACGGTTGGCACGCTGGCTTGTTTAAGTAATTACTCACTATCTTGACTCTGTTCCTCTCCTCCTCTTCACCTTCTCTTATCCCCCCCACTCTCCACACCTCACTCCTGCCCCCCTCATCTCTTCACCCTCTCTTCTCTCTCCTGCATCTCCCCTCCTCCATATTTCCTTCTCCTCCCCCTCCCCCCTTCTTCCTTTCAACAGGCACAGATGAGTCTCCTGAGCCCTTGCCCATCCCTACCTTCCTGGTGGGTTATGAGTATGACTTTGTGGTGCTGTCGCCCTTCGGCCTGCCCTACTGGGAGAAGCTGCTGCTGGACCCCTTCGGCTCCCACAGGGACGTAGGCTATCTGGTCGTCTGTCCCGATAACGAGGCCCTGCTCCAGGGGGCCAAGAACTTCTTCAGGGACCTCGCCGCAGTCTACGAGGTAACCATAGGAGTTAGGGTTAAGAGGATATGACCATAGATCGGGGGACCAGGCTAGGGTTGGGGTTGCATTAATGTTGCATTTACATTTTGGGAAGTGAATTGAAATGTAAATGTGAACATTTTTTAAACTGCTAATTTAAAACAAAGGGCACTTTTTAATTCTTGAATGAAATGTAATTGACCCATACCTTGCTAGAGGCTTACATCCCAGCCTAGTGTACGTATTGATGACATAAACAATTGCCTGTCTACTTCAGTTCTGTACCACTCAAGTCATTCCTGTGCTGTTGTCTAACCATTCCTCCATCCCTCCTCTCTTTCCCTCCCTCTTCTCCTTCCATCCCTACTCCCTCTCTCCATGTGCCCTGCAGTCATGTCGTCTGGGCCAACACCGCCCCATCTCAAAAGACCACCCGGACGGCATCGTGAGAGTGGGTGGAGCGGCTGCCAAGAAGCTGGCGGAGCAGCCCGTCAGCGATTGGTTCCTCAAGGCTGCCAGTGGCAACAGCGACGCATTCGCCAAGCTCAAGCTTTACGCTCAAGTCTGCCGCTATGACCTCGGTAGGTTCCAATGACTACACGGTTGGGGAATCGGTCGGGGTCAGACCTTTCGGTACCCCCCATGCCCATATAGCCAAGGATTTAGAACATGGTTTCTATTTGGATCAAAAAGCCTATTTTTAAATATCTTTTAAAATATATTGGTTTCTAAAGTCTAGGTTGTTCACATAGCTTATGAGTGAGATTGTTAACCTGTGCTTTCTGCTCCTGTCTCCCCTCAGCTCCATACCTCGCCGCACAGCCTTTAGACAGCTCCCTACTCGCACAGCCCACACCCCCTCCCGCCTCCAGCCAATCCTCATCCATGCAATCCTCTGGCTCCTCCTCCACCACCTCGGCCGGCCCCCAAAACTCAGTGAACCCCGGAGGCCCCTCCCTCCCCAACAACAGCAGCAGCAGCAGCGCGCCTAGCAACAACACAGGTGTAGCCAACAGTGCCAACAGCACGGCATCATCAGGGAGCCAGCCCAGCAGCGGGATGCAGTCTGCCAAGCCCAGCTCTTTCCCTCCCTTTGGGACCATGGGCGTGCAGAACCAGGGCCTGGGTGGTGTCACCCAGGGAGGGCAGCTGGGCCAGCAGGCTGGTTCCCAGAACACAGGCCTCCCCGGGGGGGACTCAGCCAGCCAGGCCCAGGCACCCACTGAACCCCTAGAGAGGTAGCTACAATACCAGGGCCCGTATTCACTCATATGTACACACACACACACAGTGCCTGGAGGGAAACCCCATTCCTTGTCCTAACTTCCCTCTCGCTCTTGTCCCCCTCCCCAGCACCATGGAGCGAGAGAAGGTGGGTGTGCCAACGGACGGAGAGTCTCATGCCATCACGTACCCCCCAGCCATCGTGGTGTACATTGTGGACCCCTTCACCTATGAGGAGCCTGAGGCGGGGTCCAGTGTGTGGACCCTGGGCCTGCTGCGCTGCTACCTGGAGATGCTCCAGTTCCTCCCACCACACATCCGCAACGCTGTCTCTGTACAGGTAACCTCAACACAAATCTGTGTGTGTGCGTGTCTGTGAGTGTGTGTTGATGAAATAATGTTTCTAGCAATGTCAAGAAGTGTCTGTTTATTTCGAATAAAATATTTTTAATCACTAATAGTTGCTAAGACTTTGCTTTAGTGCTAAAGATGTCAGACAGGACAATCGGTATGAAAGAAGACCGAACAGAGCGTTATATGTAATGTACAGTAGTTTTGTTAAGAGTTGTATGCTGACCTGTTGGTATCCACTTCTCAGATCATCCCGTGCCAGTACCTGCTCCAGCCGGTGAGGAGCGAGGAGCGTCATATCTACGCTCAACACCTCAAGTCCCTGGCCTTCTCAGTGTTCTCCCAGTGCAGGCGGCCCCTCCCCGGATCCACCAACGTCAAGTCACTAACCGGCTTTGGCCCTGGCCTGGCCATCGACACTGCACTGAAGAGCACAGAGGTACACAAATCATCACTGACAAACATTATCCTGATATGATCCTAACTAATATTATGCAGCTCCTACACCAGAGAGGGGCATGTCTGGACCACAGGGACAGCTGTGTCTGAATCAGTGATTTGATTTAGAGTGGGGAAACCAGGTGTGTGGGAAAGCATCGACTTGAATGGATGAATGAAGTGGCAGTAAACCAGCGGACACTACCTCCCCTGAGGACCAGGGTTGCCCATCCCCGTCATAGCCTGACCCTCCCCTCTGCTCCTCAGCCCTCTGCTCCTCAGCCCTCTGCTCCTCAGCCCTCTGCTCTGGCCATGTGTAGTGTGCCAGCGAGAGAGGGAGGGAGCACTGAGATGGAGAGAGGGTTATACTAACCCCCTTAGTCCTGGAACAAGACCAATCGAACTTATAACCCTCTTCCTTCTCTACAGTTTTCTTTCCATTATCTGCTTGGCTAGCTCCCTGTGACCTCCCTAATGGATTCCAGGCTGCAGGTTTCGACAGGGAGAGGCCCTAGACTGCCACCCAATCCTATTTAACTCTCCCAGGCCAGCCAGCCACTCACCAGCCACTACATTGCATTTCCCCTGTACACAGTGGAGTGGAGTGGAGTGGGTACTAGAGACAAACTCTGAGCTACTTAGCTAGCTGGATAAATGTCATCTCTTCAGGGATTTGGGTGGGGAGAGGGGACAACTGTAGTGACACTTTTTTTCACGACTAACCAACTCAGTGACTCTCGTACATACGTCTTTCTAGTCCCAGAGTAGATAGATTAAGTCCTGGATTGTGTTCAGTAGGGCACAATGTACCCAACCGTGTTGCAAAATTATTATAGTTATTGGACAAATTGAAGTAGTACCTGCCAGTTTCAAAACATGTTCTCCCTAAAAAAACATGACCCTTGTATAACCCCTAACCTTTGACCCTTCTCTCTCGTCACCCAACAGAGACCAGAGTGTTTGCGGCTATACACACCTCCCTTCATCCTGGCGCCCACCAAGGACAAGCAGACGGAGCTAGGGGAGACGTTCGGGGAGGCCTCTCAGAAGTACAACGTGCTGTTTGTGGGCTACTGCCTGTCCCACGACCAGCGCTGGCTCTTGGCCACCTGCACCGACCTGTACGGAGAGCTGCTGGAGACGTGCATCATCAGCATCGACGTGCCCAACAGGTGGGACCACCCGACAGCACACACCTTCATCATGATCCTCACCACTACAACCACCATCTAGAGTCAGCAAACCTCAAGCAGAGCAGAGCATTACAAATGGCAGGCTTCTGCAGCTAGCAGTTTTTGTTTTTAGCAAAACAATGTTTGTTTTGCGTTGAGTTTTTCGTTTTCACGATATGCCAGGTAATGATGAAAACTGTCTAATAATGAAGTGTAGTAGTGAATATTGCAAGATCAACAATCTACAACTTTCCTTCCAACCTGGCAACTCTAGTGATTTGTAGTAATAAGTGTTGTGTTAAACGTTCAGCTGTGGTTTCAGTGTGTGACAGAATGTGTGTGTGTGTGTGTGTGTTTTTGTTTCGACACAGAGCGCGGAGGAAAAAAGGCTCTGCCCGGAGGTCGGGCCTGCAGAAGCTGTGGGATTGGTGCTTGGGGCTGGTGCAGATGACATCAGTGCCATGGAGGGTGGTGATTGGTCGACTGGGCAGAATGGGACATGGCGAATTGAAAGGTGAGGTGGAGCCTTCTATTTTACTGTTATATGTTTCTTTTCTCGCGTTTATCTTGTCTTACACGTTCACTCACTCGTCTCTCTCTTCCCTCTCTGCCTCGGTCCCAGACTGGAGTATTCTGTTGAGCAGGAGGAACCTGCAGTCTCTGAGTCGCCGTCTCAAGGAGGTGTGTCGTATGTGTGGCATCTCTGCCTCTGACACGCCCAGCATCCTTAGCGCCTGCCTGGTCGCCATGGAGCCTCAGGGCTCCTTTGTCATCATGCCAGGTACTACGTTCTCCTACCCTTTGTGTGTGTGTGTGTGTGAGTGTGCGTATGCGTGTGTCTGATGGATGGTGGCAGCCTATCATAATGCATGTCGCTCCATGTTGTTATCAGATTGATGGGTCTGAGGACACTGCTTCTCTCAGTCATAAACCACTGGTTCTCAGACTCCATTGATTTCTGTGTGATGTGATGGAGACTGGCATGGACCATTCATACTGTCAGTGTATAATATGGGTCTCCTTCTGTATATGAGGAGGGGCTGGACTAGTCCCTCCAGACCAGTGTTTTTGGTGAAAGGAGATGGATGTCTCCTCTCCCAGGACTTGGCTTTGACCCAGACATTGTGGGTTATACTCCACAGATCCGATGATAATTATAAAATACAATAGAGCACTGGACTGAATAATAATGGCCAGTTGAAAGATCGAGGTTGCTTTTATTGGCACCACTTACATTTTTGCTGCATTAATTAAATGTTGTTACTAATTAATTGACTGATTAATGGATGATAGCTATAGCAGATGTCACCCGTTTCCATTTGCGTGTATACTGTATGCGTTCAATATAGATTCAATGAAGATGAACGTATTATTAACCTGACTTCCTCGCTCTCTCTCCAGACTCTGTGTCTACAGGCTCAGTGTTTGGCCGCAGCACCACTCTGAACATGCAGACGTCCCAGCTGAGCACTCCTCAGGACACATCCTGTACCCACATCCTGGTGTTCCCCACCTCAGCCTTCGTCCAGGTGGCCAGCTCCAACTACACTACTGACACCAACATAGACATCGCCTTCAACCCCATCCCCGGTGAGTCTCCTGTACCTGTGCTCTTCCCTCTGGCCTCACCTCTCAACTCTCACCTTTGTCTTATCCTTATTGAAAATAATTGATTTAGTCCATTGGAAATAAATCGTTTTTTGAGCTATTCAAATTCTCACCTCCCTCATTTTACAATTTTTTTTGCGTCATATGGGTCTCTCCATATTGAAAATTGATATCTTATTCTGAGTCTCTCTCCTCTTCTCCTCTGTCCAGATGGGTCGGACGCCATCGGGATCTTTGACCTGCTGGACCAGGAGAACGACCTGGTGGACCCTGACATCATCAACATCCTGCCTGCCTCGCCCACCACCTCGCCCGTACACTCCCCCGGCGGCCACTACCACCAGGGGGGAGACGGCAGCAAGGTAGGCCCACCACACCACACCACGTCTCACCTGTGTAGACTATAAGAGGTACTCGAGCACATACTTTATTGAAGAAAATAAATACCTTGAACTTAAAGGGGCAATCTGCAGTTGCTACATCCATTTTCAAACTTTTAAATGAATGAAATATACCCATTGATTATTGAAGAATATAACTTATAAATGCCTCATGAGGTTAGTTTAAATGTCGTACCCCCATCAGATAATAAATAAGCTGGTTTTACTTCTTTGTAAACAGTCATTCTAAAAACAATTATACTGTATCACCACAAAACATGGTTAAAACTATAATTAAGCAATAAAGCACGAGGGGGTGTGGTATATGGCCAATATACCACAAACCCCAGAGGTGCCTTATTGCTATTATAAACTGGTTACCAACAGAAATAATGTTTTGTCATACCCGTGGTATACGGTCTGATATACCACAGCTGTCAGCCAATCAACATTCAGGGCTCAAACTGTGATGAGTGTGATGGAAGGAGTCAGGCGCAGGAGGGTAATCACCGAATACAGAGTTTATTCCTTCGTTACACAAAATACGCTGGAATAGCGACAAACGAAACAGGCACAGGGGAAACTATCTACCCTGGCAATACACTGTAATGGTATCTCCATACAATACATAGGCACAGGGGAAATATCTACCCTGACCACAAAATGGTACGAGTAGCTCCACCGAGCTACACTACTCTCACATTCAAACAATCACCCACAAGGACAAGGGGGCAGAGGGAACACTTATACACGGACTAATGAGGGGATTAGAACCAGGTGTGTGTGATTGACAAGACAAATGTGATGATGATAATTGGGGCGGCAGTGGTTAGTAAGCCGGTGACGACGAACGGCGAAGCCTGCCCGAACAAGGAGGGGAGGCAGCCTCCGCGGAAGTCGTGACAGTACCCCCACCCCTTGACGCGCAGCTCCAGCAGCGCGCCGACCCCGGCCTCGGGGATGGCCAGGAGGACGCGGAGCAGGGCGAGCCGGATGGCGACGGTGGAAATCCCGCAACAGGGAGGGATTGAGGATATCCCTCACCGGGACCCAGCACCGTTCCTCCGGACCGTACCCCTCTCACTCTACGAGGTACTGAAGGCCCCCCACCCGACGTCTCGCTTCCAGGATGGAGCGGACAGAGTATGCCGGGGCCCCCTCGATGTCCAGAGGCGGTGGAGGAACCTCCCGTACCTCAGACTCCTGGAGCGGACCAACCACCACCGGCCTGAGGAGAGACACATGAAACGACGGGTTCATACGGTAATCAGGGGGGAGTAACAACTTATAAGTGACCTCGTTGATTCTCCTCAGGACTTTGAACGGCCCCACAAACCGCGGGCTCAGCTTCCGGCAGGGCAGGCGGAGGGGCAGATTCAGGGTCGAGAGCCAGACCCGATCCCCCGGTACGAAGACCGGGGCCTCACTGCGCCTGACGTCTGACGACGCACGGCGCGCTGGAGGTGAACGTGGGCAGCGTCCCACGTCTCATCCGTGCTCCGAAACCAGTCATCCACCGCAGGAGCCTCGGTCTGGCTCTGGTGCCATGGTGCCAGAACCGGTTGGTATTCTAAAACACATTGGAATGGTGATACATTAGTAGAGGAGTGGCGGAGAGAGTTCTGGGCATATTCTGCCCATGGCAAGAATAATGACCACTCCCCCGGCCGGTCCTGTCAGTAGGACCGCAGGAACCTACCCACATCCTGATTTACCCATTCCACCTGCCCATTTGACTCGGGGTGGAACCCAGAGGTCAGGCTAACCGAGACCCCCAGACGTTCCATGAATGCCTTCCAAACCTTGGACGTGAACTGGGGACCTCGGTCGGACACTATATCCTCTGGCTCCCCGTAGTGCCGGAAGACGTGAGTAAACAGGGCCTCCGCAGTCTGCAGGGCCCTGGGGAGACCGGGCAGAGGAAGGAGGCGGCAGGACTTGGAAAAGCGGTCCACAACGACCAGGATGGACAACAGCCAACAGCTCCCGATCACCAACGTCGTAGTTCTGCTCCGCTGGGCTGAGTTTCTTAGAGAAGAAGGCACAGGGGCGGAGCTTGGGTGGCGTGCCCGAGCAATGGGACAGGACAGCGCCTATCCCTACCTCGGACGCATCCACCTCCACTACGAACGGTAGTGATGGATCGGGGTGGGCCAGTACCGGGGCTGAGGTGAACAGACAGCCTCAGCAGACCAGCGGAGCCGGGACGGCCCACCCTTCAACAGGGATGTAATGGGAGCTGCAACCTTGCCAAAGCCCCGGATAAACCTCTGATAGTAGTTGGCAAAGCCAAGGAAGCGCTGCACCTCCTTAACCGTGGTTGGAGTCGGCCAATTACGCAAGGCTGAAATGCGATCTCCCTCTATACACTTCTCTGCCTTGGCATAAAGGTCATTTTCCAACAGTCGGGCCAGCACTTTGCGAACCAGGGACACATGCTCGGCGTGTGTAGCGGAATACACCAGGATGTCATCGATGTAGACCACCACACCGCGACCAAGCATGTCCCGAAACACCTCATTCACAAAGGACTGGAAGACGGATGGAGCATTCATCAAACCGTAGGGCATCACCAGGTATTCATAATGCCCCGTGGTTGTGCTGAATGCTGTCTTCCACTCATCCCCCTCCCGAACACGCAGCAGGTTGTATACACTCCTGAGATCTAGCTTAGTGAAGAAGTGCGCCCCATGCATTGACTCAATCAATGAGGGGTAAGGAAAACTAAATCTAATCGACTCCTTGTTCAGTGATCGATAATCAATGCACGGGCGCAGACCGCAGTCTTTCTTCTTCACAAAGAAGAAACTCGAGGAGGCGGGTGAAGTGGAGGTACGTATATACCCCTGGCCCAGGGACTCGGTGACGTATGTTTCCATAGCCTCCATTTCAGCCTGCGACAGGGGGTACACATGACTCCTGGGAGGTACAGCGTCTACCCGAAGGTTTATCGCGCAATCCCCAGCCCGATGAGGTGGTAATTTAATCGCACACGTCTTGGAAAACGCGTGCGCCAAATCGAGGTATTCGGGGGGGAATGCGCACGGTGGAGGTACCGTCTGGACTTTCCACCGTGGTTGCACCAACGGAAACACCTAGACACCTACCCTGACACTCTCGCGACCACCCCGTGAGAGCCCTCTGCGGCCATGAGAAGGTGGGGTTGTGAAGTGCTAGCCAAGGGATACCTAATACCACAGGGAAAGCAGGAGACTCAATAATCGAAAAAATAACCTGCTCACAATGTGTCTCCTGGGTGATCATGGTGACTGGTATAGTGACTTCCGTAACAAACCCAGACCCTAATGGTCGACTATCAAATGCTCTGATGGGGAGTGGAATGGATAGGGGAACCAATGAAATGCCTTGACGGCTTGCGAATGCCCTGTCCATAAAGTTCCCAGCTGCGCCTGAATCGACTAGCACCTTACACTGGGGAACTACCATGTGATCGGGAAAGTGGATAGGTAGGGTACAGTGCGCAGCAGAGGGCTCTGAACGAGTGTGGGTGTTCGATACCTGGGGTGATACGAGTGCCCTGCCTGCCGCTTCCAGGCCCAAAAGAACGTTGACTACGACGTGTGGTGTACTGTCCCTTCGTGCCACCAGAGTGGCACTGTCGCTGTCTTCCTCCGCTCTCTCGGACGGCGGCTCCACCCAGCTCCATCAGCTCGGGATCCGAGTCGTCTGGGGTGGAAACGGGCAGACCCCTACCAGGACGTCCTCTGGCTACCAGCAGGTTGTCCAAACGAATGGCCATGTCCACCAGTCTCGTGAAGGACAACATGGTGTCCCGGCAGGCTAGCTCCTGTCGGACGTCCTCCCGCAGATAGCACCGGAAATGGTCGATCAGGGCCCGCTCGTTCCACCCGGACCCCGCTGCCAGAGTCCGAAACTCCAACGTGAAGTCCTGCGCGGTCCTCGTCCCCTGCCTCAGGTGGACCAGCCGCTCGCCCGCCTCTCGACCCTCGGGCGGGTGATCGAAGACTGCCCGGAAGAGGCGAGCGAATTCCCCGTAGTCCTCCAACGCGGCTCCTCCTTCATTCCACACCGCGTTGGCCCACTCCAGGGCTTTCCCACAGAGGCAGGAAGCGAGGACGGACACCTTCTCCCGCTCCGATGGCGCCGGCCTGATGCTGGAGAAATAAAGCTCCAGATGGAGGAGGAATCCTTGGCAGAGCGCCGCCGTCCCATCTAACGCCCGTGGTCGGAATATCTGGATCCCTCCAGGTGCTGGGGTATAGGTGGCTGGATCCGGGTTGACCAGCTGGTCTCGACAGATCGGATCCTGTCCTCTCCAGGCATTGGACGACCTGAAGAACCCGATCCATCGCTTCCCCCAAGCTGGCCAGCATCGTGCCACGACTCCAGGCATGTGCTCTTCTCCCGCTGACTCCATAGCGGGTGGGTGATTCTGTGATGAGTGTGATGGAAGGAGTCAGGCGCAGGAGGGTAATCACCGAATACAGAGTTTATTCCTTCGTTACACAAAATATGCTGGAATAGCGACAAACAAAACAGGCACAGGGGAAACTATCTACCCTGGCAATACACTGTAACGGTTTCTCCATACAATACATAGGCACAGGGGATATATCTACCCTCCACCGAGCTACACTACTCTCACATTCAAACAATCACCCACAAGGACAAGGGGGCAGAGGGAACACTTATACACGGACTAATGAGGGGATTAGAACCAGGTGTGTGTGATTGACAAGACAAATGTGATGATGATAATTGGGACGGCAGTGGTTAGTAAGCCGGTGACGACGAACGGCGAAGCCTGCCCGAACAAGGAGGGGAGGCAGCCTCCGCGGAAGTCGTGACACAAACCACCCAGTTTATAATTATGGATATATCATGGATGGTCAGTCCTTGCATCCATATCTCATATGTCTATGAATTTGAGAGTTACATTTCTCCAGCCCCATCACCCAGCTTTATACCAAAACAGTGGCAGGTTACCGCTTTGTTATTGTTTCAACAGCAGATTGACCCTTTAAGATGAACACAAAGATGACATTTAAGTAAAGTAACTTATTAAAGTAGATTTGGCTTTGGATAAATGCCTGGATTGATAATGCTAGTGCTGTTTTCTTGAACAGTTGTTCTGTAATGTATGAAAAAGCAAAAAGCCTTTTACAGTGGACATTATTGCAAACCAGAGATGAACTCCTTCTCCTCCTCCTCCTCTTCCCTTCCAGGGCCAGAGTACAGACCGGATGGAGTCCCACGATGAAGCTCCAAACATCCTGCAGCAGCCCCTGGCCCTGGGATACTTTGTGTCCACAGCCAAAGCCGGCCCACTACCTGACTGGTTCTGGTCAGCCTGTCCTCAAGCTCAGAACCAGTGTCCCCTTTTCCTCAAGGTAAACCTGTCAGACATCTGCGCTCATACTCCTGGGCCCGTTTTCATATTGTCTCAGAGTATGAGTGCTGATCTAGGATCAATATTCTTGTAGTCTGAGATGCTTTATGAATATGGGCCCTGGATTATAATATGTCTTATCTAATGCCACCTTGAAGTACTTGTTAATGGTCATTTTTAAAAGGATTGTTTTTGACTGACATTAGTTAACAGACAGACTAAAGCTTGCGGTTGGATTCAGTATCAAACACTCATAGTTAATTAAAACATACTTTTATTTTAACCTAGATTGTATTCCCTTGCTCCAGATATCAGCGATTGACTGACTTTTGTTTGCTCTATTATTACTGTGTGAATGGTTTAGCTAGGCCTGTCACTGACTTCCTGTGTGTCTTGTCTTTCCCCAGGCCTCTCTGCACCTCCACGTGTCTTCAGTGCAATCAGATGAACTGCTGCACAGCAAACACTCCCACCCTCTCGACTCCAATCAGACCTCAGACGTACTCAGGTAGATATTAGGGATGGGCATGAGTAATCGAGTACTCAAACGGATGTCAAAGCTCAATCTTTAACCAGAGATTGAAAAAAAATCTAATACTGTAAAACTATTTGGTGGAATGTGATTTGTGGCTGTCCGAACAGGCAAGTGAAATGTTGTCTTGAAGACGATGTTCATTTGTTTTTACTCTAGTGTTCCATTTGTACATGTGCATTTACGGGGCACAACAAAAAAAGAAACCAAGCCAAGCATCGCACTGTTCTTCTCCCTAAATTCCCTTTCCCCTCCATGTCTAATTCACTCAATTGCGTTCCGACCACTCCCTCTACACACACATACCGAGTGCACACAAAAGCTCCGTTAGGCCTACAGTAATAAATGCCTATAAAAACGTATCTAACTGATGGGATACACAAGCTACATTCCTTGCCAAATTGATGACACAAATTCAAAATGGACTGGTTGATTGAAGTAGGAAAATATGTATTCAATCAACGAGCTGCAGTTTTTTAATAATTGCATCCCGTCTATTTTGTGAACTGCTAATGCCATTTAGAATTGGTTAGCCTAGGCTATAACCCCACTAAACATAGACAGGTTCCACACTGAAAATATGCAAAAATATTATTTTGATTAAGACAAAGAGCATATATTCATCAGAATCCTTAAGTACAGTGGGTATAGAAAGTCACCACCCCCTTTCAAAATGTTCACATTTTGTTGCCTTACAGCCTGAAATGAAAACATATCAAATCTGACTTTTTTCAGCTTTATTTACACACAGTAACCCACAATATCCAAGTGGGGGGGAAAAAAAACAAACTCTGAAAATTATTTACAATTAAAACAGTAAAATACCCTATTTAGATAAGTGAACACCCGAATGGCGCACCCGAGTGGCGCAGTGGTCTAAGGCACTGCATCGCAGTGCTAGCTGTGCCACTAGAGATCCTGGTTCAAATCCAGGCTCTGTTGTAGCCGGCCGCAACCGGGAGACCAATGGGGCGGCGCACAATTGGCCTAGCGTCGTCTAGGGTAGGGGAGGGAATGGCCGGCAGGGAGGTAGCTCAATTGTTAGAGCATGGCGTTTGCAACGCCAGGGTTGTGGGTTCGATTTCCACGGTGGGCCAGTATACTTTTTTTTTTTTTTATGTTTATGTATGCACTAACTGTAAGTCGCTCTGGATAAGAGCGTCTGCTAAATGACGTAAAATGTAAAAAAAAAAAAATGCTTGAATTACAGCCATAAGTCTTTTTGAATACGTCTCTACTAACTTTGCACACCTAGACTGTGCAATATTTGCCCATTCTTCCTTGCAGAATTGTTCAAGCTCAGTCAAATTGCATGGTGACCGCTCATGGACTGCACTCTTCGTCATTCCACAGATTCTCGATGGGATTAATGTCGGGGCTCTGACTAGGCCACTCAAGGACATTAACCTTCTTGTCCTTCAGCCACTGTACGGTTGCTTTGGCAATGTGCTTTGGGTCATTGTCATGTTGAAACGTGAACCATCTTCCCATTTTCAACTTCCTGGCAGAGGGCTGCAGGTTCTCCTCAAGAATCTGTCAGTATTTTGCACTGTCCATTTTCCCTTCTATCCTGACAAGTGCTCCAGTCCCTGCTGAAGAGAAACACCCCCACAACAGGATGCTGCCACCGCCGTGCTTTACTGTAGGCATGGTGTTCTTTGGGTGGAAAGATGTATTGGGTTTTTGCCAGACATACCGTTTTGCGTTCAGGCCAAAAAGTTCAATCTGACCATGTGCCACGGAATCTACAATGTGCTTTTTGGCAAAGCTCAAATGAGACTTGATGTTGTGTTTTTTGAGGAGTGGTTTTTTTCTTGCCACGCTCCCATAGAGGCCAGATTTGTAGAGCGCTTGTGATATTGTGGTCACATGCACACATTGACCAGTCTTTGCCATAAAGGCCTGAAGCTCCTTCAAAGTCGGCATTGACTTCTTGGTAGCCTCTCTGATCAGTCTCCTCCTTGCCCAGTCATCTACTTTGTAGGGAAGGCCTGATCTATGCAGGGTCTGGGTGGTGTCAAACGCCTTCCACTTCTTAATAATGGTCTTAACTGTGCTCCGAGGGATAGACAGAGCCTTTGAAATATTTTTATATCTATCCCCTGACTTGTGCCTTTCCACAACTTTATCTCGTAGATCTTTTGAAAGTACCTTTCTGCCCAAAGTGGATTCTTTGCTTTGAATTGCACTACTAAGCAGTGGAGTCCTCTATGAACAACTTATTTTATTTTGAACTAATCAAAGTCACTACAATTGATCACAGATGGAAGCCAATTAGCTTGATTTGTGATCTGAAAGGTGGTTGGTTATACCTCAGCAGGTTTGCAATTGCAATTCTAAGAGGGGGTGTTCACTTATCCAAATCGGGTATTTTACTGTTTAATTTTTAATGAATTTTCAGAGGTTTTTTTTCGATTTTTTTCCCCACTTGGTTATTGTGGGTTACTGTGTGTAAATAAAGCCGATAAAAGTCTGATTTGATGTGTTTTCATTTCAGGCTGTAAGGCAACAAAAGGTGAACATTTTGAAAGGGGGTGGTGACTTTCTATACCAACTGTATATGCCTACTCACCAAACAGATGTCATGCTCGTAATTCATCACCATGCAGTTTTCAATTTGGAATTGTTCATCAATTTGTTTTATTCCAAAGAACAGGCAGAATAAACTAAATCGAATGTCTGTATATCGAATTTTGGTTTGTAACCCTGAAAAAACGTGCTAGATTTAGTCCCGTTTCAAATGATCACTTTTTGAGAACAACTGTTCCAGGCATGAGATGCGCATCACTTCACACTGGCAACTGTTTTCATTTGGAAAATTATTATGTTCCATTTGATTCTGTTATATTACATCATGGCTTTTTGTGCTATAAAATAGGTGTGTCTTGACTGTGATAAGGGCTCTGGAAATAAGACTGTCTTGTCTGCTAAATGAACAAAACAAAGCTATGCCATTGCACAGCAATAGGCTTCTTCTACAAGCAAGCGCCACTGCTGAGGTTACTGCCTTTTTGAAGATTGTGTTCCCCGATATAATGTAACCAGTTGATATTACGGTTTCAATTAAATAATCTTAAATGGCACTTGCTTTTCTATTGACTGAATATACACTGAGTATACAAAACATTAGGAACACCTTCCTAATATTGAGTTGCACACCTTTTTTCCCTCAGAACATCCTCAATTCGTCAGGCATGGACTCTACAAGGTGTCGAAAGCATTCCACAGGGATGCTGGCCCATGTTGACTCCAATGCTTCCCACAGTTGTGTCGAGTTGGCTTGATGTCCTTTGGGTGGTGGACCATTCTTGATACACACGGGAAACTGTTGAGTGTGAAAAACCCAGCAGCGTTGCAGTTCTTTACACACTCAAACTGATGCACCTGGCACCTACTACCATACCCCGTTCAAAGGCACTTCAATCTTTTGTCTTGCCCATTCACCCTCTGAATGGCACACATACACAATCCATGTCTCAATTGTCTCATGTCTTAAAAATCCTTCTTTAACCTGTCTCCTCCCCTTCATCTACACTGATTTGAAGTGGATTTAACTGGTGACATCAATAAGGGATAATGTGAGTACTCGAACAGTCAAGAAATTTAAAATTCCCATCCCTAGTAAACACACCCATACACACAAATGTATTTCCATTCAATATCCTATTTTCCCAAACCTTAACCCTAATGCCTAACCCTAATTATAACCTTAACCCTAAACCTAACCCCTAAGCTTAAAATCGCCTTTGTCCTCATGGGGATGTGGGAAATGTCCCCACGAGGGATAATTTGTCTTGTTTTACTATCCTTGTGGGGACTTTTGGGGATTTCAGATCCCCACAAGGATAGACGAACAAGACCACATACACATAATGCAGTCACACACTCCGCAGTCAAAGGGTGAATCTCATCCACGGCTCAGCCATTAAAGATCTTAAGACATGCTTTCAATCCATTTCTGGTCTATCTAAAGTGCTTATCAAAGACATAGTAATGTATTCCACTTGATCTCAAGGTTTGTGCTCGTTTTGAGAGGTGTGTTCATTGGGAATAACACATGCAGTGTCTCTCCTCCCTCCTCTCTCCTTCCCTCTGTAGATTTGTGCTGGAGCAGTACAATGCCCTCTCCTGGCTGACGTGCGACCCCGCGACGCAGGACCGGCGCTCCTGTCTGCCCATCCACTTTGTGGTGCTCAACCAGATGTACAACTTCATCATGAACATGTTGTAACGAATAGCCTAAAGGGTGGAGGGGAAGGGGAGAAAATGAGGAAATTCCAACCTGGCAGGCTGATGCTGGACTTCACTACGTGTTGTGTGGATCTGGATCTGGATAGGAGTAGATCAGAGAAGGCTGCTGGATGGAAGGAACGCCTTGGCCGTAGCGACGGGCCATAGAAACGTCTCAGCCTGCTCCTACCACTGTAGAAGAAGAAGAAGAAGAAGAAGAAGAAGAATAGATTTCTGGAACGGGTGATGCTAATAACAGGAACAAGAGAAAAAGAGCGAGATCCCGGTTGCCATTGTATTTGCTGTGGTAACGCCATGGTAACACTGTGGCAAAACCGTTTGGGAAACATGTAAAGTATTGGAAGTCAAGGGACATTTCAGTGATCGAAAAACTTGAATGGATCCTTGGTTTTAAGACCTGAAAAATTCCCTTTTTTCCTTTGGATGACATTTTTCCAAATTAAATGCCTGCATCTATCTTATTTATTGTAAGTTTTTAAATGTATGATTTGTCTTAATCTCTTTTATATATTACAAAATCTTGAAGGTTTATATTGCCTTCCTGCATTAAAGCAATTGGTCTAAGATATATGTAATCGTCTTAATTAAAAAACAAACAAAAACCTCAGAAAAATGAAATAAAGTCGCAGTAGTTTGCTTTTAGAGTATTATTTTTTGTATTGGGGACAGAATATTTGTATTGTCACGATGTACAGAAGAAGTAGATTGGAGAATTATGTCCATGCCTTTGTGCGTGGAGGATTTACAGCTAAGCTGTAGCAGAGGACTTGTACAGCAATGAAGTCACTGTGTTCAAATAAAGAGGTACATTGTCATATATAGTATTTTATACCACACATTTAGAAACAAAAACCAAACGGCAATATATATAAATAAATATATATGAATGCCGTGCCAGCGATGGGTGGTGCGGCTTCTGTTTTAGGAATAAAGTGCGTCAACTCAATTTTACCTGTGCATTTGTTGTGGTTCTTGCTTACTGGGAGAGGGATTGTGATGTGCAATTATTTGGAAGAAAACCATTGGCTTCTCTTGGATGTAGCTGACCTCAGGTTTGACCCATGTCTGGTGACAGATCTTGACAGAGGAAGAAAAAAAGAATAGAGCTCCTATCCTGTCCTTTCAGATATGCAGTGTCCTTTTTAGCACATCCCTCTATACCGCTAGCCTCGCGAGCCAGCCTGTTCTTGTGAACTTACATGAATGGTTCGCTACACAGATAGCGCAGCTGTAATCAGTCTCGTATATACGATGCTACTATACCTCTTCTTATCCATAGAAATCCCAATTGTCTCGAGGTTTGTTTTTTTGGCACCATTTCTGAGTGGTTACGGATGCATTTAGACCAACTCCATTTTACTTCTATGTGATAGTAAATGTGTGGTGTAAATGAACTTTAACCGGATATGGATGGAAGCCCATGGATATGCAGTGTTTATTTGTGCACAGAGGAAGATTGATATCTTGTATCTTCGCCTGTTCAGAATAAAACTGTAGTTTCACTAAAATCCAATGTCATGTATCTTCTCTTGCATACTTCTGACACCTCAACATATTCATGCATAAGTCATTTTAGTCTGTTTTTTTTTAGCAGACGCTCTTATCCAGAGCGACTTACAGTTAGTGAGTGCATACATTATTTTTTTTATTTTTTTTTCATACTGGCCCCCCGTGGGAATCGAACCCACAACCCTGGCGTTGCAAACGCCATGCTCTACCAACTGAGCTACATAAATGTTTTATTGTCAAAATCTAGGCCTATGGACTATGGTCTGCTTTTGAGTGTAGACAGGCCTGTATTCAGATATATCTATATTATTTGAACTCAGAAAAATGTGATTCCAATGTGTAAAATTAGTGCCACTTTATTATTTTACTTTTTTTTAAAAAGTCATGGTCCAAATTGGGATTGTTACAGGATCTGAATTTTAAAAATGTATAGTCTGTCAACAAGATAAATTACTTGTGATTCAGGCCCATAGTAGTCCGCAAAGGATGATGAAGGCGCTGACTGTGTCCCGGTCCTGGAGACCCGATCGTGCAGGGTTTTATTCTAGCCCAGTTCTAACCTGATTCAACATCAGTGCGCGCCTGCACCAGACAGTGTTGCACTGGAACAAAATCCTTCACACCCTGTAGAATAATCAGAGAGAGAAAAAATATTGCCATTTGTAAAACAGTTGCTAAAAGAAAACGTATTCATATTGTTCCTTCATTCAACCATGATTTTGTTTGGCTGTCATCCAGGGAGGTAGAGCAGCAGTCTGACAAAAAGTGCACGCGGAGCGCCCGAATGAATGCTAGAAGTGCTAGTGCTAGCTACTCCCAGGCACTCTGCTAGCTAGCGGTTTTGGCTAAACAGTCTGCTCATATAGCCTGTAATGTTGAAGTAATCGCTTTTGTACATTAATTTATTGCGATTACATTCTAAAGATTTATCTGGACATAGGTTTAATTACTTTGTACAGACAGATTCGTAAGAATGGGACTGTCAGAGTTCGCGAGCTAGCTAGGTTAGCTAGTAGGAGGAGAAATACGGATACAGCGAATGCATACGAGTGGCTGTTGTGCTACGTGAGTACGAAGTCTGAAGGCCTAAAATCTACATTCCTTCGTTGAAACATCCCTAAAGAAGGTAAGGTTAAATTTAGACCGGTTGACACGTGTTTTATTATCGATTGATGATAACATGTAGATTTAAAGAACTCCACAGTCAGGCATACTAGGCTAGCTTGTTATCTAGTTGTAACAAACTGAGCTAACTCGCAAGGTAGCTAGATAGCTAACTACTACCTAGTTATATCAACGTCTGCCCAGTATTACTATTTTTTCAAACGTGAAATCATGTTAATGTGAACTAGTTTAACTAACTAGGTAAGCTCCCTGCTCTTAAAATCCTCAGGAAGTGTTTCATGATCATGTTGTAGCTAGCTAAGAAGTCAGCACAAAGCTATCTTAGGTAGTAGACTTGTTAGCAATGCCTTTTATGCACAGCCTGTTCCTGAATAAGTCACCAGCTCTCTGGCTAACTTGCTGATAAACTAAGGATGCAAAATAATTTTTGTGCACATGACTTCATGGAAAACACTAACATTGAAGCTGCCTCCCTGGCTTTTCAAATCCAAAGCAACATAAACTTCTAAAGCTAGTCAATTGAATGCAAAGCTACAAATAGTTAAACTTTAAGCTGGAGCATCAGGACAGCATCAACTAGAAACCTCACTCTGTCCAGTCTCTCAGGTGTGGACCCAGTCCCAGACTACCAGCAGAGAAGGTGTTGACCCAGTCCCAGACTACCAGCAGAGATGTCAGAGAGTGCAGGGCTGCAGTTTGTCAGCCCGTATGCCTTTGAGGCCATGCAGAAGGTGGATGTGGTGCGTCTGGCTGCCCTGAGTGACCCAGAGCTGAGGCTGCTGCTGCCCTGCCTGGTTCGGATGGCTCTGTGTGCCCCAGCCGACCAGAGCCAGTCCTGGGCCCAGGACAAGAAGCTCATCCTGCGCCTGCTCTCCGGGGTGGAGGCTGTCAACTCCATTGTGGCCCTCCTGTCTGTCGACTTCCATGCTTTGGAGCAGGATGCCAGGAAGGAACAGCAACTCAGGTAAAACCTTTTGAATGATCTCAGAGACAGACACTAGTTAACTGTGTTATTACACTCAAGGACACTCGACTCAAGTAAACAACTCCTACAGGTTGAGTAGATGTCTTTGGTTAGTACGGTAATACGACTAACCTCATATTTAGCTTTTTGTAAATAAACTTGGAGAATCCAAATAAAATACATATTTTTTGTCTCTCCCTTTTGTTTAGCAGAGTAAAGAGTTTGTTTAGCATGTTGTGTGGATGGTAGGGCCGGGACCAGTATTAGCTCTGTCGTAGCCGGCCGCGACCGGGAGACCCATGGGGCGGCGCACAATTGGCCCAGCGTCGTCCAGGGTAGGGGAGGGAATGGCCGGCAGGGATGTAGCTCGGATGGTAGAGCATGGCATTTGCAACGCCAGGGTTGTGGGTTCGATTCCAGTATGAAAAAAATAAAATGTATGCACTCACTAACTGTAAGTCGCTCTGGATAAGAGCGTCTGCTAAATGACTCAAATGTAAATGTAGATGTCTTTGGTTAGTAATACGACTAACCTCATATTTAGCTTTTTGTAAATAAACTTGGAGAATATATTTTTTGTCTCTCCCTTTTGTTTAGCAGAGTAAAGAGTTTGTTTAGCATGTTGTGTGGATGGGATGGTAGGGCCGGGACCAGTATCGCAATATTTTTTCCATTGCAAAAATTGAAAACACTAAGTAGACCAAACTCTTTGGTCCTTTAAAAACCTGCTGTATGTAAAATATTGTGTGCTTTACCTTGGAAAATAAATACATGTGACTGGATGACAACATAATTATGTTTGTTTTCAACATTAGGGCTATTTTCCTAAAGAAGTTAAATCAGCTTCGTGTTTTCTTTCCTTGCCACGATACGAACAAGTATCGCAATACTAGTATCGCGATACTGAAATCGTCCCGGCCTTAGTGGATCGGAGATGCTGATTGTTCTGGTGTGGTGGTGTCCCCTCTGACAGGCACAAGGCTGGTGGCTCTAATGGAGAGAGCATCTTGGTGTCTCAGCTGCAGCATGGCCTCACCCTGGAGTTTGAACACAGTGACCCTCTCAGGAGACTCAGGCTGGCGCTCAGTGAACTACTGGCCATCATGAACAAGGTAACACCGTCATCTCACTGCTTCCCACGGGGGTAGTTTAACTGGAAACTGATTGATTGAATGTGTATGGTGCTTTTCCAGGCCCTCAAAGCACTTTACAAGGCAAGGGGGAAGCTCACCAATGGGTAGCTCCCAACTGAATCACTTGGCCCTGCCTTTAGCAAGCGTCCAGTTTATCATACTCAATTTTGTATTTGTATGTTGTTCATTTGGCTGGGTTTTGTCTTACAGGTGTCTGATTCCAATGGGGAATGGTTCCTGAAGTCCTCTGAGCTATTTGAGAGCCCTGTTTACCTGGAAGAAGTTGCAGATGTTCTCTGTATACTTCAAGCAGGTACTCACATCAATAGAAAATACCTCATTATGTGGAAATGACCCAGTTTTCTAAAACATACCTATTTGTGTGTGATGTATTTTCAGAGAAGCAACAATTTCTCTGATTTTGATTTGGAAGCTGAAGCTTTTCTCAGATCAAATACCTGGTATTGCACGGAACCCCCAAGTTTGATGTCTGCAGTCTTTTTTTCTCCCATCAGAGTTGCCCTCCCTGCTGCCCATCATAGACGTGGCAGAGGCTTTGCTACATGTGAGAAACGGTGACTGGTTCTTGTGCCTGCTGGTTGCCAATGTCCCTGACAGCTTTAATGAAGGTAGAGTGAAAGATGCAAAATAATGTCTGTGAACAATAAATATATATTCTATGTTTGTACTGTTACATTATGTTGCACAAATTGTTTAGCTTTACCATGCCTGTACTACTAATGATAAGACAGGATTAGTTGATTCACTGGTTTTATTGAGCCCGGAGCCCACACATGCTTGGCAAGCTGATCCTAGTCTATAGGTGGAGTATACTTAATCTAATAGAATAATCTGTGTCTGTACAGATCTCATTGTAATTCTAGGCAGATAATTATTGACATTGGCTGCCTATTCCACGTTTCTTCACCCAATTCGGTATTTCCGCTTGTAATTGGACAATGTTTCAGCCCCAGAGGTAGGACTAGATTAATGTGTTCTCCTTATAATATAGATGATGAATATGATTGTCTTGCGACTGGCCCATAGTGTGTGTGTTCTCTGCTTTCAGAGACACATTATGAAGGAGGAAATGGAGTTCTAGCTCCGCTTGCAGCCTCTCCAATGCCTCCTTATCACCCAGGGGGTCAGGCCTGAGTCAATAGCTTATTTGCGTTAGCGATGCAAGCGAGAAGGAAGCAGTCAGTCGGCAGGCAGGCAGCGTTACAGTACATAGCGCTGAACATTAGTGAATCCTCATGGCTTGTTATTGGAATTGGCCTCTTTCATTGAAACGGGCGGGAAATGGGCCCTGTCTCGAGGCATCAAGTGTGAGGCATAGCGTTGCCTAGCATATAACATGAAGCGGTAACTAACTTGATCTCCTTGAGTCTTTTATGGCATATGCAATTCTTCGTCAGTAGGGGAGATGGAAGCTAAATTAGTTTCAGTTAGTGCTGAGCAATTAACCGAAATAGTTATTTTTAAATTAAAAAACAAACATTTTAGTCATTTAGCAGACGCTCTTATCCAGAGCGACTTACAGTTAGTGAGTGCATACATTTTATTTTTTTCATACTGGTCCCCCATAACCCTGGCGTTGCAAGCGCCATGCTCTACCAACTGAGCTACACAGGGCCCATTTTTGGGGCTTATTAAACAACTAATTGACCGACGTCGGTTCAATTACTTGAATTCCATTTAGTTATATTTTTTTGATGAGCTCAACGCGCCATTTCTCGAGAGAAATCAAATCATTCATGAGAGAAATAACTATGTGGGATGCTTGGAAAATGTAGTTTTCATTAGTCAAATATACAACCTAGTTCAGCGCAGAAACGTGGTAATTAACTACAATGACCATAATCCATTGCGTCTGTTCTTTCCGGCCACGGACAGAGGCAGATACACACACACACACACACACACAGACAATAGACCGCATGAAAGAGGAATGACACAACACCACGACGAAAGGGATAGAGACAGTTCGTGAGGTAGCTCTACCAGAGTGATTGTTAAAGTAGTTGGTAATAAGCGGTCTTGAAAATATGCCTTATCTACTTTGAAGAACTAGTACAATTATTTTGTCAGCCAGCTAGCTACTACTAGCCTAGCTAAATAGTATGACTCGTTCAATGGTGAGCACAGAGACAACATTAGATGGTTGTCTGGCAGCGGAGGCTGGTGGGAGGAGCTATAGGAGGACGGGCTCATTGTAATGGCTGGAATTGAATCAATGGAACGATATCAAACATATGTAAACCACGTTTGACTCCGTTCCGTTTATTCCAGTCCAGCCATTACAATGAGCCCATCCTCCTATATCTCCTCCCACCAGCCTCCACTGTTGTCTGGCTGGCAGGCTGCTACTGCCTGAGTACAGATTAAATTATGACTTTAAAGAGCCACTGAACATGCAGATTGGCAAGTATTTTTCTGTTCATCATTAGAAAAACAAGATATCAGTCTTGGTGTGTTTCCTGACTGATTCCGCGTTTGGTTAATTATGTTTGTCCCCCATGAGACACTGTAGTCACAGAAGCCTATGTCACTTCCTCAAAATCCCCAGAATGAATATAAGATAACTAATTAATTTAGACGTTTTTGCCGAGGATGTTTTAGTTGCGCAATTTTACATCTAAGGTGTTTGGTGCTGTATTTCTCAAGTAAAAGAATGTTCGACGTGTTGTCTTATGTAAACAAAGTTGGGCTGCTTGGCAGGTCTGTCTCAATGTCTATGCTATTGGATAGAGGGCAATCAACATAGCTGTTCACCCCATGTTAGTGGGCAAACGGACATTGTCAAATCAAAACCCAACCTTCATTTACCCATTGATGCACGGATGTTCCAAACTCTGTTTTAGACAAGACTGACTTTATGACCAAAATTATCCTATTTACACTTTGTAGTAAAATTTGACACTAGAATAACTGTTTCTGACTCATATCGATGCCACAAAGGGATTTGTTGCTTTTTAAAGGCAGTCACTCTCTAAGGAATTACAAATAATAGTAATCAAATAAATAAATAAAAACTTCTGACCCACTGGAATTGTGATACAGTGAGTTATAAGTGAAATAATCTGTCTGTAAACAATTGTTGGAAAAATTACTTGTGTCATGCACAGAGTAGATGTCCTAACCGACTTGCCAAAACTATAGTTTGTTAACAAGAAATTTGTGGAGTGGTTGAAAAACGAGTTTTAATGACTCCAACCTAAGTGTATGAAAACTTCTGACTTCAACTGTAAATGTGTAATGATTCCATGCTTCATTGGATTTCCGTAAGCAGTCCGTCTACTATGACATAATGCACTGCTACAGACATTGAAGGTGAAGCAAGCAGACAGAGAAAATGCTCTGGCGGGACAAAGGACAATTGTTATAGATCCTTGAGAGAAGGTTAAAAACATGGAACAATTTCTTGTTTTTATGCATCTTTGATATCCTCTGTTATTATTGCAACATTCAAGTACCAAATAAGTGCCAATTCTGCCAAATAAATAACAACAAATGTTAGAAAATGTATTATCTAATCAAATTTCCTCAATCAAATTCCATTATTCCATAACTGTTATTTGTACGGATTTCATACAGCTGTATTTCGATAAGAAAATGTTTCATATCCTCAGAAAATAATAACCTTCTCCACATAACATGTAACTGATATCTGTGGTGTGTTCAGTGTGCAGGGGCCTGATAAAGAACGGGGAGCGTCAGGATGAGGAGAGCATGGGGGGGAGACGCAGGACAGAGGCCCTGAGACAGCTGTGTCAGATGAACCCCTCCCAGGCCCTCAACATCAGAGCCATGGTGGTGAGTCAATCTCTCTTGTGCCTTGTGAACCATTTGTCCTTTCCAGCACCGTTCCAGCAACTAGGGTGGATTTATAACCAGGCCAGCACAGTACAGCTCAGCTCTTAAACCGTTGAGCTGTGCAAATGCCACTACTGTTTGCTGCACTGATGAAAACTGTCATGCTGTCCTGTCCACTGTATGTGTGTCCTCCCCAGGTGGAGGAGTGTCACCTGCCAGGTCTGGGTGTGGCCCTGACCCTGGACTATAAGCCTGACACGGCCGATGATGCGGTCAGCCCCCTGGTGTCCTACGTCAGTGGGCTGCTGCTGGGCACAAATGGGAAAGTACGCACCTGGTTCAGCATGTTCATACGCAATGGACAACAGGTGAGAAACACAGACCACTGCCTACAGTGAGATTCAGTGGCATACATATTTGAGCTATACAAATATACATTCTGCTCCTCAAACACACACACAGCTCTCACCGATACCTTGAAAGTGACTTATACTCTCTTACAAAACTCTCAACCCTCGCACTCTCTCTCTTCCCTCCCTCCCTCAGAGGAAGCGTGAGAGCAGTTCAGTGCTGTGGCAGATGCGTAGGCAGCTGTTGTTGGAGCTGGTGGCCATCTTGCCCCGGTCGCGCAGCACCCACGAGCCCAATGACAGTGTGGAAGATGCAGAGAGCAGCTCTGGGTACTCTGGTCTCCGGGAGGAGCATGTGGTGAAGGCTTCCGCCCTGCTCAGACTCTACTGTGCCCTCATGGGCATCGCAGGACTCAGGTAGGTGACACCAAGGAGGAGGAGAGGGAGTGGAGATCAGTAGGGGTAGCACTGATGGTCTCTGATAGTTCCTCTGTTTTAAAGTTTCATGAATTATTTTCATAAGGGTGTAGTGATGGGGGAGTTTGTACCCTGGGTGTGTTTTTTTGAAGGATGTAATTAACCTTTGGAAGATGGTGTATCTGATTGTGTCTTTTGTAATTTTGTGTGTTTGTGACATTTGAAGTAATTTGTGTGTCTTTCCCCCGTTGACAGGCCCACTGATGAGGAGGCAGAGCAGCTCCTTCAACTCATGACTAGTCGACCCCCGGCCACTCCAGCTGGGGTTCGATTTGTCTCTCTGTCCTTCTGTAAACTACTGGCCTTCCCCACACTCGTCAGGTAGGACCACAAGAGCAACATCTTTATATTAATTTTGCATAAAAATACACACGTCAAGACAGAATGACACTGACACATTCAACACATTCAATGGTTGGGAAGAAATGGCAATACTAGTCAGGGCTTGACATTTTTTAGCCACTTGTCCTTTGGACAAGAAGGACAGTTTTTTTTTTTACTTGTCCTTTGGACAAGAAGGACTGTTGTTTTTTTTACTTGTCCAAAATAAAAATGTAATACTTGTCCCCAAAACATTTAAATGGTCTGTAAGACAATTTTAAAATGCATTGCTATCTTTTTTTTTACCATAGAGAATCAGACAGAAATGTAGGCTACACTCTGCCTATTGGCTTCTTTGCATATTCAAGCCTGTCTCAAAATACAACACTCCCCTTTAAAGGCTCTCCTGGAGGATAGTTGGCCACCCTGTTAGCCTATTGAATATTACAACATTAGGCTACAATTACAACCAAATACTTTTTATGTCTTTAAAAATAATTCCCTCTAGGGATCCAAAATTCATACAACCACTGCACGCAATTGTATTTTTTTAAATCAATGAGGTGATGCAACAAATCAGACCGTTTAGCTTAAAATATTGATCAACTTTAATTTCTTCATATTATAAGCTCAACAATGTGCACATGGCTGTAGGGTACGTGCAAATGTTCCAAAAATGCAATTAGCGGGAAAACACCATTCTCAAAAGTGCTTCTACACCTGCATTACTAGCTGTTTGGGGTTTTAGGCTGGGTTTCTGTACAGCACTTCGAGATATTAGCTGATGTAAGAAGGGCTATATAAAATAAAATTGATTGAAATTGATTGATTGCACGAGCGAGTGGTTAGAAATTAAGAATGAGGGGAGACCTAAAGATGTATCAACTAGCATGGGTCACTAATATGACTAGGATTATGCCTTTGGCTGCTGGACAATAAAATTAAGTTGATTTGAAAACCAATAGAACATGAGAAAAATGCTGGTTTCAATGGCATATTAATTGTTTATAAAATAATTCCCTTAACATTTCTATGGTTGTATTTTGGCTAGGCTAGGCTACTTTGAAACAAGGTAAGACATGCTTCATAAAATGGCATAAACAATTACGTTTATGGTTAAATAGTTTTAAAATGCTGACCGTCCCCTCTCAGATTCAAGGTGGGTGATGTGCGCAACAGTCACGGTCCTTCACTCTCTGGTCTTGTGGCCATTTGATCTGAACAAACGTGCCTCCTATGTTGACAGAATCAAGCCTTTAGATGTTAATTATCCTTCATTATATTTGTCAAACATGACTGGCGTTCAGCCTATATTTATATAATTAAAAGTCATTATAGTTTGGCTACATTTTCTGGCGCATCTCTCATGTCAACATTGGTTTGGACATGAGAGGCTGTAGCCAATATGCACATAGGCTTTTTTATTTATGTACATGAAAAGTAGATTTGAATATTATTCCAATGTTGGCCTCTGGTCCAGTTCTGATCTGAGTAATTGTTTTGATATTGTGATTTGTGTGATTTAACAACTTAAATCTACAGTGAGGGAAAAAAGTATTTGATCCCCTGCTGATTTTGTATGTTTGCCCACTGACAAAGAAATGATCAGTCTATAATTTTAATGGTAGGTTTATTTGAACAGTGAGAGACAGAATAACAACAAAATAATCCAGAAAAACGCATGTCAAAAATGTTATAAATTGATTTGCATTTTAATGAGGGAAATAAGTATTTGACCCCCTCTCAATCAGAAAGATTTCTGGCTCCCAGGTGTCTTTTTATACAGGTAACGAGCTGAGATTAGGAGCACACTCTTAAAGGGAGTGCTCCTAATCTCAGCTTGTTACCTGTATAAAAGACACCTGTCCACAGAAGCAATCAATCAATCAGATTCCAAACTCTCCACCATGGCCAAGACCAAAGAGCTATCCAAGGATGTCAGGGACAAGATTGTAGACCTACACAAGGCTGGAATGGGCTACAAGAACATCGCCAAGCAGCTTGGTGAGAAGGTGACAACAGTTGGTGCGATTATTCGCAAATGGAAGAAACACAAAAGACCTGTCAATCTCCCTCGGCCTGGGGCTCCATGCAAGATCTCACCTCGTGGAGTTGCAATGATCATGAGAACGGTGAGGAATCAGCCCAGAACTACACATGAGGATCTTGTCAATGATCTCAAGGCAGCTGGGACCATAGTCACCAAGAAAACAATTGGTAACACACTACGCCGTGAAGGACTGAAATCCTGCAGCACCCGCAAGGTCCCCCTGCTCAAGAAAGCACATATACAGGCCCGTCTGAAGTTTGCCAATGAACATCTGAATGATTCAGATGAGAACTGGGTGAAAGTGTTGTGGTCAGATGAGACCAAAATCGAGCTCTTTGGCATCAACTCAACTCGCCATGTTTGGAGGAGGAGGAATGCTGCCTATGACCCCAAGAACACCATCCCCACCGTCAAACATGGAGGTGGAAACATTATGCATTGGGGGTGTTTTTCTGCTAAGGGGACAGGACAACTTCACTGCATCAAAGGGATAATGGACGGGGCCATGTACTGTCAAATCTTGGGTGAGAACCTGGGTCATGGATGGGTATTCCAATATGACAATGACCCAAAACACACAGCCAAGGCAACAAAGGAGTGGCTCAAGAATAAGCACATTAAGGTCCTGGAGTGGCCTAGCCAGTCTCCAGACCTTAATCCCATAGAAAATCTGTGGAGGGAGCTGAAGGTTCGAGTTGCCAAATGTCAGCCTCGAAACAATGACTTGGAAAAGATCTGCAAAGAGGAGTGGGACAAAATCCCTCCTGAGATGTGTTCAAACCTGGTGGCCAACTACAAGAAACATCTGACCTCTGTGATTGCCAACAAGGGTTTTGCCACCAAGTACTAAGTCATGTTTTGCAGAGGGGTCAAATACTTATTTCCCTCATTAAAATGCAAATCAATTTAACATTTTTGACATGCGTTTTTCTTGATTTTGTTGTTGTTATTCTGTCTCTCACTGTTCAAATAAACCTACCATTAAAATTATAGACTGATCATGTCTTTGTCACTGGGCAAACGTACAAAATCAGCAGGGGATCAAATACTTTTTTCCCTCACTGTATTCTTGTCTGACTTTCTTTATACTTGTCCTGGACAAGAGGACAAGCGTTAATGTCGTGCCCTGCTAGTACAAAACACACAAACAAAAACAATACAAAGTATTCACAGCTCTGCTCTAATGTGTCGATGTGACAGTGAAAGACTAACTGTAGTCTTTGTATCTACTACCAAGCAGATGGCATAAAGATTCTCACTGGGTTAACAGAGCCAGATTAAACAGGTGGCTTCTCTGGAATGTTTCCTGCCGTTGTACTGAGTGGCATCTGTGGCTATGTGACGGTGTTATTAGTGTGATATTGTGTTGCCTGTGTGATCCTGTGTCCCTCCTGCAGCACCCCGGAGCAGGAGCAGCTGATGGTGATGTGGCTCAGCTGGATGATCAAAGAGGAGGAGTACTTTGAGAGGTGAGGATGGTGGCCTGGTCCTTATGTGATGATAGACATTATCAGACCTGGGTTCAAACAGTATGTGTTTTCTTTCAAATACTTTAGCTTTCCTTGATTGCGCTTCACTGGTGCAATCATTTCACACTTTATGGGCATTTTATTAGCAAACCTTCAAAATGGTCATGACGACAGATGAGTCATGCGTATCTCTCGACATTCAGTGATTGTCTTCCAGTTAAACTGGCTCAATTTAACAATGCCTGACAAAAAAGTGCCCTTAGTGTTCTTTTTCATGTTCCAGTCAGAGTTCCCTGTTTTTCTCTGGTAGGAGAAAGGCTGAGGCCAGACAGAGCTCGTCTCAAAACAAACAGTGCAGGGACGTGAGGCAGGTTGGGTGGTGATGGATGAGGGGGCGAGTTGGGCTGGAAGGGGGAACAAACCCGGGAGGCCCCGACAGGCTTTTAAAAATTTAATAAGCCCTTCATTGAACCATGAGTTATCACTGCAGCAGCCCAACTCTCCCTCTGGGGTGGTAAATGAGTGTTGGCCGGCGCCGTGGAGGGGACACTAGGCCGGAGGAGGGGGTGTCTAATATAACTGGGCATAATCATTTTATTAAAGCGCTGTCCTCTAAGATGCATTGTAAGCTCCCGGTTTAAATCTCTCTGCTCTGTCTCTCCTGCCCCCCTCTTTCTCTCTCTCTCGCTCTGTGTGTGTACAGTGCTGCAGGGGTCGCCGCTTCCTTCGGAGAGATGCTATTACTGGTTGCCATGTATTTCCATAGCAACCAGCTCAGCGCCATCATCGAGCTGGTCTGCTCCACTTTGGGGATGAAGGTAAGGTGGAGGTAGGGATGGAGAGAGAGAAGGTGGGAGGGTGGTAGGGCAGATGGAGGTGGAGGGATCGATAGTCCAGTCTGAGAGGGAGAGTGGCTAGCTGTTATACTTCCTCCATTTCAGCTATGCAAGAAGCCTACAAACAGCGACGGCTGCCTGCCAATACACTGGCTGTTGTGTTCAGTTATTTTTGCTGTCACTTCATTTCTCAGAGAAAGAGGGTGCAATGTAATTTGGTTGTATTGAATTTTATTCTCACCCTAGGCTGTCTATGCACTGTATCTATTCTGCTTTTGTCATGTAGAATTTCTGTTATCCAATATGAATAGAGTGGAATTATTAACGGCCAGGTTCATTCATTGCCCTCAGGATGTTTTCACTAGGTACTGGCTGCAGTAAAAGCAACTCTGTTGGTTGATACCAGTCTAACTGATCCTTCTGTAAATTATACCAGTCTAAACTGATCTCTTGGTAAATGCCACCCTTTCTTCACTGCAGATTGCAATTAAGCCAAGCTCTCTGAGCAAAATGAAGACTATCTTTACCCAGGAGATCTTCACTGAGCAGGTACTTCATACACACAGCCACATATACCATTTGTCCACAGTTAGCCTAATCTTTTTAGATAACATATGTCTTTATGATTTACATGTTGTTTATTTGCTATACAGTGCCATATTATTTCAACATTTCAGTAATTTAATGATTTAAGTATTTCAACTTTTCAACATGTTTCATTATTAGATTTTTTTTATTTGGACTGATTTGATCCTCCATCCATAGTATTGGCCAGGTATATTGAAATTGTATTGATTTTTGTCCAGGTGGTCACTGCCCACGCTGTGAGGGTGGCGGTTACCAACAACCTGAGTGCCAACATCACAGGCTTCCTGCCCATCCACTGTATCTACCAGCTGCTCCGCAGCAGAGCCTTTACCAAGCACAAGGTCTCCATCAAGGTAGGCCATTCTCCACTCTCCAGTCTGTGGTTCTGTTATTAGCCTCATGCCTTTTCTGTTCATTCATGGCTCCATCTACTGGTTACTTCCAATGAATGATGTTCGTGGCTTTTGTGAGCAGCATGGTGAATTCCACTATGGGATATGGGGAAGAGCACTTACACCTGATAAATAGTTTTAAACTGTTTACTGGTGCTAGTCTTTTGGTACAATAGTCTATACAACAAATACATATCAATATACACATTAATGCTGTTGTATTCCATGTTGTCTCCTATAGGACTGGATCTACAGGCAGCTGTGTGAGACATCCACCCCGCTCCACACCCAGCTGCTGCCCCTCATCGACGTTTACATCAACTCCATCCTCACTCCGGCCTCCAAGGCCAACCCTGAGGCCACCAACCAGCCAATCACTGAGCAGGAGATCCTCACCATCTACCAAGGCTCCACTGCAGTGGTGAATGGGTTATTAAACACGCACACACACATACACGGGGGGGGGGGGGGGGTAAGGTTTTCATAAGACTGGGGTGGGTTTTCCTCTCACTTTTTTACCTACCCTTTGCTCCTTTCATATTTATTTTGATCCTGACAAACTCCCCAGTCCCTGCCAGTGACAAGAATACCCATAACATGATGCTGCCACAACAATACTTGAACATAAATAGGGTTTTCACCCAAACCTGTAGTTTTTAAAAGTGTATTTCTTTGTCGTGCAGTATTACTTAACAGCCTTTTTGCCAACAGAATAGATTTAGTCCCCTGTAACTCAGTTGGTAGAGCATGGCACTTGCAACGCCAGGGTTGTGGGTTCGTTTCCCATGGGGGCCAGTATGAAAATGTATGCACTCACTAACTCTAAGTCGCTCTGGATAAGAGCGTCTGCTAAATGACTAAAATGTAAATGTTAAGCATTTAGAGTGGATTCTTTTAACACAGGCTTCATTCTTTTCATTTAGTCATACAGGCCAATAATGTGGAGTGAATGCATTGTTGTTGATCCTCTTAATTTTCAAGTATTGTGGTGGCAGCATCATGTTATGGGTATGCTCGTCACTAGCAGGGACTGGGGAGTTTGTTAGGATCCAAATAAATATGAAAGTAGCAAAGCCTAGGTAAAAAGTTAGAGGAAAACCCACTGTAGTCTCCTGTAAACCTAACCTTGGGATAGTTTTATTTTTCAGCGACACAATTACAATACATTTTAATGGCAAAGACACATCAGAATGTCTTCCCAAGAGGTGTTCAATGCTCCTGAATGGTCCAGTCGCAGTCCTTACGTAAATCTGCTTGAAAATCAGAGACAAGGTTTGAATGTTGCTGTCCATCAATGATTCCCAACCAAATTACTGAGCTTGAGCAATTTTTACAAAAACAATGGATTTATGTTGCCCTAAGAGTTGTGCAAGGTTGCTACAATCTTATTTAAAATAATTCACAGCTGTAATAGTCCCAGTCGGTATTAGATGGAATGTTGCGGCCCCTCCCGCCTGTGGGGAAAACAACCTGTGGTTACCTAGGTTACCCCATTGGCTCACAGCAAATACTTGACCTTTTTCAAACACAATTAGTTGTCTGCTTGTTTTAGTCAATTACAAAACTACATTTAAGAAAAGTACAGCATGTCTAAAAATAACTTTACCCGAGCATTCTCACTACTTAGAAAAATGTAATATTGTAGGCCTTCCCTCATGCATGCATGAGTGCTAGCTAGCTACCGACCGGAACAGCTAGCCAATACCAACAACACAAACGGACTATACAGCTACAAGTAGTGAGTGGAGTCAAACAGACTATACTGAACAAGTTAAATGTCTTACCTGTGATGAAATGTTTTCCACACACATACAGTGGGGAAAAAAAGTATTTAGTCAGCCACCAATTGTGCAAGTTCTCCCACTTAAAAAGATGAGAGAGGCCTGTAATTTTCATCATAGGTACACGTCAACTATGACAGACAAATTGAGGGAAAAAAATCCAGAAAATCACATTGTAGGATTTTTAATGAATTTATTTGCAAATTATGGTGGAAAATAAGTATTTGGTCACCTACAAACAAGCAAGATTTCTGGCTCTCACAGACCTGTAACTTCTTCATTTACATTACATTTACGTCATTTAGCAGACGCTCTTATCCAGAGCGACTTACAAATTGGTGCATTCACCCTATAACCAGTGGGATAACCACTTTACAATTATTATTATTATTATTATTATTATTATTATTATTTATTTTTGGGGGGGGGGGGGGGGGGGTAGAAGGATTACTTTATCCTATCCCAGGTATTCCTTAAAGAGGTGGGGTTTCAAATGTCTCCGGAAGGTGGTGAGTGACTCCGCTGTCCTGGCGTCGTGAGGGAGCTTGTTCCACCATTGGGGTGCCAGAGCAGCGAACAGTTTTGACTGGGCTGAGCGGGAACTATGCTTCCGCAGAGGAAGGGGAGCCAGCAGGCCAGAGGTGGATGAACGCAATGCCCTCGTTTGGGTGTAGGGACTGATCAGAGCCTGAAGGTACGGAGGTGCCGTTCCCCTCACTGCTCCATAGGCAAGCACCATGGTCTTGTAACAGATGCGAGCTTCAACTGGAAGCCAGTGGAGTGTGCGGAGGAGCGGGGTGACGTGAGAGAACTTGGGAAGGTTGAACACCAGACGGGCTGCGGCATTCTGGATGAGTTGTAGGGGTTTAATGGCACAGGCAGGGAGCCCAGCCAACAGCGAGTTGCAGTAATCCAGACGGGAGATGACAAGTGCCTGGATTAGGACCTGTGCCGCTTCCTGTGTAAGGCAGGGTCGTACTCTCCAAATGTTGTAGAGCATGAACCTGCAGGATCGGGTCACCGCCTTGATGTTAGCGGAGAACGACAGGGTATTGTCCAGGGTCACGCCAAGGCTCTTCGCACTCTGGGAGGAGGACACAACGGAGTTGTCAACCGTGATGGCGAGATCATGGAACGGGCAGTCCTTCCCCTTCTTTAAGAGGCTCCTCTGTTCTCCACTCGTTACCTGTATTAAAGGCACCTGTTTGAACTTGTTATCAGTATAAAAGACACCTGTCCACAACCTCAAACAGTCACACTCCAAACTCCACTATGGCCAAGACCAAAGAGCTGTCAAAGGACACCAGAAACAAAATTGTAGACCTGCACCAGGCTGGGAAGACTGAATCTGCAATAGGTAAGCAGCTTGGTTTGAAGAAATCAACTGTGGGAGCAATTATTAGGAAATGGAAGACATACAAGACGACTGATAATCTCCCTCGATCTGGGGCTCCACGCAAGATCTCACCCCGTGGGGTCAAAATTATCACAAGAACGGTGAGCAAAAATCCCAGAACCACACGGGGGGACCTAGTGAATGACCTGCAGAGAGCTGGGACCAAAGTAACAAAGCCTACCATCAGTAACACACTACGCCGCCAGGGACTCAAATCCTGCAGTGCCAGACGTGTCCCCCTGCTTAAGCCAGTACATGTCCAGGCCCGTCTGAAGTTTGCTAGAGTGCATTTGGATGATCCAGAAAAGGATTGGGAGAATGTCAGATGAAACGAAAATATAACTTTTTGGTAAAAACTCAACTCGTCGTGTTTGGAGGACAAAGAATGCTGAGTTGCATCCAAAGAACACCATACCTACTGTGAAGCATGGGGGTGGAAACATCATGCTTTGGGGCTGTTTTTCTGCAAAGGGACCAGGACGACTGATCCGTGTAAAGGAAAGAATGAATGGGGCCATGTATCGTGAGATTTTGAGTGAAAACCTCCTTCCATCAGCAAGGGCATTGAAGATGAAACGTGGCTGGGTCTTTCAGCATGACAATGATCCCAAACACACCGCCCGGGCAACGAAGGAGTGGCTTCGTAAGAAGCATTTCAAGGTCCTGGAGTGGCCTAGCCAGTCTCCAGATCTCAACCCCATAGAAAATCTTTGGAGGGAGTTGAAAGTCCGTGTTGCCCAGCGACAGCCCCAAAACATCACTGCTCTAGAGGAGATCTGCATGGAGGAATGGGCCAAAATACCAGCAACAGTGTGTGAAAACCTTGTGAAGACTTACAGAAAACGTTTGACCTGTGTCATTGCCAACAAAGGGTATATAACAAAGTATTGAGAAACTTTTGTTATTGACCGAATAATTATTTTCCACCATAATTTGCAAATAAATTCACTAAAAATCCTACAATGTGATTTTCTGGAATTTTTTTCTCTCATTTTGTCTGTCATAGTTGACGTGTACCTATGATGAAAATTACAGGCCTCTCATCTTTTTAAGTGGGAGAACTTGCACAATTGGTGGCTGACTAAATACTTTTTTCCCCCACTGTATGTGTAGCCTACTTGGACACTGGGTCCCCACATTTCCCACTCTCCCACGCCGAATAGCCTGAAGCCACAGGGCTCTTCTCACAGGCTCTATTTCTCTACATGGGAGCATTGCGAACCATAGATTGGGACTTTTAACATGATTACATGTATATTGAAGAATACAGCAGCTTTTCGGCGTGTTTTGTTATTTCTGTATAATTGATGACGAAGTTGGCTCTTTTTTACAATGGTGGTCAATAGGAAAGAATGTTTGTTTTTCCCCAATTTGTGGGCGTGGTCGAGGGAATTTCTTATTATTACGTGAATATCGAGTATGGCTGCCATAGGTGTTTCCACCAAGTATTAACCCTGGGGTGTTTATTTTATTCATTTGGAAAATGTTCTATAAAAAAAATATCACTTTGAAAATGTGGAGTAGGTTGTGTAGATCGGTAGAAGAAAAAATCGAATTGAATCCCTTTTTAAGATTTAATTTTAAGGCAGTGAAATGTGGAGACAGTGCAAGGTGTCAAAACCCCTTTCATCAATGGCTAATTAATAAGGGAAAAACATGTCAGACAGATCAAACTAGGTCAATTAACAGCCCAAATATATAAATATATCCTTCCGCATGCTGTAAAATATAGATTGCTCAAACAGGTTGTACTTGCTTTGGAGATTAACAAGGTTTTACACACTCACTGGATGGTGCAAATTTAAAGGCAAGCAGCGATACAAAGCCACCATGTAAAATATTCACGTCAAATGATAGTTGGTCCGTTTCAATTAATCTGACCATTCGTTATGTTTAGAGGCCATTGGGAGTAAATTGCCTTTAATATCATTATAGTCTCCCTGGTCTGTTGGGCTGTCTGCAGCCACTGACATGATATTTAATTATGTCATACATCAGCAATGCCATATTCATGTCCTATCATCCACTTTGTTCTTATATTCCGCCTTGGTTGCCGTAGAAGGTCAGAGAGAGGACCATTTGTCAGTAGTAGCTCGTTGAGCCATTTGTCGCTAGTAGCCCATTGGCCCTGCAGTGTAGAACACTCTGTGGTGACCTGCCTCTGACCTCTACTTGTGTCTTTCTCTCCCTTCTCTCTCTCCCCTATTTCTCTCCCCCTCTATCTCACTCTCTATCCGTCTCCCCCTCCACTCTCCCCCCTATCTCGCTCGCTCTCTTTTTCCATCTCTCTCTCTGGCAGGGAGAGGGTGGTCGAGGGGTGCGTTCCAGATACAGCATCACCACACAGCTCCTCATCCTCTACTATATTCTGTCCTATGAGGAGGCTCTCCTGTCCAACACTAAACAACTGGGTATTTATGTATATATGGATATATGTCTCCTACTGTACAGTATCTCCTCCTGGGTATGTACCATAGTGTATGTTACTCCTGAACGTCATTCATTCAGCCACCCTTGGCTTCTCTCCTAGCCGACCTGTTGCTGCTTTTTCTTCTCCTCCACTCAGGCTCTTTCATTGTCTTCTCCCCCTTCGAAGAAGGTATGCTGTTTTTGGGACGGACAGAGAGAGAGAGTGTCAGGGAACCAAGAGAAAAGGAATGCTTTGTCCTCTGTTGTTAAGCTACTAGGAAACTGTGTTGCTATGGGGGATTCCTTTCTATCCTCCTGGCTTTGTCTCAGGCCTCCATTTATTATCAATGGCCAGCCAAGTACGATGTCCAAGGGAGGTGTTACCTACTGGACTTAAGGACTCAGCAGAGTCAGTATTTCTTGGATGATAAGGTCTTCCCACCCTTCGTTAGTCCTAATTTACGTCTGTGTTAGTTTATACATATGCTCCCATCTTAATTGTTGTGTTTATCTAAGTGCTGCTGCACCCTTCAAGCAGGAATGATGATGCGCATCAGCATTGTGTTAATGAAGCCATTTCAGTGAAGAACCACCCCACTCTGGAAGCACTCACACAGGGTGTTTTAAATAGACAGCAGGGCCAAATCAATCTCTCCTCTCTCCTCAGCTCTGATGCAGAGGAAGCCCAAGTCGTACTCCGCCATACTCATGGACCAGATCCCCATCAAATACCTCATCACCCAGGCCCAGGGCCTGCAACAGGAGTTGGGGGGTAAGTACAACAAATGTACAGGGTATCTCTAAGTAGGGATTGTAGTGTCTTTGAATTTATATATTGTTTTAATTCTGTCATATTTAAAGCCTCATCAATGTAGATTATATGTATATGCAAAGTGCACCCATATCATTTAGGGGGTCAAAAGTGTATAATTTGTGAATTAAAATGTAATTCATTATATTTTTACCAGATAATTGTTAATGTTATGAAAGCAACTAGTCAGCCTACTGACTAACCTACTACACTTTGTCTTTTGGTGCTCCAGGAAGTTTAGGTAGGCACCCATTTGCCAGGTAGCCAGTGTTTAGTGTAGGCTACCATCAACCTAATGCAAGCCATTCTTATTCTTTTTGGAGAACAATATTCAACCACTTATTTCAGTGTATTAGCCTTCTTTAGGGGCAGCGTTCATTGCCTCTGCTCTTTTTAATGTCCTATGTCTTTTGATTCCTCACCTTTCTTCCCCCCAGGCCTCCACTCAGCCTTGCTGCGTCTGCTGGCCACTAACTACCCCCACCTGTGTATGGTGGAGGACTGGGTGTGTGAGGAAGAGGTGACAGGAACCCTGCCTCTGCTCCGGAGGATGCTGCTCACCTCTAACACCTGCAGATACTCCCAGACACAACTCCACGACGGTGAGACTGGGGTGGGGAGGGGAATGGTGGAGTAGTGTCTGGGAGTAGTGGGACCTGGTGGTCCTCTGTAGCTCAGCTGGTAGAGCACGGCGCTTGTAACGCCAAGGTAGTGGGTTCGATCCCCGGGACCACCCATACACAAAAAAAAGAATTTATGCACACATGACTGTAAGTCGCTTTGGATAAAAGCGTCTGCTAAAATGGCATATTAGTAGGAAGTGGGGAATGGGGTTTAGGATTAGGGTGGAAATAACTGTTTTGGGAATGGTGAGTTTACATCAGATTTTATGGGGCTAGTTGTTGAAGAAGCCCTATAAGAGGCCAATAAAGAGTCCTGTGGAGTGTTGGGCTTTGGGAGGTTAGTTCGGACTCAACAGAGAAGAGTAGTTATAGACTCCGTAATAGTGAGTGGGATGAACACAGGGTCATGTTATGAAAAGGAGATTTACAGTTTTTACTGTAATCCTGCAGTAAGGGCTTCAGTGTCAGATTATCATGCTGCTATTAGCCTCTAATAGAGAGATGGACCCCTGGTAGATCATCATGGGTGCATCCCAAATGGCACCCTATTCCCTATATATACACTACTTTTGTAGGGCATACGGTGCCATTTGAGATGCAAATATTTTCTCTGTCAGGGAATCAGACCTACTACTGCTGCATAGCTCCAAGGCACTGCTAACCTAATCTCATCTCATCTGATTAGGAGGGAAATAATCTATCTACACGCAAATTTAATCCAATATTCTCCCCACCCCCAAAAAATACATTTTCTTTGTAAAAGTCTTTAAATTAGAATCGTAACCTGGAGCTTGTTTCTTGGTTATGTAAGTAATTTCACTAGTGTGCCACAGAGACAAGTAGCAGTTTCTAGAAAGGAAGAGGAAGAGAGAAGGCCCAGAGGCGACCATCTCCTGGATTACAGTGGACACAAAGAGGGCTGCTACACTGCAGCAGAACAGAGGCTTGGTGGTGTTCAGTAGAGGCTGGGATGCAAGCAGTGCTTTTATGTCATGGTGATATTAACAGCCTCTGTTGTTGGGGAGGTTGACCTTTTAAGTGATTCAGCTGCAGAACAGAGCAGAAGAGAGAGGAGTTGAGACTAGAGAGAGGCATATACTCTCCCTCGCTCTCTTTCTCTCGCTCTTTTTCCTTTCTACCCATGCCATCTGCTCCCTCCATCTATGTTGATTTGAAATAAGTGGAAGCCAGCCTCACGATTTACCTCTGCTATATCACCTTCAGGCTGTACCGAGTGGCGCAGTGGTCTAAGGCACTGCATCGCAGTGCTAGCTGTGCCACTAGAGATCCTGGTTCGAATCCAGGCTCTGTCATAGCCGGCCGCGACCGGGAGACCCATGGGGCGGCGCACAATTGGCCCAGCGTCGTCCAGGGTAGGGGAGGGAATGGCTGGCAGGGATGTAGCTCAGTTGGTAGAGCATGGCGTTTGCAACGCCAGGGTTGTGGGTTCGATTCCCACGGGGGGCCAGTATGAAAAATAAAAAAATTATGTATGCACTCACTAACTGTAAGTCGCTCTGGATAAGAGCGTCTGCTAAATGACTAAAATGTAAAAAAAAAATGTAAAATGTACTGTGGTTTCAGATCAGTGGAGTGGAAGGAAAGGAGACTAGATTGTATCAAGCCAATCTATAAACACTCTGGGACAGTTTCCCAAACCCAGAGTAAGTTTAGTCCTGGACTACAAATCTCCATTGAGAAGCTCCATTGAAAGTGCTTTTTAGTCAAGGACTAGGTTTGATCTGTGTCCGGGAAACCGACCCTAAATAAACTGTATTAAAGGGGCAGTCTGGGATTTGTACATTTTATTTTTGGTCTTCTAAATTAGTTATTAGAGGTTTCATTTCTCCAGCCGCACCCCTCAGCTGTAGGGCTGCATGATACGGGCAAAACATTTAATCATAATTATTATAATTTTTTTTCACTAACTTTTGCGATTTGACTTCCGATATTTTCAAAACACTTGGATGAACTGTTGAAATCATATATAATAATTATTCTAATTATATGGTTGGTACAGTGTGCACTTGGAATACAGTGTTTGGCATGACAACGAATGAAAAAGACAGGTAGGAGTTGTGACGGGGCAGAAACCAAAAAATTGGTCAGTCTTTCCCAGGGGACCCTAGTTAGATTTGAATAGCTGTTACATTCAGACAAAGATTTTAGAATATGCTTCGCTATTCCTCTCTGATTCAGAACATGCTGTAGCACAAACATGCTGATCTACACCACCACTATATTAGAGCTACAGTTTGTTAGCCAAATTTGCCCTATCTGTCAGTGCATTTAGCTAGCTAGTTAGTGTTAGCAATTAGCATTAGCAGCTAACGCAAGAAAAAATTGGGCACATGCAGTTTGCTAAGACTAACTAGCATTTTGCAGATGGCAAGATACACAAACTAATAGTATAATAAATAAAAAAAAATTGTATTTTTTAAGAAGCAAAGTAAGCAGCATCATTCTTGTTTTGGAGTCTGTTGAGTGAGTGACAGGGGGCGGGACTGTGGGAAAGCAAAAATATGGATCTCTTGCGATATGGATATTGCACATGTCAATATCGCAATTATAATCTAAATTCGATCAATCGTTCAGCCATACTCAGCAGTTTACAAAAAACAAGTGGCTGGGTGTCTACTTTTTTTTGTTTTTTCGAATCCAGGATTGCCCCTCTGACTCCACTCTCCCACTAAAAGCTTTTTCTTCTCCTCCCTTCTGTCTGTTTCCCAGCCTTCCAGAAGGTTCCCTCCAGTGGTCCCAGACTTATGAGGATGCTGGACCACCTGACCCTGCTGTCAGCTGGAGACCTGATCCCCTACTCCGAGGCTCTGACGAGTAGCATGGGTCTGCTACTGGGCCCCAGCGTCCCCCGACGCATCCCCCAGACCCTCAACAAGCTCTGGATGGTCCTCAACACTGTCATGCCCCGCAGGTGAGCAATATTATAGAGAGGAAGTGCTTGTTTACTGGATGGTGCGACCAGGGATGGGGTTCATGTTCAGTTCATTACAATTCAATTTCTGTGTCTTCACTGGTGGTGATAAGGGGGTGGACCCCCAGTGTTCCCAGGGGCACAGAGCTACAGCCGGCAGGAGCAGGCAGGCGGACCAATCAATCCCCGCACGCATGGATAGCTGCTCTGTGCTCTGTAATGAGGACAGGACTTGACAGCTCAGGGCAGGATAAAGGGAGGGGACTCTCCAGGGTTTGGGGCATAATGGATTGTTGTTTTCCTCACCCCCTCTTCAACCGTCTGTGGTGGTATTGAATGGTGCTGTGCAGCGGGAGGCCTGTGGGGAGGAAGGAGTGATGAAGCTGGAAGGGAGCGCTGGTGTTGGAGTGTCGGTCTCTCACAGGAACCATTGATTAATGTCATACACTCTGCAGGAGGCAACACAGACAAGACTGTGGGTGAAGAGAACTGGTGGTAGCTGCTTCTCTGTCTGAAAGGACAGCTTGTCCTGGATTGAATGCGCCATTAGTGTTTTCAATGGAAAACTGAAAGGTTTTATCAATTGAATAGATTTGATTATCACAAAATAGATCTACTGCAACAGGCAACTGTATAGCTAGTAATAAAAACATAATCCCTAAAAAGAAACCTTGTGACTAGGTCGTGTTCAGAAGGCCACAGCGTAGCAAAACGTTCCGCAACAGAAAAGGAAAATGTGTGTTCTTATTGGACAAGTTCAGGTAGTACATCACTGTTGCACTATGTCTAAAAATGTTTTCTCCCCACTGAGCATGGCCCTGCTCTCTTTCCTCCATGTGTTACTTCAGGCTGTGGGTGATGACGGTGAATGCGCTGCAGCCCTCCGTAAAGATGCTGAGGCAGCCGAGGTATATTCAGAATGACCTGATGGTGGACCCCCTCATCGTGCTGCGCTGTGACCAGAGGGTCTACAGGTAGGCTACAGCACATGGTTATCTTTACTGTTGCACCTTTTGCTTTGCTTACGGTCTGAAACAAGTTTCAAGGGTCAGGAAAACAGATTGCCAACTGTCTGTAGCTGGAATGTGCAGAGTACACCAGTGTGCAGAGACACACAGGTTTACTGTGTAAGACACCTGTAAGGGTAGGTAACAACACATCTGCCACGCTGATCCTCAACACGTGGGCCCCTCAGGGGTGCGTGCTCAGTCCCCTCCTGTACTCCCTGTTCATCCATGACTGCATGGCCAGGCACGTCTCCAACACCATCATTAAGTTTGCCGACAACACAACAGTGGTAGGCCTGATCATCGACAACGATGAGACAACCTATAGGGAGGAGGTCAGAGACCTGGCCGTGTGGTGCCAGGATAACAACCTCACCCTCAACGTGATCAAGACAAAGGAGATGATTGTGGAATACAGGGGAAAAAAAGATGACCGAGCACGCCCCCATTCTCATCGACGGGGCTGTAGTGGAGCAGGTTGAAAGCTTCAAGTTCCTTGGTGTCCACATCACCAACAAACTATCATGGTCCAAACACACCAAGACAGTCATGAAGAAAGCACGACAAAGCCTATTCCCTCCTCAAGAGACTGAAAAAATTTGCCATGGGTCCTCAGATCCTCAAAATGTTGTACAGCTGCACCATCGATAGCATCCTGAATGGATGCATCACTGCCTGGTATGGCAACTGCTCGGTCTCCGACCGCAAGGCAATACAGAGGGTAGTGCGTACAGCCCAGTACGTCACTTGGGCCAAGCTTCCTGCCATCCAGGACCTCTATACCAGATGGTGTCAGAGGAAGGCCCTAAAAATTGTCTATTTGCATTGTGCCCCCCCCCCCCCCCCACCCCCTATTTTACGCTGCTGGTACTCTGTTTATTATCTATGCATAGTCACTTTAACTCTACATTGACTCTGTACCGGTACACCCTGTATTTAGCCTCGCTACTGTTATTTTACTGCTGCTCTTTAATTATTATTGTTTTTCATTTTTTTCTTATCTTTTTTTTACTAAACACTTACAGTACCAGTCAAAAGTTTGGACACACCTACTCTTTCCAGGGTTTTTCTTTATTTTTACTATTTTCTACATTGTAGAATAATAGTGAAGACATCAAAACTATGAAATAACACATATGGAATCATGTAGTAACCAAAAAAGTGTTAAACAAATCAAAATGTATTTTATATTTGAGATTCTTCAAATAGCCACCCTTTGCCTTGATGACAGCTTTGCACACTCTTGGCATTCTCTCAACCAGCTTCACCTGGAATGCTTTTCCAACAGTTTTGAAGGAGTTCCCACATATGCTGAGCACTTGTTGGCTGCTTTTCCTTCACTCTGCGGTCCGACTCATCCCAAACCATCTCAATTGGGTTGAGTTCGAGGGATTGTTGAGGCGAGGTCATCGGATGCTGCACTCCATCACTATCCTTCGTGGTAAAATAGCCCTTACACCGCCTGGAGGTGTGTTGGGTCATTGTCCAGTTGAAAAACAAATGAAAGTCCCACTCAGCCCAAACCAGATGGGATGGCGTATCACTGCAGAATGCTGTGGTAGCCATGCTGGTTAAGTGTGCCTTGAATTCTAAATAAATCACAGTGTGACCAGCAAAGCACCCCCACATCATAACACCACCTCCTCCATGCTTTATGGTGGGAACTACACATGCAGAGATCATCCGTTCACCCACACCGCGTCTCACAAAGACACGGCGGTTGGAACCAAAGATCTCCAATTTGGACTCCAGACCAAAGGACACATTTCCACCGGTCTAATGTCCGTTGCTCGTGTTTCTTGGCCCAAGCAAGTCTCTTCTTCTTATTGGTGTCCTTTTAGTAGTGGTTTCTTTGCAGCAATTCAACCATGGAGGCCTGATTCACACAGTCTCCTCTGAACAGTTAATGTTGAGATGTGTCTGTTACTTCAACTCTGTGAATCCATTTATTTGGGCTGCAATTTCTGAGGCTGGTAACGCTAATGAACTTGTCCTCTGCAGCAGAGGTAACTCTGGGTCTTCCTTTCCTGTGGCGGTCCTCATGAGAGCCAGTTTCATCATAGCGCTTGATGGTTTTTGCGACTGCACTTGAAGAAACGTTCAAAGTTCTTGAAATGCTCCGTATTGACTGACCTTGTTGTTTCTCTTTGCTTATTTGAGCTGTTCTTGCCATAATATGGACTTGGTCTTTTACCAAGTAGGGCTATCTTCTGTATACCCCCCCTACCTTGTCACAACACAACTGATTGGCTCAAACGCATTAAGAAGGAAAGAAATTCCACAAATTAACTTTTAAGAAGGCACACCTGTTAAATGAAATGCATTCCAGGTGACTACCTCATGAAGCTAGTTGAGAGAATGCCAAGAGTGTGCAAAGCTGTCATCAAGGCAAAGGGTGGCTATTTGAAGAATCTCAAATATAAAGTATATTTTGATTTGTTTAACACTTTTTTGGTTACTACATCATTCCATGTGTTATTTCATAGTTTTGAAGTCTTCACTATTATTCTACAATGTAAAAATAAATGAGTAGGTGTGTCCAAACTTTTAACTGGTGGTGTATTTTTCTTAAAACTGCATTGTTGGTTAAGGTCTTGTAAGTAAGCATTTCACTGTCTACATCTGTTGTATTCGCCGCATGTGACAAATAAAATGTGATTTGATAAGACATTTTGATCAAATATGGGCCGGAGAAGTGCTCAAGATATTTTAATCCCAATATATTATTTTGCAGTTGTACACTTGGAATTTGTCAAACGTATTTCCTGTTTAAACACAATGAAGCCTACGTCATTATGTGAGTAAATAACATATCTTTGTGTCCCCTCCTCAGGTGTCCCCCTCTGATGGACATTGTCCTCCACATGCTGAATGGCTACCTGCTGGCCTCCAAGGCCTACCTCAACTCCCACCTGAAGGAGACAGCGGACTTTGACCGGCAGAGCCAGACCATCTCTAACCTGGGCCTGGGACAGGCTGGACAGCCAGACACCCCAGAGGTCACCAGAGAGGAGCTGAAGAACGCACTGCTGGCCGCTCAGGTAACTCAGAGGGAGAGACACCCACTCATAAATACAACAATGGATTCCCATTCAAAATCCTATTTTCCCTAACTCTAAACCTAACCCTAATTATAATCCTTACCCTAAAAATAGCCTTTTTACAAGTGAGGACCGGCAAAATGTTCTCACTTCTCCGAATTTTAGTTGGTTTACTATTAAGTCCTCACAAGTATAGTAAAACGTGTACACACACACACAGAGTGGATAGTATGTCAGCCATTTCAGTTGTAGGTAGAATCCCACATGACGTGTCTGTCTTGTGCTTCTCTCTGCCTCCAGGACAGTGCTGCAGTCCAGATCCTGCTGGAGGTGTGTCTGCCCACCTCCGAGGTGCAGACGGGGCCCCTAGGGGCTGTGGGCGACGCTGAGAGCCTGCTCCAGAGCATGAGGGCCGCGCCCGGGTCCATCAAACAGGAAGAGGGGTCCAGGAGAGCGGAGGGGCAAGGCGAGCCGGAAGGGGGGTTACTCAGTGACCTGAGGGAGGTGCAGTGTCTCATCTGCTGTCTGCTGCATCAGATGTTCATCGCTGACCCCAACATCGCCAAACTGGTGCACTTCCAGGTAAACACTGTTCTACTACGTAGAAGAGATGTTCTTGCCAAATTCCAAACGGACCCCTAGCCCCTTTGTTGATAAGGCTCCAAGGTCTGAAAGTGGCATGTAGATATAATCACGTCATGGCAGCATTTAGTCATAACAAACAACATAACAAAATGGCGTCTACAGGCTGAGATTATGAATGTGTCCTCCCCGTCTACTATAACGTCATAAGTGTGCCACAGAAGTGCTGTTGTCAGTGATCAGTGCATGAGTCGTGAGAGGGGAATGAATGTCCTGCAGCCTGAATGACTGCAGAAGTCCCAGTAGTAGGAAGCTGCCATATGTTTCACTTCATCAACACAATCCTGCCTCTCTGTGGCAGTAATCCTGCCTGCTTGGATCCATGCTGTGCACACAAGCTGCTGCTGCGGCTAGCTACCCTGTGTGTTTACATCACAAGACAGAAGCTCAGTCAAAGCTACTACTTACCCTGTGCGTTTCACTCCTCTTTTTACTTTCATTCCATTCTGTCTCCTTTCTTCTCTCATTTTCTCTCACTTTCTCTCTATCTCAGGGTTACCCCCAAGCTCTGCTTCCACTGACTGTGGCTGGCATCCCCTCCATCCATATCTGCCTGGACTTCATCCCAGAGCTGCTGGCCCAGCCCCAGCTGGAGAAACAGGTGAGCCCCCCTCCGTCCTCGTCTGGCATCCAAGCCCACAAACCTGAGCTACATTAGCCCTCTGCCTTTGTCAGTGTTTTACACCAATTCGTTTCCAGGCCTGTTTAAGCAACATTTCTAATCAAACCTGTCTCTCTGGACGGAAAGTACTGGCATTAACTATGGTTCTCGTCTCCCTCTACAGATCTTTGCCATCCAGCTGCTGTCCCACCTGTGTACCCAGTACGCCCTGCCCAAGTCCCTCAGCGTGGCCCGCCTGGCCGTCAGCGTCATGGCCACGCTGCTCACAGGTCAGTTTTCTCTCGCTTTATCCATCCATACCTCTCCCTCTGTCCATCCCTCTCTACCTCCCCCATCTCTACCCTGTCATTGGTGGCCCTCTTTTTCCTCCCTTTACTACATCATGTCCTACTGGCGGTGTCTCCTTCGCTCTGTACTCTGGGAGGGAGTACAACTTCGATTTAACTTCGATATGTTAGTGCCATCTCCTGGTGGGTCTCTGTTAGTGCAGCATGTCATCACTCATAACAGCCTTTTTTCCCTGTTAGGTCTAGGTACAGCTTGTACTAGCCTCCTTGCTGTTCATGGTGTACATGATGTTCATATGTTTCTCTCTCCCCCTCCCCCTCAGTGCTGACCCGTGCCAAGCGTTTCTCCTTCTTCATGCCTACCCTGCCGTGCCTGGTGGCGTTCTGCCAGGCCTTCCCTCCGCTCTACGAGGACGTGGCGACCCTGCTGGTGCAGGTGGGACAGGTCTGTGCCTCCGACGTGTCCACCAAGACCAGGGACATCGACCCGCTCATCACCAGTAAGTCTGTGTGTGTTGAAAGGGAAGGGGAACACTGCCGCAACTGGGAAGGGGAAACTGAAGTGAATAGGAAAGTCTTGGAGGGCAGTGGAAGTTGATAAAAATGATTTATTGATAAAACCAATGCGGCCTGGCCCTTAGCCATCAGCCTTTTTTAAAATCAGGGTTAGTGTGATGAAATAAGTGTTTTTGTGTGCCTTGGAATATACTAGAGAACTCATTCTAGTTGCAATGTTCCACTCAAGTTGCCATGTTTCCATAGCATGTCTTCTTTCAGTAGTGTTGGAACTAATTATAGGAAAAGACCATGACCTGAATTGATAGTTTGGAACACTTGTATAGATTTACTCATTAGTGTAACTGCATTGGAGATGTGGTCAATTCCACCTCAATTTCAGTCCATTCAGGAATTGAATTGCGCACTTCTAATGAGACACCTTACTGTATGTCCTATTCAACTGCCAGGAATTGAATCGAAGTTGACCCAAACACTGAACAAGATATGAGCATTTATAAAGGTGTATCAATAGCAGTATAGTCTAACCATCCCTCCTCTCTCTCCTGTACCCCTTTCTCCTTCCCCCTTTCTCCTTCCCTCCCTCCCTCAGGGCTGCAGTATCTGAAGGAGAAGCCCCAGGAGGTGTTGATACCAGGAAGGGACCAGTCCAAGCTGAGCCTTCCCCAGAGGGCAGCAGAGGAACTGGGTGGCGCCGACCCGGATGTCCAGCTCTGCTACCGGATAGAAGCCACCTTCATGGACATCATCAGCACCAGCCACCACGGATTATAGACAGAGACAGAGACGTGCAGGTGGTGGGAGCACTGGGTGCAGGGTTGTACGTTTAGATATGAGTGTTATTTTCAATGTGTATGTTGTAGTGTGTATGCGATGTCAGTGTTTTGTAGGTAATGAAAGATACAATATGCTATAGGTCTGTTTTCTTGACCATATTTTTCTAAGCTGACTTATCTTTCTCAGCAAAAAAAAGGGTTTTTGAAATGATCAGGGAACCTTGAATTATGTAGTGTTTTTGTATTGTACATCTTGTTTGTATTAAAAAACTTAAACTGAGACTCATCGATATGACGTTGCCACAAGCAGCAGGATCAACCACAGATAATGAGCGCGACGCAAAGCTATGCACTCACACAGTATCTGCACACAGCTCCACTCTGCTGCAACGTTGGCTGCTGTTAAAAACGCCAAAATGTGAATGCTACCATACGAGAGGTTACTGCTTGGCTAATGGAAAACGTTGACAACTAACCTGGTATTGGCGATACTCTCTTCGTTCTCGATTCTGGAGAACAGTTATTTTATAAATGTCAATATCCAGTTACAGATGGTTCTACAAACACTAAAGAACATATTTTGTATTCAGTGAGACATTTTTATTACATTTTAATTTTTTTATTTCACCTTTATTTAACCAGGTAAGCCAGTTGAGAACAAGTTCTCATTTACAACTGCGACCTGGCCAAGATAAAGCAAAGCAGTGATGCCTGGTGTTGATCTTTGTTTTGGTCGCGTTGTGTGATGCGCTGTCATCTACTTCATCGCGTAGAAACGACGACTTCTGGCAAAGATGCTGGGAAATGTTCATGTGCGGCAGCTATAATGGCGAGGAACCTCCTTGCGCAGTACAAAACATGAATTTACTATCTTTCTGCGTGTTCTCTGGTGTTTGTACACTGAACAAAAATATAAACGCAACATGCAACAATTTCAAAGATTTTACTGAGTTCATATAAGGAAATCTGTCAATGGAAATAAATTCATTAGGCCCTAATCTATGGATTTCACATGACTGGGAATACAGATATGCATCTGTTGGTCACAAAATACCTTAAAAAAATTCACAAATAGGGGCGTGGGTCAGAAAACCAGTCAGTATCTGGTGTGACCACCATCTGCCTCATGCAGCGCGACACAGCTTCGCTTAGAGTTGATCAGGCTGTTGATTGTGGCCTGTGGAATGTTGTCCCACTTCAATGGCTGTGTGAAGTTGCTGGATATTGGGTGGAACTGGAACACGCTGTCGTACACGTCGATCCAGAGCATCCCAAACGTGCTCAATGGGTGACATGTCTGGTGAGAATGCAGGCCATGGAAGAACTGGGACATTTTCAGCTTCCAGGAATTGTGTACAGATTCTTGCGACATTGAGCCGTGCATTATCATGCTGAAACATGAGGTGATGGCGGCGGATGAATGGCACGACAATGGGCCTCAAGATCTCGTCACGGTATCTCTGTGCATTCAAATTGCCATCGATGAAATGCAATTGTGTTCGTTGTCCGTAGCTTATGCCTGCCCGTACCATAACCCCACCGTCACCGTGGGTCACTCTGTTTACAACGTTGACATCAGCAAACCACTCGCCCACACGATGACATACGCTGTCTGACGACATACATGCTGTCTGCCATCTGCCCGGTACAGTGTTAACCGGGATTCATCCATGAAGAGCACACTTCTCCAGCGTGCCAGTGGCCATCGAAGGTGAGCATTTGCCCACTGAAGTCGGTTACGACGCCAAACTGCAGTCAGGTCAAGACCCTGGTGAGGACGACAAGCAAGCAGATGAGCATCCCTGAGATGGTTTCGGACAGTTTGTGCAGAAATTCTTCAGTTGTGCAAACCCAGCTGTCCGGTTGGCTGGTCTTAGATGATCTCGCAGGTGAAGATGCCGGAAGTGGAGGTCCTGGGCTGGCGTGGTTACATGTGGTCTGTGGTTGTGAGGCCGGTTGGATGTACTGCCAAATTCTCTAAAACGATGTTGTATGCTTATGGTTGAGAAATGAACATTCAATTCTCTGGCAACAGTTCTGGTGGACATTCCTGTGGACAGCATGCAAATTGTTCGCTCCCTCAACTCTGTGACATTGTTATGTGACAAAACTGCACATTTTAGTGGCCTTTTATTGTCCACAGCACAAGGTGCACCTGTGTAATGATCATGCTGTTTAATCAGGTTCTTGATATACCACACCTGTCAGGTGGATGAATTATCTTGGCAAAGGACAAAATGCTCACGAACAAGGATGTAAACAAATTTCCGCAATAAATCTGAGCAAAATAAGCTTTTTGTGCAATGGAAAATGTCTGTGATCTTTTATTTCAGCTCATGAAACATGGGACCAACACTTTACATGTTGTGTTTATATTTTGGTTCAGTGTAGAAGCACCTGGACACTGACATTTATAAGATAACTGTTTTTACCTCAGATTTCATGTGTTCTTTATCTGGTTACAATTGACTGTTGCTTATTTTGCTTATATTTTGCCTATTGTATAGTTCAAATAAAATGTTATTTGTCACATACACGTGTTTAGCAGATGTTATTGCGGGTGTAGCGAAATGCTTGTGCTTCTAGCTCCGACAGTGCAGTAATATCTAACAAGTAATATCTAACAATTTCACAACATATACCCAATACACACAGATCTAAGTAAGGAATGGAATTAAGAATATATATGCAAATATATGGACAAGCAATGACAGAGCGGCATGGACTAAGATACAGTAGAATATTATAGAATACAGTATATACATATGAGTTGAGTAATGCAAGATATGTAAACATTATTAAAGTGACTAGTGTTCCATTTGTTAAAGTGGCCAGTGATTTCAATAGGCAGCAGCAGCCTCAAATGTTCTAGTGATGGCTATTTAACAGTCTGATGGCCTTGAGATAGAAGCTGTTTTTCATTCTCTCTGTCCCAGCTTTGATGCACCTGTACTGACCTCGCCTTCTGGATGATAATGGGGTGAACAGGCAGTGGCTCGGGTGGTTGATGTCCTTCATGATCTTTTTGACCTTCCTGTGACATCGGGTGCTGTAGGTGTCCTGGAGGGCAGGTAGTTTGCCCCCGGTAATGCGTTGTGCAGACCACACCACCCTCTGGAGAGCCCTGCGGTTGTGGGCGGTGCAGTTGCCGTACCAGGCAGTGATACAACCCGACAGGATGCTCTCAATTGTGCATCTGTAAAAGGTTGAGGGTTTTAGGTGCCAAGCCAAATTTCTTCAGCCTCCTGAGGTTGAAGAGGCTCTGTTGCGCCTTCTTCACCACACTGTCTGCGTGGGTGGACCATTTCAGTTTGTGCTTCTATGGTATTCCAATGGACTCATGCTTCACTGGGACATTAGAATCATAGTCCTTTTCCAGCCTGGTAGTTAATTTATCTCACCTGGTGAACCAGGTCGAAACCAGTCCCTGATTAAATAGGTGTTTCAGCCCTCCAGGACCAGAGTTTCCAATCTATGGAGTAGAGCGTTTCCTGTCCGAGAGGTCCAGTAGTTTTGACCCAAGGGGCCTCCAGGTTTATCTTCTCGAGTGTACCTCTGGGGCCATACTACAGCTCACAGCACAGAGCTGGGAATACAGCATTGGCTGCCTGCTAGATCAGTAAAGGCATCTGTCTCCATTATAATCAGCAAGGAAAAGTGTTTGCTTAGACACACCTACCACTTACCTAGTATTATCATCATTACACCTCATGATTGACAGGTTCTTAAACAGAGTTGTTATACAACCTAGTCGGCGCTATTTGTTCATTTCAAGAGTGTTTTTTAAATGTTAAACTGCTTGTCTGCTGCTGATTGTTTCCTGGAGAGAGAGAGAGCAACCTTTGTGTCTTTGAACTGACTTCATTAGGGCTGTCTTTGATGTAGCTGCTGTCAGAGTGCTAGTGGATGGATGCTGGGTGTATATTAGCTTTAATTACGACGACTAACCTGGAGGGTCCTATCTCTCCCTCTCGCTGGCTGTCGGTTCCTTCTGTGCACTCCCTCCTGCTCCCAGGTCTCAACGGGTTAAGTGGTTTACAGAGCGGGGGATGCCTGTCACATCCGGAGCTATGATCTTATAAGAACCCCCCCCTTCCTCCCCCCTCCCATGTGCTGCTGGATCAGATCTGCACAATGGGGGCGAAGTGAACGAGCCCAGTTAGTGACATACCTGTTTAACCTCAATTATCTGCCAAACAGCCAGGGATCAGGTCACTCAACTTTGAGCTCTCTGAAAGGGAGCGTGTCTGATGAACAGTCAAACATGTACATGCTTATGAGAAGACGGGCTCTGCACATTCCTTATTTATGGAGCACTGTGTCAAGATGCAACCACAGCTGTCCAGGGCTTCTGTAATGGTTCTTGTGTTGCTGCTAAAGGGCTTCTATGGTCTTAGTGGTGAGTGTTTAGCGAGAGACTCAAGAACCCTTCTGTAGACACTTGCTAGATTTAAAGTGATTACCTCGACTGTGAATGAACGACAGCCACTCTGTGCATCTCCATCTCCTGTAGGGTTTAACAGCTTAATCTTAAACAATGAATGAGTGGTGCTGCGTCTTGATTAAGCTTTGTGGGGCAAATTTGAATAATTAAACTTGAGCTGGTAAAAAATAATACTTAGAATTGCCTATTGTTAAAAGATCCACTGCAACTTCATGTGAATAGATGTTTTCACTCATCTAAATGTATTAATCCAAAGTCATAATTCTAAGGCTACCAGTCAGTAACTGTGCAGCCTATGCGAAGTCGTCAGAATATGCTACCATCCGGGTTTCAGGGATACAGCATTTTGAACCTAACTTCCGTTTCCCCTGGAAAACGGAAGTGGGAACTCTGCTCAAGTGTCTTTCTACGCCTGCTACGTTAGGTTAGTAGCTGTCAGATACATCACCTTTAAAAAAATAAAATAAAATGACTGGCCTACTATTTCAGGGATTCACCAGAGGGCAGTCTTGCCACGCAAAGACAGGGGATCCCAGGCAGGATTCCTCATCAGTGTTGGGGAAGCTACTTTGATAATATAGCTACCAATTCCTTCACACTGGAAGAAGTTAAGGGTATAGCTTTAGTATAGCTTAAGAAAAATATAGTTTACTTTAAGTTACTTTAAAAAGGTAGTGCACTACATCCAAACTACTTCGTGAAAAATTATCATAACTAAATCTGAAATGTCATAGACTACAAATTACACTCTGGAGTCAGATGTTAACAGAATGTGTAATTTGGCCTATTAAACACAAAAACGATGTTTCAAGTGAGAATTAGGCAGGTCTTATGCACAGTAGGAAAATGAGTAAGAACGTTATTGCATACTTCACCCATATTGTGAGGGGGGTGTATTCTGTAATATCTTACAGACAATTAGGAAATGACTGGGGTCTAATGTTAATGTTGACAAAAGCCCCCACAAGACTTTAAAACAAGCATGCTGTAACTTAGAGGCTCACAGTTTGAGATCATGCTTTGTGGTTCCTGTTTGTTATATTAAAAA